GACATGCTCGGTGACATTCGGACCGCGATGTATCCCCATGTATGCTCGCCTCCTGCGTGGATGCGGCAGCCTAATTCACTGACTCAGGGCTCTCTGCACACGCGAGCATAAAGCGACCACGGGCCTCCGGTCATCTGCTTTGGCGTCTTGGTCACCGAGGGCTACCGCAACACTCGGCTTGACACAACCATGGCGCCTACGCGCCGGCCGCTCCCTCACCTCGCCCTCTCAGATCCGGCCGAGCCGGTCCGCGAAGCGATCGCCCGGTGCGAAGCTTCCCCAAAACTCTTTTCTTTCCCGCTTTCCTCGGGCTGCGCGCGGGGGGGGAAGGGGGAGGGGGGGATCTGCGGCATTCGCGTGTGCTGGCCCGCGCCACGTCCAATCTCCGCACGCTCCCCCCCTCCCCCTTCCCCCCCCGCGCGCAGCCCGAGGAAAGCGGGAAAGAAAAGAGTTTTGGGGAAGCTTCGCACCGCGCAATCGCTTCGCGGTCCGGCTCGGCCGGATCTGAGAGGGCGGGGGGAGGGAGCGGCCGGTGAGCCGGCGCACGCCACGCAGCGCGCAGAGGCGAGCGGCGGCGCTGTGCGGCCGTGCGAGGCTCGGCGCACCCGCCCAGCCGCCCTCTTTGACTGTGCAGTCATTTTCGAGGACTGACTTCGCGACAAAGTCGGTGGGCCTGCGGCGGCGGGGCGGCGAGCCGAGGGGTCGACGAGGCGCGTCGCGAGCGTGCGACGCCGCCCCGAAGAGGGCGGCGGGAGCCGGAAGCGGCGAAACCTGTAGCCCTCGACGCTGCTGCTCCACGGCACGTGCGCGTCCAAAACTTGGACGCGCCGCGGGTAGCGCGGGTGCTCGGAGCGCGCCCGCACGTGCAGCTGCGTGTGCCGCACACTCAGGTTATCCTCCCCGTCGTCGAGCGTGGACGAGGCGAGGGTGTCCGAGGTCAGCGTGTCCGAGGTCAGCTCCTTCTGCGACCCCACCGGGGAGACCCTGCCGCCGGTTCTTCTGCTGGCGGACGGCTCGGAGACGTCCTGCTGGACGCACCGGCCGCAGCACAGCGGCATACAACGAGCCACAGGGGTGGAGATCGCGGGCAGAGGGCAGCGCGAATGGGGGCGGGCGTGTGTTCAGGACATCCTTCGGATGGAAGGGAGTAATTTTTCTTTTTTTCATTCCTGACAGCACAACGCTGCTCTCAAAGGAGCGGTGCTGGCACCGCGGCCAGATCCGTTCACGTCCGACGAACATCAGCCTGAGAGCGGCACCGCCCAGTGCGCAATAGCATCTGGCTGCAGAGTTGTTCAAGCCACGAGGAAGGCTGAACAAGGCGGTGGCTAAGTGCAGGCGTCCTGGACGTACCCGGCGCGTTTCTTTCTTTTTTCTCAAACACACAAGTCATCTGCGCAAACCTAACAAAACAAACAGAGAGTTGTTGTTTGGTATTGCCAAACCTAACCTCGATGTCCTGACACACACACAGCTCTCGGGACCACAGACAAACAGACAATCCGCCTCTCCCTCGACTACCATCCGCGTGTGCGCTCGCCGCCCGCGCCTCACCCATGCGCGCCCCGCACCAGCCAGCCGCCTCCCCTACTGCCCTACAAACCCCGCCATGTCCCGCTCGGCACCTCCTCCTCTCCGACCCACACCGACCCGCCCTCCACCGCTCCACCTGAATTCTCCACCTGGCTGGCCTGCTCCGTGCTCACTCAGCCCCTCCCCCGACCCCCAATCAGGACCTCCCATCAGAGATCAGTGGGAGCGCTCGCCGATGTGCAAAAGTTCACCCACAGAAAGCTCGCCGAGTCCCAGGGAAGGCTAGCGCTCGACACCGCCTCCCTTCACACTACCGCCCCGCTCCCGGCGCCCACGCCTCGATCTTCTTGCTTGTGGGCAGCAGCTGGACCAGGCAGGCTCTCTCCGTGGCCTGGCACAGCCACTTTCGCCCTAGATATCGCCCGCACCCCAGGTGAACACAGCACCATCGCCGGTGATGGCGAGGCTATGGTCCTCTCCCGCCGACACGGAGACGGTGCGCTGGCAAGCAAACGCCTCGACCTTCTTGGGAGGGTGGGAGAGCCCGCTGGTGCGCTGGTGCGCTGCTGCTGGTCCTGCTGTGCACGCCGTGGCCCAACCGGCCCTGGCCTCCCCAGCCCAGCTCCAGACGGCGCCATCGGCGGTGATGGCGAAGTAGTGCACGGGTCCGCTCCAGACGCTCCTAGAGACGCTCCAGTCGTGAGTCGATACAGCGATGACGCGCCGGCAAGCCTGCCGCGAGCACTCGGAGCACTTGGACCTCTTGGAGTGCAGTCATCAGCCGCGCATTCAGGGCCGGGGAGCTAAGAAGCGCACCCAGCGGGCCAGATGGGATTACGGGCAAGAGAGCCCTGGACATGGCGCACTTGGAGCACTTGGAGTGCAGTCATTAACCTCAGTCCTCACATCCTCAACCTCATCCAGGGCCAGGGAGCTAAGAAGCGCACCCAGCGGGCCGGATGATCGATATCGGGTTGCGGGCAAGAGAGCCCTAGCCCTGGGGGGTGCGCGGTCGCAGAAAGCACTTGGAGCACTTGGAGTGCAGTCAGTCACCTCACATCCCGGGCCGGAGGGCACCGATTTTTTATTTTCGACCCCAGCCACGGCTGTTCGGCGCATGCGCCCTCCCTGGCCATCCACTCCGGCGCAGGCCCTCACGCAGCACCTGCCGCTGCTCGCGCTGCCCTCGGCCGCCGCGGCCGTCGCGCTGCCGGATCTCTACGACGCATTCCGCGCCGCGGCGCCGGCGGAGAACCTCGGTCCGCTCCTCGCACTGCTGCTCGCGAAGCGGGCGACGCTGTACGCGTGCGCGCTCTCGACAGTCTACGTCGCGGCCATGCGATCGGGCGACGCTTCGCCAGGCCTCGGCGAGCGTCTCGAGGCCATCACCGCCGAGGCGGTGAGCCCCGCGACGCTGCCCGAGGGCCAGTCGGCCGAGGTGAGGGCGGTCGCCGAGAGCCTCGACGCGACGCCGCAGGCCGCGCAGGCGGCCGCCCTGCCGCTCGTCTTCGGAGCGCTCCTCGCCAGCGCCTACGCGAGCACCATCTTGCTCGGCGGTCCGCCTTCGGCAGAGGAGCAGCTGCTGCTGCTCGCGACGCCGGCCGACGAGGCGCTCGCCCTCGCCCGCAGCGCCGCGGGTGCGATCCAGCCCCTCTCGACCGCCTCTGTGTGCGCCTTTGCCGTCAACGCCGAGCTGCAGGCGGGTGCGCGCGCGCTCGCCGCCGGCGCAGGAGGGGCTGGAGCCCCGGCTACGGCTGTGGCGGCCCCGCGCGGCGGCGAAGCGGCGGCCCTCGTGGCGGCGTCGCTGGCGGCGGCGCTCGTCGCGTGCGCGTACCTCGGCGGCGTGGCTGGCGCGTGGCCGCTGCAGAACGCCGTCAACGCGTGCGTCGCGATTGGGGTTGCGCGAGTGCTGCAGCTGCCGAGCCTGCCCGCGCTGCTCGCCGCCTTGGGCGGCCTCGCGCTGTACGACGCCGCGGGGACGCTCTTCACGGCGGCGGCGGCGGCGCCGGGCGGCGGCGGCTCGGTGATGGAGGGCGTCGCGCAGGCACGGCTGGGTGGCGCGCTGTCTGCGCAGTCGGGTGCGGCGTGGCAACCGGGGCTGCTCACCGTGGTGCTGAAGGGGCGGGTGACAGACGCGCTGGGCCTGGGCGACGTGGTCGCGCCCGCGATGCTGGCGGGCTGGTGCCGCCGGTACGATCTCGCGCGGGGGCGCGAGGTGGAGGGCGGCGGGGAGGAGGAGGGCGGGGGCGGGGGCGGCGGCGGCTGCCTCGCCGCTGCGCTGGGCGGCTACGCGCTCGGATGCGCGCTTCTCGAGGCGGCGCCGCCGCAGCTGTCTCGCGCCGCCCTCCTTTTCCTGGTGCCGAGCACGGCGGGCTGCGTGCTGGCGAGGCTCGCCGCGGCGGGTGACCTCGGCCGCGCACTCGCTGGAGGGGCGGTGTGGGCGGCGGAGTCGGAGGAGTGAGTGTAGCGGGCGGCGAGGTGAGTCAGACTCTCTCATCACAAAGTCTTGCGGCTCGTGGCTTCGCGCATCACGTTGCATGTGATGCGATGTACGTGGCTGGGTTCACAGCGATGGTAGGAAAATTGGGGGAACACTTGACGGTCGCGGCCTTCCGACTCGCGCCTCCGCCTCACTGGCACTATTGTAGCCCTGGCCGGTGCGCGTGTGCGGAGTTGAAGTTCCGGAGTGAAAATTCGAACGCGTTCTCTCACGGTGACCAAAAAATGTCCACCTCAGAGGCACCTCCGGAGGCAGGCCGCCGCACGCCGACGACACAGCTCCAGCTGTCGAACTGACCCGCAGCTCCTCTCAGAGCGGGAACTGTGACGAAAGTTGACTGAGGCGGTTGTCAGGAATCATCATACGGATCACATGGTGGCTCTCTCATGACGGGAGACCGCCCGACCACTCCTGGGTGGCACTGCCACCGGTGTCGCTCGACGTCCTGTCGACAGCGTGCCGACAGCGACACAGACCATGTGGGACGCGTCGAGTATCGACCTCTACTGACGGGCTGAGAGGTCTTGCGGCGCAGCCGCACCTGCCTCCACATTATACGGATGCGTCGGCCTTACTGGCACACGTATACGCACAGGTGTAGTGTCTAGTGACACACACTGGGTCAAACCACACACACCTCAAAGGAAGCGGCACAGACCACATCGACCACGCACGCACGCGACGCGCAAACACTCTGAGGACTGAGCTGAGATGAACAAACAAATTCAGAGGCAGTGGAGAGGTGCGTGCGAGGCTAGTGCGCTGCCCGCGCGGCGCTCCACCGGTCGCAGAGCGCCAGCCTCACTCGCCTCGCCATGCCAGCAGCCGGGCGCGCGCGGGAGAGGAGCAGAGCTGGTGCGTGGCGGGAGTCGGTAGCCGAGATCTGGACGCGCAGGACCGCCGGCGCGGCGAGGCTCGAGCAAGCGCCTGTGTGGAGGTCGAACGGCGTGTGGGAGGGCGGTGGGCCGCGAGAGAGTCGCGCAGCCCCGCGTGTGTGGACCGGTGGCGCTTCGGGTGGCGTATCGGGCCGTCAGAGGCAGATACGTGGCGCAGCGAGTGCGAATACATGCGATAATTCGCACGCACCGTGCCGAGCCGACCCGCGTGCACGATTGGAGCACCTCGAGGCGGCGCGATAGGCGGTATGTCGAGGTGCCGCGGCCCGCCGCTGCAGCGTGTCGAAAAGGCGCTCTCGGAGGCGCCGCGGTGGCGGCCGAGCGCGCGGAATCGGCGAGCAAATTTGATGGCGTGCCGGCCGTGGGCCCGGACGAAGGCGCTACCGGCTCGGTTCGAGACCAGTGCCTGCAGGGACGCCTCCAGCACTCAACACAGAGCTGGTTGAGGACGCGGAGACTTGGAACGTCGACGCCTACTTTGGGCGCTGCATGTGCCGGTGGGGCGGGGGTGGGGCCAAATAGCCGAGCGGGAAAGGTGCCTGCAAGGATCCCCAAAGGCCTGGGGTCGAATCTGGCCCGAAGGAATCCTAAAAAGGGGCCCTAATGGGGGCCTATGCGGCCCAAAAAGGCACCTGTGAAGAGAAGCCCCCCTAAGGATGAAGTCTCCTAGGCTGTGATGTCTCCTAGGCTGTGATGCCCCCCCCTAAGGATGAATGAAGTCTCCTAGGCTGCTTGTCTCCTAGGCTGCTTGTCTCCTAGGCTGCTTGTCTCCTAGGCTGCTTGTCTCCTAGGCTGCTTGTCTCCTAGGCTGCTTGTCTCCTAGGCTGCTTGTCTCCTAGGCTGCTTGTCTCCTAGGCTGCTTGTCTCCTAGGCTGCTTGTCTCCTAGGCTGCTTGTCTCCTAGGCTGCTTGTCTCCTAGGCTGCTTGTCTCCTAGGCTGCTTGTCTCCTAGGCTGCTTGTCTCCTAGGCTGCTTGTCTCCTAGGCTGCTTGTCTCCTAGGCTGCTTGTCTCCTAGGCTGCTTGTCTCCTAGGCTGCTTGTCTCCTAGGCTGCTTGTCTCCTAGGCTGCTTGTCTCCTACCGCCGCCGCCAGTGCCAGTAGCATTGCGACGATAGACCTAATGTGCGCGGCGCGCCTCCCTTGCTTTGGTGCAACTCTAGTACGAAACGAGGCGCATCGTCGGGAGTTCCCGAAACGCGATGAAGGGATCCATGAAGGCATTTTCCCAAGGTCGTGACGGAACCGCGGCTCCTAAAATTCTTTTGGTATCTCCGGCTCCCCGGCGCTGCGCACGCCCGCCGGCCAGATCGATATCCCGACGTTTTGTGTCGTTCGGCCCAAGATGTCGTCGCTCAAGCCTGCGCCCAAGATGTGCGCCCGCCCGCCCACGCTCTCCCCTCGTCTTGGGCGAGAGCGCAGAACCGCCGCGCCATGCGCAGGTCACCACCGATCGAAAAGTGGGTGAAGCACCGCGAGGATTTTCACCTGCGCTACCGGCCCACCGGTAAGAACGTGCGCGACGTGGTCCTCTGGGGCGTCGCCTTCCCCGTCTTTGTCTACTACCTCACTGTCTACCAGCAGGCGCGCGTGTGGCGAGAACCCGGCGGGTCCGAGAGAAGAGGGGCCGCGCGCGGCCCTCGTAGCCACCCTGAGCCCGCCCCTCCTCACCTCGTCCTACCCCCCGCGGCCTCGCAGAAGGAGGTCGACCGGCTGAACGGCAGGCCAAACACCAAGTACATGGGCTGAGTGGCAGAGCTGGGTGCGTGGGAGAGGGGGTGATGGGCTGCGGGCAACCTCACCGCGGCCTCTCTCCCGGCGGCGCAACCTCCGTGGGTGCGCCTGCTGCACAGCACAGTCTATCATGAGCGCGCGGCACGCTCGCAACCGCTGCTGGCGCTCGCGTGGTCTGACGCGCACTTGCCCTGACTAAATAGTCACTTGCCGGGGGACGGTGCGGCCGCTTTTATGCGGTTTATCGCTTTTTTTCATCTTCCCGAGCCGCTCCGCTGTGGAGGTGGCGCGCATTGCCACACTTGCGCCACTTAGCTGACGCAGAAATATTCTCGGCACACAGCAAGAGTGAGATAGCGGAAAGACGGCGCAGGCGGACGTCCGGCGTGTGTGGTCGCGGCGCGGGAAGCAGCGGCCTGCCAGGCACCCGGCCCCCGCCGTCCCCGACCCGTGCGCGTGCGCGAGCTTCGGCCGAGGTGTCGACCCGGGCCGCCGACGAGCCCCAGCCAGCCCGCCAGCGGAGTGCGCCAGCGAGCTCGCGGTGCGGTGGGAGAGGCCCTCTCTCTCGCCGCGCGAGAGAAGTTCACGCGCAGCTCACGCTGACGTGGTGGTGGGTGGGGCGGTGGTCCCTCAGGCCGCCTTGTTGGCGGCCTTCTTTGGCGTGCCTCCGAGCAGCAGGATCTGCGCCACGATGACAAGGTTCAGGCCGAGCGAGAGGACCACCTGGGGGGGGGGGGGGGGGCTGACAACGCTCGCGGCGTCGAGTAGTCGACGCTTCGAGCGGCGGCGGCGTGGGTCGACAGCGGCGGCGTGGGTCGTGGGCAGAGGAGGGAGAGGAGGGAGGGCGGGGCCGCGCTGCGCGCCTGTGTGTCGCTGCCGCAGGTTCTGCGCTATCTGCGGCGGGGGCGAGGAGGGGCGGCGGTGAGGCGCCGCCCCCGCGCGCCACTGCCGCGGCGCCTCCTCGCGTGCTGCAGCGACTAGCGTTCCTGCGGCACCGCTCCCGGTGGTGGGTGGGGCGCAGAGTGGCTGGCACCCGCGCCTGCGGCAGGCGACCGACAAGCCCAAGCAGCATGGGCAGGGTGCCCGCGAGCTCCTCGCAGCTGACGGTGCAGCGGCGGAGGCCGAGCGCGCCGCACGCGGCTGCCGGAAGCACAAAGTCAGGCACGAGCCGCCGGTAGAGGACGTAGCCGGATGCACACGCGGCGCTCGCCTGCGCGGCAGCGTCGTGCGCCCACTCTCAGGCGTCGGTGCGGCGAGAGGGGCGGCGGCGCGTGCCGCTCTCGTCTCGGCGGTCGCTCGCTGGGCAGCGCCTCGAGCAGAAAGCTGGCGCGCAGCCCGCCCGACATGTGCGCGTGGAGGATGTAGAGCGCGCTGTTCTGGGCGAGGAGGAAGGCGTTCTCGCCCCAGGTGGAGAACGGGTAGCCGAGCGGCAGAAAGTAGCTCACGTTGACCAGCGTCGCCACAAACTCAAACAGGACGGAAGCGTGCGAGATGCCCGCGACGCTGCCAGCCCGGTGGATCTTGAGGATCTGGGGCAGCTTGACGAGCGCGCTGCCAGCGATCACGGCGTAGCCGATCGCCTTGCTGACGAAAAGTTTTGGGCACTCGGTTTCGAGGAATGCAGTGGTGTTATTGAGTAGTTGCTGGAGACAGTCGTCCATGCCGGCGTTGTCGAATAAAGAATAAACAATTTGTCGAAATTTGGGGTCCCGCCTGGAGCTCCCAGATTCTACTCTCACTCTCTCAACCCACGGCCGCCGCGTGCGTGTGAGGACCGCGCCACCTGTGCAGTGCGCGCCGCTCTGCGTCTTGCAACGAGCGCACCTCCTCTCTCCCCGCTGCGGCGTCAAACGAAAATCTATGTGCCTTGCCAGCGTGGTATATCGTTGCTTATCGCATGGGAAAGCAGATGGCACGCGTGCGCAACTATTCGCGGATTCGCGCCGGCGACTGCGCACTTGGGAGGGAGCACGCCCTGCGGGAGTTGCGCGGGTTCCGTAGATCTAGCCTCACACTATATACACACACATGTCACAACCGGCTATGTGTACGCTCGGGCGTCGGGGAAAGAGGACCATGAGTTCGGGAAATCTGGCGACGCGACCCACCTTGCCCCACAGGACGGTCCCGGGCTCCTCCCGGCGCCTCTCGCCGCTAAGCGGATGGGGACACTTCGCCCCTCATCGCGTCGAAGCGCGAAAAGCGAAACTTGGATGCGTGTGCGCTCAGCACCTCGTAGTCGGACGCCGTGCCCTCGATGGCGCCCTCGGCCTGGGCGCTGGTGGTGTAGAAGCCGGCCCAAGGGTAGAGGTCCTTCTTTCCGTTGAGTGGCTCTTGCCGCGTGTACGACTGGCCGATTAGGCCGTGTGGTCTGTCGCGAGATGGCGCGTCGCCGCGCGCGGAGAATCCGATGTCGAGGCGGTGCTCGGCGCCCGAGACCAGGCAGCCCTTGCACGTGTGCATGCCGTGCACCTTCATGGTCCAGTTTCGGAATGCGAAGATGGCGCTCGAGTAGTCCATTGCCATCGTGAGGCCGAAGCAATCCTTCTTGCCGTGAGCGCCGAACTTGAAGGGGCGGCCGACGCAGGTGCCGTTCACCACCTGCCACCCAAAGTTGTTGGGCGAGAGCTCCGACGCGAAAAATGAGGCCGTGGCGAGCTTCTGCGGGGAGAGCTGCGCGGTGATGTGCGCCTCGGTGAGAAAGGTGCCGTTGATGGTCAGGGCACCGCCGTGCATCTTGAAGACAGCCTCCTCCGTCTTGACGTTCACCGACAGTCCGGGCGCAGACAGGAAGTTGTAGAGCGTGTTGTGGCGGCCGCGCAGGTCGGCGGAGCCTCCGTAGGCAAAATTGATGTGCGGGTCCCGGAAGACATTGCTCTCGAGACACGGGTCTTCCGAGGCCAGCGGCGCAACCAACAGCGGCAGCATTGCCCGCCAAAGGTCGCCTCGGCGGCCCACGATGCGCTTGGAATTGTGTGGTCAAGCCGACGGGCGCTTGCGGCTTGCACGTTGGGTCCAATTGCAAACCGACCGCTTGTGCGAATCTTTGTGTCTCCAAGTGCTGTGTTTGTAAAATCTGCTGAAAGCGAACCAATGGCTTACTTAGACAAAGAGCAGAATTCTCCTGGTAAATCAATTTTTCGGGCTCTGAGCCGAGTCCGAGGCTGGTTTTGTTGGGGCCAAAATCAGCAAAATCGCGGCAAAAAAAACGCAAAGAGCGACATAATCTGAAAATCCACGTTCGGATCGCTCCTCATCGCAAACCCCGTCAGCAGTTCACCCCTACGGGTATGTTCGTAAGAGCTACATACACTGAAAATCCCCGGAGAGAGATATTTTGCCAGACAGATGAAAGCAGACGTCTGCAAACCTTGCAAACACCTATCTCAAACTTCTCCCACATTTTTAGTTTCCAAAAAATTAGGACTGCCGAGGGCGGAGGGTTGGTTAAGTCTTAAGAGGGTTGTGGGCACTCTGTTTTTTGTTTGTGGGCGGGAAACTTGACATCTGGAGACACGTACGTACGACAAACTTGGTGGCACAAGGCACGCCGCCGCCCACCCGCACCTCTCTCGCACTTTCGGCGCCCAGGACTGCTGTCGGCGCCGCGCAACCGGCTCCGCACATCGGAGGACACCCAACGTGGACCAACTTTATGCTTTCGTTAGTCCAAGCCACTGTCAAAGCAACAAACTGTCTCTGTCAAAGAAGGCGCGCAAGAAGATGCGCCACCGTGGCACTGCTCGCTCAACAAGAGGCGCGTCAGAAGGCCGCTGCTTCCGTGGCGCAGGCGGAAGCCTCGCTCGCGCTCGAGTGTGTGGCAAGCGACCACATCACCTCCTGCGTGGATTGCCCCGTACCCCCTCCGACAGTTGACTCCAGGTCGCACCCGGGCCCTCCGGTCTTGGCCTTCCGGTTCGCCGACAGACCCGCTGTCGCCTCGCTCGCGGTCGGTACCTCCCCTCCTTCGGTCCCCCCCTTCGGGTAGCCCAGCCTCCGACGGGGCGGCTCCGCGTTCCCCAAAGTTCGTGTGGGTCCGAGCGGTGGCGGCCACGCCGGCGGCGGGGGTGGAGCGGCGGCGGGGGGCGGGTACGGTGCGTACGCGGTTTGTTTCTTGCACTTGCTTGGTTGGCGCACTTGCATTTTCGCTTCTCTGTGCGGGGCCCGGGTCCGGAGAGTCGCACACACACACACCCCGGGTGACTTCCTAGGTATAACACGCACCGCATCTGGGGAGAGCCCGAACCCACTCGCATAAATGGAGGACGACGAGGTCGACATACCCGTGCTCGACGGCAGAGGGCGTGTCCACGGGACCGCCGGCCTGTGCGACACCTCGCTCGGCGTGTGGGACGACGCCGTACGGCTGCTCAACCCGGCTGCTCTCCGCGCCGAGGCCCAGTCCGCCGCCTGGCCGCTCGCGGCCTCCTCCTTCTGGCTCGCGGCCGATGCCGCGCCGGCTTGCGCGCTGGAGGCGCTCGCCGCGGCCATCTTCAAGCTGCACGCCGGGAGCGCGGCAGGGCGGTTCGACCCGGCCTGCAGCGGCGCCGAGTGGTGGGCGAATGTGTCCGACTCGGCCAGCGTGTGCCGGGAGCGCGACGGCTACGGCAAGGTCGCCCTCCACTTTGACAAGGACGAGGCGGTCTACGCGGCGGCGGGAGTCTTTGTCCACCCGCTCCTCGCCACGATCACGCACCTCGGCGAGGAGGGCGCGCCGACGCTGATCGTTCCGGGCGGCCAGGTAAGTGCGGAGGGCGAGTATGCCGCCTCGCGCCTCCCCGAGGCGGTCCTCGTCCCGCCGCGGCGAGGGAGGCACGTCCGCTTCGACGGCCGCTGGCTGCACGGCGTGCCAGAGGCGCTCTGCAGCCCGAAGCCATACCGCCGCGTCACCTTCCTGGTCAACATCTGGATCGGCCACCGCCCGCAGTGCCCCCGCTTCCCCGCCCCCACCCTCGCGCCCGCCCGACCGCTCTCGAGCGGCGACGCCGCCCCGCCGCCATTTCGGCTGCGTCAGCGGCGAGCCGCGCCGCCAAACGCGCCGGTGCGGCGGGTGGCGGCGCGGCCGGCGGCGGCGGCCCTCCCTGCGGGGGAGGGGCGGCGGGAGGCCACCTCGGACCTCGCCCTCCCTGTGGATCAGACGGCGGAGCCTTTTGTGCTGCGGCTGCGCGCCTCCGAGGGCGAGCTCCGGCGCTTGCTGGGTGGCGGGGAGGTGGTCGTGCTGCGCGCGCCGCGCCGCTCTGCACTCTCCGGAGCGGGGGCCGCCGCCGCCGCGGTGGTGCTGGAGCGAGCGAGCAGCGAGGGCCCGCCGCCGCCGCCGCCGCCGCCTGCTTGCCTTAGGGTGAGGCCGAGATGAGTGTCCGTACTCCGGTTAGGGTTACCTTACGCTGTAAGTGGAGCAGGACAGCAGGTCCCTGCCGCTGCCCCGCTCGCCGCTCGCGGCGATGTGCGCGCAGTGCGGTCCGCCTTTGTGCCTGCGGACTGGGGTTCTTTTTGTGCGCTTTTCTCTGCGCTTTCAGCACTTTCCGAAAAGCGAAATATGACACGTCTCGCTACACTGATGATTAATGCTAGACGTGTGTATACCACGTTGTTGGCGTCATCGGCGGACCCTACGGCTTGGTATGTGACTCGTGAGTCACCTGAGGTGTGTTGGCGAAACACACGTGACCCGATCGCGAGCTGCAGCCGACGAGCCGAGCTGCAGGCTCTGCAAGCTGATCGCGGTGAGGCTACGTCCGCACGCTCCGAGTCCGCTCATACTCTCTGAGGTACCGTCGCGCCTCCTTCGCCCACACCGCGCTGACGTGCTGCGGCGCCTGGAGCTTGGCGCCGAGGCCTCGCAGCAGCAGCGAGGAGCGGGCGACAAGCATGTACTCCTTTGGGAGGGCCGTGATCTTGTCCTGCTGATTGAGCTGGAGGAGGAAGGCGGGAGGCGAGCAGTCGGCGACGTTGCGGTCGAAGAAGTGCGTGGCGAACTGGACGATGACACTCCGGTCCATGTGCTTGGTGCGCATGCCCATCTCGACCGCCGCCGAGACGACCGCGTCGTCATCGCGGGCGGAGAGCCCCATATAGAGCCGTGCGAGCGAGGCGCGTTGCCGCGCGCTCAGCGTCTTGCTGCACCCGAAGTCGAGCAGCCCGAGTCGCGCACCGCCGCCGCCGCCGCATAACCCGCCGAGGCCGAGGCCCCTCCTCGCCCTCGGGACGAGGAAGACGTTGCCGGGGTGCGGGTCGGCGTTGAAGGTGCCGAGCTCGAAGATCTGCAGCGCCTGAGCGCGCAGCAGCAGCGCCAGCTGCCGCTCCGTCGACGCGCGGAGAGAGAGGAGCAGCGGCAGTCGAATGGGCGGCGGATAGCGGTCGAGCGCCGCCACGCGCGCGAGGAGCGCCTCTCGCATCGACCGGCCCTCGACAAAGTCCATCACGAGCAGCTTGCGAGTGGAGAGGCCCTCGTAGCAGCGAGGCACCACCAGCCGCGACGCGAGCCGGCGCGCGCCCGTGCTGCGCCCGCCGCCGCCGCCGCCGCCGCCGCTGCTGCCGCCGCGTCCGAAGAATGAGGAGACCGCGTTCATTGTCCTCCCCTCCTCCTCGTAATCAAACTCCTGGCCCATGCGGCTGCGGTACTCCTTGACGACGTTGGCCTCGGCCTTCTTGCCGAGGACCGTCAGCACGCCGTGGATGTTGCCGAGGTCAGACAGGATGAGACGCTTGGCGTCAGGGTACTGCAGCTTCACAGCCACCACGCGCCCAGAGTCGCGCAGCACCGCGCGGTGCACCTGGCCGACGCTCGCCGTGCCGAGCGGCTCGCGATCGAAGCTGCTGAAGACCTCCTCGACGCCGCCGGTGTGGCCGCTGCGCCGCAGCTCGCGATTGAGCTGCCGGCGCACGTGGCGCCACGGTCGTCCGCCTGGCGCAGCGTCGACCATCGGCTCGAGCTTGCGGACATACTTTGGCCGAACTGGCGGCGGCGAGAGCGAACCCAGCACCTGGGCCGCCTTGATGAAGGCGCCGCGCATGCGGCCAATAAAGGACGCAAATCGACGGGAGAGCACCTCGTCGAGCTCGTCGAGCGCTCGCGCGCGCGCCTCGTCCGACTCGAAGCGCCGACACTCAAATAGTTTGAGGCGGAGCACGATCGGCATGACGTTCACCTGCGTGCGCACCGCGCGCCGAAACGGTCGCCATAGCGTGAAGAGTGACGCTGGCAGCAGGAGCGGCAGCTGAAGTGTGAGCGGCGCAGCCAGCAGCCGTGCGACGAGCGCGGAAGCAGCGCCTCGCGCGTCATCGTCTCTGTTGCTGCTGCCATCAGGTCTGAAAACGGTGGGCGGCGGTGGCGGCGGCGGCGATGGCGGCGCCGCCGCCGCACAAAGCGTGGAGCGGCGGTGTGACGGCTGGCGGCGGCGAGCGCGCAACGGCGACGAGCAGACGAGCGCTGTGCTGCTGCTCGCGGTGAGGACAGCGGCAAGCGTGAGGCGTGCCCCGAGGGCGAAGTGCATACACACGTGTACCACTGTGCCGCGGTTTCTTCTTTCTACTCTCCGTTGGGCCTCTCGGGACGATTGGAGACGGGTGGTCAAGAAGGATGCAGGCTCGAAATGGATGGGGGCGCAGTACTACGACGCGAAGTGGGTAGCCATAACGCGGCTGGTGCTCGTGCCTCGTGGAGACTTTGGGTGGGTGGCATTGCGCCGCCCACCAAGCAATTCCTCCACGTGTTCGCCAAGGAAGCGGTGGGCACCAACACGGACCGGACGGTGTATTGGGCGGCGTCGGCGAGCGCCTCCTCCTTTGTCGTCCACCACACGCAGCAGATCTCCATGGCGGCGGTGGCGGGCGACGCCGAAAACATTAAGAAGCAGGCGCGCACTGTGCGCACCAACTGGATCAAGAACAAGCAAGCGGCAAACGGCCTCTTGTCCTCGGCCCCAGTGGGGGGTGCCCGCGCCGCCTAGCTCTGCGGACGGGCCCCTCCACCCTTCACGTACGGATCATGTAGTCCCCACACAGCACACTCGCTGTCGTCGTGGGATCGCTTGTCATGTGAGAGAAAGAAAGAAAGAAAACAGACGCCCCAAGGGATGGATGGGAGGACGGCACGCCGCCACCAGACAGGGATTTTCCATGTGAGAGAGTGCGTGTTGTCGCTTTATTACTGAGGAAGCCGTCGCCCGCGCCTCGCCTGTCGCGTGAATCGTGTCGTGCGACCACTTACTGGCGTCATGAAGCGCTCCCGAGCCGAAAATGAAGAGCAACAGCCGGCGTCGGCCCGCTCCATATACGCCATCGCGTCCGAGTCGAGCCTGGACGCCGCGCTCGAGCAAGCGCCGCAGCCGCTGCGTGCTGCCATCGCTTGCCGCACGGGACTGTGGGGTGGCTTTGTGCACATGACACTCTGCTCGTTTGACGAGCATGTTGGCGTCGACGTGATTGAGGCGGCGGAGGCCATGCTGGCGAGCGGGCGGTCACGACTCGAAGACACACACGCAGCCGGTGACAGGTGCTTGCGACTACCCGTGGACCGGTGGGAGTGGGACGATCCGGTTGACGGTCGGAGCGCGTACGCCGGTCGGCACATCCTCGTCTGCCACCTCAGGGGCGGCTCCAACGTCCTGAGTGCAGTGATGAAGACCTGCGGAGAGCACAGGCTGGTCGGCACACGCGTCAAGTCGCGGGAGCCGTCGTCAAAGGCGCTGCACGTGACGATTCCGCTCGAGGCGAGGAGGCTGCCGTGCGACGGGGCGGCGATCCGCGCCTTCCTCGCGCGGCTCGAGTGGGAGCTCGCCGTGGTCAGGCTGGACGGGCCAAAGGCGGCGGCCACGCCGCCAGCGTCGAGTGGCGCGTTCGTCAATTAGTATTGCTTCAACGGTTGCATAGGCGGCGACCACGCCGCTGACTGTCGAGTGGCGCGGAGCGCTCTCCGTCTCCACGCAAGGGTCCGGACAGAGCTGAGGTAGCGAGGGGTAGGGCCGCCATTTTGGCCAGGGCCAGTGCCTCGCGGTGCACTAAGCACGCACCGTCCGGTGCCGGCGTGGTCATATGAGACGCGCCGGCGCTATGTTTGTGGGAGCAGGCGGCGATGTCCTGATAGAGTTTATCGCGCGGCGCCTGCAGCCTGCATGGGATCTTGGGCAACTTTGCAACAGCGTTTGTGCGTTGGGCAGCTCGGCGAGCAAGGTCGGGCTAATAGAGTAATGGCGGCACTCATTGGGGCAGCATATACACACATCGTAACATGTCGAAGGGGAAGGGCGCCGTCGCCCCGCCAGCCGCACGACGAGACATCTCGAGAAAGATTTAGTTTTAAAAATAAACCCTCCCAGCTCCACTCGGCTACGGTCGGTACCGACTAGAGGATCGAAGTAGGACGGAGATGGGCACAACAGAGGAGCTTCCGCCGCCATCAAGGCCATCCCATCCACATTAGCCCGGGCCCCTCATCTCCTGATGCCGATAGTTCGGGCCGGGCCGAACACATCGACGTGGCAGTGCCCGCCGGTGCCCTAATTTCCCGGCACCTGAGATGAAACGAAATTGGAGGACTTCAAGCGTTTTACGTTGCGATATTCGCTCGCCGCTCGTGCCCTGCTCGTGCCGATCGATGACGACGCGGCCACAAAGCGCCGCTGCGGACGAGCGAGGCCCCCGCCCTCCACCCGTGCGAGTCGAGGCGGTGGGAACTGAGCCAACTACGCAATCCGGAGGCCTTGAGCTTGGACGCATCTTGGGCTCCGGTTCCTTTGGCCAGGCGAGGGAGCGTGCACGCTAGAGCCCAGATCCGCCAAGTCTTACCCACCATTACCGTCGTCCAGGTCCGACTTGGAAAGTGGACTGGCACCGGCGAGCTCTGCGCTGTTAAGGAGTTCGACCTCTCTGCGACCGCCCGTGCCGACATGATGCATGAGGCACAGCTCATGGAACAATGCTCGCATCCCCACATTGTCAGGATCCTGGATGTGCGCGAAGACGGGCTTCGACTGCGCCTTGTGCTCGAGCTGTGCGAGGTTGCGCCGCCCCCTCGCCGCCCCGACCTAGCTACAAATCCTCGACCGCCTTCCCCATCGCCTACAGGGACCAACTCTCCAACGGCTCCTCGACCTGCGCGGTGCCCTCCTCGAGGCCGAGGCGAGGCGCATCTTCTCGCAGGTCTGCTTATAGCCCAGCGCTTGCCCTTCACCATAGTGCAAGGCTGTCCCTCCTGGCCTTAGGTCTGCTCCGCGCTCTGCTACCTCCGCGAGAACCTCATCGTGCACCGCGACGTCAAGGTACGTCCCCTGGGCTGTTTGTGAGGTTGATGCCCCTGCCGGGCCTCCCCGACTAACACTGCCTGCCTCCGCTCCTCCGATGGGCAACATCCGTTCTGCCCTTCCATCTGTCCCTGTCATACCTCCCTCCGCCTCGCGCCCCCCCTACGCAGCCGGCGAACGTGGTCCTCCTGCACGCCGTGCCCGACCACCGCCGCTCGCCGCTCGCCGGCTGCGTGAGCAAGCTGATCGACTTTGGGTTCGCGCGCGAACTTGGTGTTTCTGCTCACGGCGCCTCCAAGCGCGTATCGCGGCGCAGCTCTCCGTCCCGACGCGGGCCGGAGGGGGGTAGAGCCGATTCGCGCGACAGCTCGGTGCACGGCCATGAGACATGGGCGGCACTAGACATGGACGGTTCGCTCGACTTTGATGGCCGCACCCACGCCGCTTCGTGGCAGAACACCACCTATCTACCCAGCAGTCCGGTCCGTCAGCGCGACTGGGCGTTGCAGTCGGCGAGTGTTGCGGAGGAGCGTACCATCGCGGTGACGCCAGTCGGAACCCGCCACTGGTGCCCCCCCCGCCCCCGCCCCCGCCCCCCGCCCCGCCCCTTCTTCCCCTTTCCCCGAGCCGGGTCTGCGGTGTCAATTTACTGACCCGTTTGGCATTGCATCACCCGGACGTATTGACATTCCGCGCTGTACCTCCTGCGCATAGGGCCGAGCCACGCCTGCAGTCGGCTACTCTCTGCGGAAGAGTGGGCGAGGATGGCCGAGTCGACATGACTCTCGACGAGGCGCGCGACAGACCCGCCCTGCGGCGCCCTCCCGTCGCGCCCCCTCTTTATCGTGCCAGTCGTGTCGCACTAGGCCCTTCAGCTCGATATGTTCTCGCTCTCCCGGCTCCTGCGGTACATGCTGACTGGCGCCCCCACCCCCAACCCCGCGGCTCACGGCAGAGGCGGGGGAGCTCGGTCTGAGATCGCGCCTCGATGTCACCGCAAGGCGCACCCCCGAACCAGACTATCATGGAGGCGCTCGAGGCGCAAGGACTGCTGGACTGCAGCTGCTGCGGCGGCCCACCCAGGCGCGTGGTGCGCGAGCTCAGCCAGGTTTGAAGATCCGCGCGGAAGTCTAAGCAGAGCATCGTCAATTACGCCCAGAGGGCGTGACCTTGGTCAGGTGAGCACGGAGGCGCAGACAATTCTTGGCTCCCTCTCGGCGAATGCAGCCGAGCGCGCCGACATTTTCGAGGCGCGTCGCGCACGAGACGAAGCGGAGCTGGGCAGAGGTCTGCGGTTGGCGCGGCGTCTTCACTCGCACCGCCTCATGTGAACAGGCGTGCAGCTCGCGCTGGATCATGGACGAGTCCGTCCACACCCGATGCCAAGCCCGGGCGGCTGAGCGGTGCGCGTCGCCTTTGCGCGCGGCGGTCAAGAAGGCCCTCTTCGCGCCAGTCGGCTCCAAAGCGACCACAGCCAGCCCGCCTCGCACCGCCTCCCCCGACTCGGTTTTTGTGCTGTGAGCGTACGCGCGACTGGCCGGGCTTACATGCGCCGCCGCTGGGCTGCAACTACAGTCGTCGTGCCGCAGTGGCGAGCGCGACACGCAATGCTAGACGGGATCTGGGGCGCGCTTGTCTTTCCGGGTGGAGGCGCCACCAGACAGTGCACCGGTCCACGGACGTCAGACCACAGACCACACCGCTCACCGGACTCCGGAAGAGAGTACTCTTCACATGATGTTCCATCGTGTCTCGCACGTATAGTCCCCCGCTGGCGGGGGGTGAAAGCGCCTCATGGAGGGGGACCGAGGTCCGACCCCGCGAGCGCGACCGACGCCGGGGAGCGGGGCGATGCTTGTACGCCGCGTAGCCGTATGAGACACATAATAGACCAACTCTCCCGTAGCTAAAAGTACGTACGACCAACCTGAAACCTACACCTCATCCATTCGCCTGCGCGACCACAATTCGCGGGTGGCAGCACGAATCATCGTAGCCCTCCACTCTAAGCATCGCTGGCGAATCGTCCAGCGCTGCAAGTTCGAAGAGGCCGGGTGCGTCCCGACGCAGAAGCACCCGTGGGGCAACACCGCCCTTCGGCGCACGGCGAGACAGCTCTCGCAGGGCATCCTCATTCACAGCGTACGCATGTGCGCTGCCAGCGGGGAGGTGAATGCTGAGACGACCAGCGCTCAGCGCCACCTCGCCGTCAGTGCGGCGGCGCACCTCCCGGGCCACGAGGTGGAGGATCACCGACCAGACGTACGCGTCGTGCGGCAGCCCGAGAATCACGTCCGACGAGCGCTGCTGGAGCGCGAGGTCGAGCGATCCGCCTCGGACCGAAAACTGCGCCGAGGATGTGCACGCAGGCTGGACCGTCGCCTGGGAGGGGTGCACCAGCGAGACGATCAAGTTGCGCGACGGCTCGCCGCGCCGCTTGCAGAGCGGCGTGATGACGTCCTTCTCGAGCGGGTTCAGGCGCCCCCCCTCGGCCTGCGGCCAGCGGGTGAGCAGCCCATAGTTTAGCCCGACGACGCCGTCTACGGAGGCCTGCGCGTCCCAAAACCGGCACTTGTGCCTCCTGAGGAAGTCAATGGTCGCCTCGCCGCGCAAGTACCACAGCGCCTCGACGAGGCCCGGTTTGGCCGCGAGAAAGCGGAGCGTGGTCAGCGGCACGAGCCCGAGCGTCTCAAAGGCAGGGTCTTCTGGCGGCGCGAGCGGGGAGGGCGGCTCCAGATCAATGTCGAGGGTGAAGGCGGCCTTTGAGAGCGTCCGATTGACGCCCTTCCTGTTGCGCTGCAGCTCCCCCTCGGCGAGCACCCGGCACAGCAGGCGAGAATAGCCAGCATCAAAGGATCCGGAGCCGGAGCCCACCTTGCACAACGGCGGCACCGAGCGCACCCTGTAGCGGTTGCTTTTGCGGAGCAGCCCCCACCGCTGCTGCTCCTCTATGCGGGTCTCCTCGCCTGCGGGGAGCTCCTCCCAAACCTCACCGCGGCGCACGAAGACGGACTTGTTCCGCGCCCGCAGCACGAGCCCCTGCGAGGTGAGCAAGAGCTGTGCGTGCGCCCGGCTCACCTCGTCGCCGCTGAGCTGCACGTCACAGTCCTCGCCGCGTCCAATGGAAAGGCCTCCGGCGCCGACCGTGAGAATAACCCCAGATCGCTCGTCCGCGACGAGGGCGCACTGCTCCTCGGGTGCCTGGTCCGAGACTTGGGAGCCTGTGACAGTCTTCCTGCGTCGATTCGGGCTCTTCGTCGTCACCTCCGCGCAACGGCGTTGAGAACGTGGCCTTTGGCGGCCCGTTCTTCTTGCTCGCTGAGTAGTAGTCGTCCACCCGCGTGCGTTTGCCGGGAGGATCCATCCGACATCGTCGGCAGCCGCGATTTGAGCAGGTGTGCCGCCGCGCGAGCGACGCTCCGAGATCGCCCGAGATAGCGCGGCGCGGCCCCGGCCCGAGATAGCGCGAGATCGCCCGAGATCGCGCGGCGCGGCCCGAGGCGAGGTGGATGGGTTGGGAGCGAGGGGGCGGAAGTGGCCAGTGCGGTAGAGGGTCAGCTCGAGGCGCGTGAGCCGGACTTGTGAGCCGGACCACCCCCTCTTGTTTCCTGCGTTGTTGAGCCAGGACTCAACATACTCGGGCTGTTGCCATCCCAATCTGTCACTCCCCTTTCTCCCGGCCGGGGTGGGGCGCGCGCGGGGGCGGCGGGTGTGCGGCGAGTGTGCGGGATGTCTGTGGGCCCGAGAGCGATATGCCATGTCCGCCTTGCGTTTGTTTCATAACATCGAAGGCTAAGCTCAAAAAAAATAATACAGACGGGTGGTCACTTGTTGTAGCCTTTGTTTTTTATTTTTGGGGGGGAGGATCGAACCCGCTTATCTCGATGCATGCGCGACCGGTGGCATGAGGCATGTTAGTAAGACCATACTGCTGTAGGTCTTAACCTGGCATCTGAGCCCTGGCTGTCAGGCTGTCAGGTGCTGTCAGGTGATCTGTCGGGCTGTCGGGCAGCTGTCAGGCACTGTCAGGTGCCTCTGTCAGACCAGCTGTCAGGTGCTGTCAGTGCTGTCGGGTGCTGTCGGGTGCATGTCTGACAGGCGAGGGGTTCTGTAGCTGTCAGGTGCTGTCGGAGCTGTCGGGTGTTGCTGTCAGACGCTGTCGGAGCTGTCAGAGCTGTCAGGCTGCTGCTGCTGTCAGACGGTGGGCTGTTACTGTCAGGTGCTGTCAGGTGGTGCTGTCGGGGTGCTGTCAGGCTCTGACACACACCAGCCACACTTATGACACTATCAAGAGGAGATCAAGCAGGACTCTACTACACATACATACTCTAGCCTCTACTCTGCCTCCGGTCCCACCATCTTTTTCATGGTGGACGTCACCATCTTCTTGTCTGCCGCACTGAGAGCATAGCAGAGAGGCAGGGTGGAGTGCTTCTTCAGGTACACCTTGCTGATGATCTGGTAGTTGCTGGTCCAGCGGAAGGCCTCCCCATCGTTGTCGCTCGTCAGCTTGTAGTACTTGCACGCTCTGTTCTGGTAGCGCGGGCCGTCTGGGGGGGTCCCGTCACCCTTCACCTCACGGTACCACCGGAGGATAAAGAGGCCCTTGGGGTCGTTGATGAAGACCCCGTTGCTGCGCTGACTCATGGAGAGCTGGCGCAGGTACTCTGCGCTGGAGCTGCCAGTGGCGCGGCGCGCGTCTACTGTGCCGTCGGCGACGGCCACCTGCTCAATGTTGCCGATGGCAAAGACCTTGGAGCTGTCCTTGGAGACGGCCACCCCCACCCAGACGCCGTAGGCATATGACTGTAGGGCCCCAGAAGGCTAGCTGGTAGCTTCATTTGTAGTAGCACAGCCGCCGGTGCTAGAGAGGGGTCCGCAGAGGTGGCGGGCGGGAGGGTTGAGAGAGAGACCCATGACCATCCCATGACTACATGGACCACACTCACATGTCTTTGCATGTAACTTTGTTATACCCTCAATGGGGCACAAGAAAGAGGCTCTACGGGGTCTGTGTACGGTCTGTGCTGCTGTCGGGCTGTCAGGCTGTCAGCGCTGCTGTCAGGCCACTGTGTGCTGTCGGGCTGTCAGGCAGCTGTCAGGCTGTCACGTTAGGGCCTGACAGCGACGGAACCCCTCGCCTGCCAGACTCTGCTGTCAGGCTGTCAGACACGTGCTGTCAGACTGTCAGAGAAAGTGCTGTCAGCGCTGTCAGGCTGTCGGGCACTGTCAGGCGCTGTCCGGGGGTTGCTGTCAGGCTGTCAGACCAGGGCTCAGCCTGGCATAGTAGAGAGAGAGAGAGAGAGAGAGAGAGAGAGAGAGAGAGAGAGAGAGAGAGAGAGAGAGAGAGATGAGAGAGAGATTTTTAGAAGCCAACTCGAACTCTTGTAGTACGTGTACTTTCCCCGCTATCCGCGTCGAACCTCGTCATCACGTCCCACCGGCCAACCCCGCGCCCCCCCTCGCCGAGCCCGCGTCTGCCTCGTCGTTCCACCAAAAGGACACCGAGAAGCTCACCGTCAGGGCCTGCGCGGAATGCCACCACCCCTGCGGGATGAGCAGCGCATCGCCCGGCTCGAGCGTGTGCAGGGACGCCGCCTGCCGGAGCTGCTCCACCTCCTCCGTTGTCCACGTCCCATCGGCCGGCGGTGTCTCGAGCAAGCCCGGGTCGAAGGGGGAGGTGTTGGCGAGCGGCGAGCCGAGCGGCGGCGCGCGCAGCAGGCCTGAAGCAGATGCCCTGGGATCCTCCGGGCACCGCAAGTGCGCGCGTCAGGCTGGGCGGCAACTGTGCCTCGCGCCGCGGGCGGCCACAGCTGCACTCGCTTGCGGCCGACGAGCTGCACGAGCAGGCCGTGGTGGAGGTCGTGGTGCACCTGCGGGTCGTGGTCCCGGTGTCCGGGTCGGGGGGGGCGGGCGTCCGCAGCGCTGCCAGCCCCTCTTCGCTGCTAGTCTCAGTGGCAGAGGAAGGTGGCACTGGTGTCTGCAGGCTCGACGGGCGGGGAGGGCGGAGGCATCGGCGGGAGGCATCGAGCTCTCTCGGGAGTCCGAAGCGGAGGCGCACCGGCGTCGCCACGCCCGCGGGGCCGAACCAGGCGCGTAGGTCGGCGGAGGGCGGGACGGCGGGCGGCGTCCCGAGGTCGTCGCGCAGGGAGGGGATCTGCTCGAAGAGGGTGTGCTGTGCCAGGTAGCCCCGCGTGCAGCTCGACGTGACGGGCACCGTCGGCGAGACCGCGGTTGGCAGGCCGCCCCGGCGCGTGGCGGCGTGGCCGGCGAGGATCACGTCGTCGATGAAGGCCTCGAGCGTGCACACAACCTGCCGATCCGGGCGGGTGACAGTCTCCCTTTCCGGCTGGCTCCTTCCGGCTGCCTTGCCATGTGTGCGTGCTAGTCCCGCCGCGTGGAGTGAGCTGCAGTCCCTCGCTCGAGTGAGTGCGATATCTTGCGCACTATTATACAGGGCACTCTTGAACTGTGAGAGCCCCGAGAGTCTTCGCTGGCCGACTAGAGCGTAAAGCGCAGAGAACTGGAGGGAGTGTGCCCCGCGCCCGCCCGCCCACCCCGATGAGCATCTGCACGCCACCTGCTGCTCGCCCACGCCGTGCAGCGCCCTCTCCCCGATGTGCTCCGCCCCAACCTCCACGGGCACGAGCCGGTGGCCGTACCGGGCGCGGAGGTAGTTCGGCTCGCTCCACCTCCGGACAGCGGGCCACGCAGCAGCGAGGCGGGGCGCAAGGCGCGGGCAAGAGAGCGCGCAAACGGCAGACACAAACGCACGCAAGTCCGCACCGCTCATCTCGCCAGTCGGCGGGGGCGGCACGCCCCAGCCACGCGTCGACGGAGGAGGCTCCGTCGCGGGCGGGGAGCTCGTGCCAGGGTGTGGACCTGTCGTCAGGGTGAGGCTGACCAGCGAGAGGACGCGCTGCAGCGCCGCGCTGTGCGCCGCTGCGCGCGAGCGGAGGAGCGCCGCGTCGAGGAGTGCCGAGCCGTCCTCCAGCCTCCCGCCGCGGGAGAAGGCTGCGGCGCCGAGCAGCGCGACGGCCGCGAGCGCGGCGCTGAGCTGCTGCTCGTCAGCAGAGCCTGCGGCGCTAGGCAGCAGGCGCAGGCGGTCGAGGCACCCAGACAGGTCCGCGTGTAGGCCCTGCGCCACGGAGGCCGCAAGCACGGGCCTGCTCGAGCCGCTCTCGATGTCGCTGCAGAGGCTACGCACGGCGCTAGCGAGGCCGGGCTTGTGCTCCCGCAGCAGGCCGATCGTCTCGGCGACGAAAGCGGCGCTGGCGTCGAACGGATCCACCATTGGACGTGAAATCCTCATCGTCCAGACCATGGGGAGGCCCACTTTGGCCACAATGGCGGATTTCAAGGGTTCGAGCTCCCTGTCCCTCGCGTCGCCGCGGGCGTCCTCGCGCGCCGGTCACAACTCATAAGCTGTGTGCCGCTCCGAGCCAGCGGCGCCAACGGCATCGGCTCCAATCCCCTTCCCGTGTCCGGCTTTGTCGCCTGTGCATACACATGCTCGACCACACCACCGGCCAAGGCTACGTCAAGTCGCAGCGTGGCCACTACCATGACGGGATCTTCGGCAAACGAAACAAGTTCAACCTGCTTCTCCACGAGACATTCGGCGGCGGCTTCTCGCCGCCTGCAGTTGCAAAGATCAACCGCCTTGCGCGCAAGGCTCAACGCTCGGGCGTTGACCGCACCGCGTACCCTCCCCACTCCCGCCTCTCATTTGTGTCACACCACGCGGAACGCATCTCCATCGCTTCGGTGAAGGGGGTGAACCGTGCCATCCTCGATCGCCGCGTGCTAAGCTCGCTTCCGAGCTCTCACGCCGCGCGTAGGGCCCCTAGGGGCCTAGAGAACACAACCCCCTCTCTCTTTTCTCCCAGTAAGCTAAAAGTACGTACGTACATGCTCGTTAAACGCGGGATGCTCACCCCTAGCACAGAAAAGAGAAAAGAGACGAGGACCACAAAGAGAAGGAGGACTGTGGGCGCCACGCCCGCGCCCCCAAGCCAGCTAGTCTGGTCGTGGTCGAGACCGAGGTGTCGAACTGAGAGGCACTCCTGGAGGCTGCCTCCGGCCACCGCTCGACTACCCACGCACATGGCCGGTCCTGTGGCTTGCCTGGGCTTGCTCAGAAGCCTCAATTCGCGCACACCTTTGCTCTCTGGCTCCCGCGAGTGCGTTTAGGCCACTCAAGCAGGCGACGCCGAGCACCCGCAACGCATCTCGCTGGGGCGCCACCTATCGACCCGACTGATTGGCAGCATCAAAGCCGACCCCATGACGGTCCTTCAACCCCATGAGACAGGCAGTTGCGCCCTGATCTCGGTCCAAGACGGCCAACGCCGTGTCCGGCACCTGCTGGCTGCTTCACGGGGATGCCCCCCCCGGACACATGCTGCAGCCGCGAGTGGATGTATTGGTCGTTTGTGGGTCCCACAAGACTACTCTAGTAGGGGCCGGGCGCTGGAGCGTCGGCGGTACACCTGTGCAGATGTTGCACGGGTGAAATGGCTCCTCGTACAGGGTAGGAGGCAGGTGGTGGGTTTGAGTGTCGTGAGTGCTTGCAGCCGCGAGTACAGCACCGTTTGTGACTCCCATGGATGCAGTTGGGTGGGGCACGGTGCTGGGGGGCTGTCCGGTGCGCCACAACAGCCTCCCTGGCTGACCCCCATCCAGTTCGACACCTCCATCCTGACCGTGGAACCCCAACTTCAACCGGTCATATCTTGGGCGGAATGGCACCTCAGGAGCTCATCCTGGGCGGTTTGGGGGAGTCTTGGGGGTGTACCTGAAGGTGGTAAAAAGAGTTTTGCATTGCAGCTTAACCGGGGGGCGTGCTGAGCAGCGTGAAAACAGCGGCACACAGCTTATACTGTGCCGTACCTAGGTACGAAAGTCTGCCCAGGTTGGTCAGGACACGATCCCGGCGTGAACACGACTAACTGACGGATCCGCTCCTGACAGTCGCACGCGCCGCGCTGCGGCGCGTGCGACTGTCTTTGTTTGAAGTTGAAAGTCGAATCAGAGCGGCGTCGGCGTTGTCCTGAGTTTTCCTCCCACGGACCGCCCGTCCGGGACCGCTCCGGGACGCACGCCGGCGAAGCACCATCAAGCTGCTGTACGGCCCCGGCATCGCCTCCCCAGGCTTAGCTAAAGTGAGAGATACTGTGCCGTAAAGTTGTACGGAAGTGTGAACAGGTTGGAGCAGCAGCTCCTGAGCACGGCGCCGCAGGCGCCTGTTGATAGGTCCAGGTGATAGCCCTGGATGGGCAATGCATACGCCTCACTGGGCCTTAGATCGCCCGACCGCGTCCCGGTGCTCTGTGGTCGGATTTGTGACGCCGCCGCACCGCGCCGCGGCCGGGGGCCCTCCGGAGGCCGAGGATGGCCGTGGCGGACCAGGACGAGCTCTGGGAGGTGAAGTGTCAGTGAGTATATTGTAGAGACAGACCATGTGCACAATATCTCTCACTCTAGCTAAGCCAGGGGAGGCGATGCCGGGGCCGTACAGCAGCTTGACGGTGCTTCGCCGGCGTGCGTCCCGGAGCGGTCCCGGACGGACGGTCCGTGGGAGAAAACTCAGGACAACGCCGACGCCGCTCTGATTCGACTTTCAACTTCAAACAAAGACAGTGGCACGCGCCGCAGCGCGGTGCATGCCACTGTCAGGAGCGGATCCGTCAGTTAGTTGTGTTCACGCCGGGATCGTGTCCTGAGTAACCTGGGCAGACTTTAGGCTACAACAGTACTTTGGCCAGAATGGCGGATTTCCAGAATGGCGGATTTCAAGGGTTCGAGCTCCCTGTCCCTCGCGTCGCCGCGGGTGTCCTCGCGCGCCGGTCGCAACTCATAACGTGTCGAGACCGCCCTCTCGCCGTCCATCGACGACCAGGACAGGTCCGCTGGACGAAGTCATGGCTCCTCATGTGCGCGCAACGCCCAACCCCTGCCCGCGAGACGCCAAACAGCTCTCTTGTGCACCATAATGCCGAGGGCCGACGCACCCAGCGGCGTGTCCCCCAGCTCGACAACCTCACCGGACGGCCTCTCGCGTGCACTCGTAGGGCAGGTCGCCGCGCAAGTTCGATGCCAGCTCACCAAGCGCTGCGCCCTGCGGGCGAGTTGCGCATCCGACTCGACACGACCTACCTCGAGCTACCACGGCCGACGCTCGGCTCTGTGCGGCGCTCCTACGAGGGCATAAACGCGCTCGCGCTCCTGGTGTCGGAGCGCCATCCCGACGCCGTCAGGTGATGCGCCACCTCCACTCCCAGCGCGTGCGCACGATGCGATGCGGGCGTGCGCGCGAGAGAGAGATAGATTGAGTGATACGGCCCCTCTCGCCCTCGTGCGCAGGCCCAAGCACGCGCACTGAACGACGCTTTTTTGGGATATTTTCGACGCTTTCGTCCCATGTATATACTCGTGCAACAACCCTCGAGCGCGTTGCAGCGGAACGGCCGCACGCGGTAGCATCTAGCAACTTGTTTCACACCAATTTAATGTCAACCAGCCCTGCGTCGCATCTTCTCAAGCCCATCGGTTCTCAAGCCCATCGGTTACACCGCCTGCTCGCGAGCGAGCCTCGCCTTGTACCTTTCGAGCGAGCCGCCGGAGGTCATAGCGACCGAGGAGGAGGGACGGAGCCGTCTCAAGCCGTCGAACTCGGTCTGCGTCTTCTTTTTGACAATGACGAGCCCCGAGACGAATGAGACCTCCATCACAGAGCGGTCGATCTCCTCCGAGAATACAACGATGTCGAGCGTCGGCATGCATTCCTCACGATTGACGATGTCGACGAGTTGCTTGAATTTCTCGATGGCATTACCCGGCGGCGGCCTGCCAATGCCACCGTCGCCAACCGCGTAGCCGTAGACTTTGGTTGGTTGGTCCGTGTACGAGAAACCGTTGTCTTCGATGATGTAGACGCCCCCCGGCCGGACGTGAGGGAAGAGGTGTTTGAACGTGAAGAGGATGTGACGCGGCACGTGGCTACCGTCGTCGATGATGACGTCGAAGCCACCGTCAGCCCATGCAGCTGCGTCGAGTGCGGGAGGTGGCGTCCAGTGGGGGCCGAAAGCCGCGGCCGTCAGCCGCCTGAGGTCGTCGCTGTTGCTCTGGTCGCCGTCGATGATGCGCACCTTGTGGCAGTATTTGTGGTGGCATTTCGTCATATGACTGTCTTTCACCCCGTAACGCAACCCAAAGATGCTGAACGCGTTTTCGAACCAAGCGGCCCACGCGAACAGCGAGTCGCCCTGGTTTGCACCCACCTCGAGCATCGTGATATTGCCCTGGTTGAACGGCGCGAGATGGCGGGCGTAGGCAAAGTGGTACTGCGTGGCCACCTTGGTGCCGTGTCCTGAGCGCATGTGCTGCTGCCAGTTCTCCAGCAGCATTGCCGCCTTCCGGTCCTGGTGAGCGGCTGGTGTGTGCTTCGGGGCATGCGCCGGCTCGAGGGCTGACTGCGAGCGTGCCTGAGGGACGAGCATGACGACCAACAGCAGTGCAGTCGAGGCGCGCAGCGGAGCAGCGCGCATACTCGTGGGACGGCTGTGCGCGCGCGACGGGCGCGGTCGCTCGGTGCGGTCGGAGCTCGCCGCCGAGGCCGCGCCGCGAGCCCCCTTTCCGCTCGCCGCGGTCGGCCAGGAGGCGCCGCAAGCGATGGCGAGGAGGATGAGCACGAGGGCGGGCATGAGAAGCGGCGAGCAGCTCACGAGCGAGGACGCCTTCGAGGCGACGGCGGGCGAGAAGGCCGAGGACGCAGCCGAGGCGACGCCGGATGAGAAGGCCGAGGACGCCGAAGCGACGGCAGACGAGAAGGCCGAGGCCACCGCCGTCGGGCTAGGCACGGCGGCCGCGCAGTGGCCAAAGGCGGGCATGCAGACGAGGAGCAGCCACCGGAAGGCGCCCTCGGCCTTCGTGTAGCCGCCCTGCACGCAGTTGGCCGCCGCCTTGAGGCCGGCGCGACCGCCGGCGCCGCATGTGCCAGCGACGGCGCCGCACGTGCCAGCGACGGCGCCGCACGTGCCAGCGGCGAATGGCGCCTTGCCGGACGTGGTCTGCGGCTCGCGGCGCCGGTCCGGGCGGCGGCCGCGGCCGCGGCCGCGGCTCTTGCCAGTCTTCGGCTTGCGCCAGCGCCTTGCCTTGCGCCGGCACTTCCTCGAGCGCCGCGACTGCAAGTCCGCCCACTTCTCCCGTTGCTCGGCAATGAGATCGAGCGCGGCCTTCGCCTTCTTGAGCCGCCCCTCCCAGTGCTCGCGCTCCTTGGCGGCCTCGGCCTCAGCCAGCCCCGCGCCCGCGACCGCGCCAAGGGGCTTGGGCGCCACGGGCGCAATGCCGCCGGAGGTGGGGACTCCCGGCGACGGCGACTTCTTGCCGTCGGCGGGCGTAGCCTGGTAGCTGACGCTCTCGCCCAGCCGGCGGACTGCAGCCTCGACGCCGTCCACGTAGCCCGGTCCGGAGCCGCTGCGGGCCGACGCGGGCCCGCTCTTCCCCGCCGCCATCGGCGTGGGCAGGCCCGGGTAGCAGGTGGTGTCCTGCAAAGCGCGATAGGGGCACACGGGAAGGGAGATTATTACCGGTGGGAGAGCGAGGAGTGCCAGGAGAGAATGCTGCGGCGCGCTCACCGCTGGGTCGGTCGTGTTGGAAACGGTCTTGGCCGGCTTCTCGATCTCCTTGGCAGCCTCCTCGGCGACGGCCTCCTCGGCGACGGGCGCCTCCTTGGCGACTGCCTCCGCGGCGGCGGACACCTCGGCGGCGGCGGACTTGATGGTCGCCTCCTCGGTGGCGGACTCCTCGGCGACGACGGCCTCCTCGGGGGCGGCCTCCTCGGCAACGGCGGCCTCCTCGGTGGCGGTGGACTTGGTGGTCGCCTCCTCGGCGGCGGACTCCTCGGCGACGACGGCCTCCTCGGAGGCGGCCTCCTCGGCGACGGCCTCCTCCTTCACGACGACGTCGTTGTTGACGCCGCACGCCTGCGTGAGGGAGAAACGTAAATGTAAATGTTTGGAGACGGGGACACCGCAGGGACAATGCCGATCCTGGCGTGCGCGTGCGCACCTCAGCTCCGAGCGAAGGCGGCAGCGTCAGGCTCGCGCGGCGGCGCTGATACCACTCCTCATAATCCGCACTGGAAGCGAAGTAGCCGCCGACCTTGACGGAAGCCGTTGGCTCGGTCTGAACCTGGGCCCCCTCCGCGAAACAAAAGCTGATTGGCACCTTTGCGAGGCTCCGATGGAACACGTGGGGGTTGTCGAACCAGACGCCCTTTGTTGATCTCACAACCAAGAAAGCCGACTCGCCCTCGCTCTCATTGAAGTCGACCATGTAGCGCCTCTCTCTGCGCAGACTCGGCACCTGATTGGACGGACAGTGTGTCCGATGAGCGGAGAAATTGAGGATGCGGCGGCGGCCGCATGGGCAATTCCAGCGCGGAGCCCGGGCGGCGCAGTCCCGGAGCCCTGGCGCGGGCGTGGCGCGGCAGGGCGCGGCGCGGGCGCGGTGGCGCGCAATCATGCTGGCCGGGGATCGCGCCGCGACAGAGTACAGGGGGAGGGCGGAGGCGCGGCTCGGGCGGTGGCGCGAGCCCCTGCACGCGTCGCGCGGGCGGGGAGGGAGAGGGAGGGGAGGGAGAGGGAGTGGCGGGGGGCGGGCTCAGCGGCGCGGGCGGCCCTCGCGTTGGGCGGCGGGCGCGGCAGGGCGCTGCACGGCATATACCGTGGATCTCACTCGATCGGGTCGGCGTGCCGTTTTTGAGCTTGAGCACGCTGTTCACAGCCTTGTTTTCAGAAGAAAATACCTCCTCTGGCGCTGTGCGCTGGTCTGTCAGAGGTTGAGGTGCGAGCCCTGGAGGCCCTGGGGATTCACAGCATGGCGGCTTCAGCATGTGCAGCGAAAAGCAGGCGTGCGGCAAGCGGAGCTCCCCACCGGCACGCGTGCGGGAGCGCCCCGAGGCCCCCGACTCCGTCTGCCAGGTTGCGCTCGAAACGCGCAGCGAGGGAGACTCTCTCCCTCAGACAGCTGGACTGCGCCTTGGCCCCGAGGACGCGCGTAGACTATTATTAAAGCATGCGGCGACTTGATCCTACCCACGGAACGTCGCCGCAAAGCATTTTATCTCCTGCGTTCGCATTTGGGCGGCCATCGCAACACTCCCTAGCTCAACTGTCGACCCTAACGGGTCGCCAGCCGACCGATCGTCATTCAGGCGGCGTCGCAGGACGAGGCAGAGGAGAGCGACGCGACAGAGGAAGAAGCGACAAGAGAGAACGACGAGAGTGGGACGACCGCGAGGAGGCTCTCACACCACAGCACAGGCGCCGTCGAGCTCTCGCAGCCGCGCTGCACAATGCTCCAGCTCAGGAGGGCCCCCTGCTTCTCGCAGCTTTGTGCAGCGCAACGAGCGGGCAGCGCTGCACCAGGCGGACCCACGGCGTGCTCAGCGAGCCGCGAGGCGGAGGCAGGCCGAGTGAGCGCGAGCCGCATCGGCGCCCATGTCCCGCGCAGCGGCGAGCGAGCGGCACGGAGGAGTGCAATGTCGCGCATTCTGTACGGTTTTTCCTAAAAAAAAGAAAATTAATTCTTTTTGCGTGCAAGAATTCTTTATGCCTTGCCGCGCTGGTGGCCCGCCTCCTGCACCTGATCGAGGAAACACCTGATCGAGGAAACACTGATCGAGGAAACACATGCGGTTCAAGGGCACCATCGGCTCGCCCAAGCAGCTCTCCCGTGCGTCGCGCCCGCGCGCCCTGCCACCGAACACATCCTCGCAGGCTGCCACCTCTCTCATCGCTGCCCACGCTCGCAGAGCTGGTGGCGATGCTGGGCAAGCTCTCCGACACGTGCGTGGTGCACATGACCCCCGACACGATCTCTTTTGGCGTCGCCGCGAGCAGCAACAGCGGTGTGCACGCCTGCGCCGAGCTCTCCACTCACTCTCTCTTCCTCGACTACCGGATCGAGTCGCGCGCCGAAAACAACCGGATCTCGTTCTTCGTCAAGATCGACAACCTCAGCCGCGCACTCAAGTCGAGCTCGGCCAACGCAAACTCAAAGTCATTGGTGGGTCCGCCCTCCCCGGACCGCGCGCGCACGCACGCGCCTCCGCCCGCTCCCCTCTGCCCCCTCGAGTGCCCTATCCGGGGCTGTCGCGCAGGTCAAGCTGACGAAAAAGAGAGGCGGCGCGCCGACGCTGACGTTCGAGATCCTGCTGAGCGACTCGGCCGTCCAGGTGCAGCACGACGTGCCGCTCCGGATCGTCCAGGACATCGAGGCGCCCTCCTCCTCACGCCGCCCTCCTCCTCACGCTGCCCTCTTCCGACCATCACCCATCCCTCCCCGCATCCCCACCGCACAATTATCACACGCCCCCCCCGTGCCCCCCCCCCCCATCACCACCCCCTCCGGGCCCGGCAGGAGCTTCACGCCTACAATGAGCCAGTCTACGGGGACAGCGCACCCTCCCTCTCCGTCGTGCTGCCACAGCCAGACATCCGCGGGCTGCGAAACGTGCTCGAGCGGATGAAGGCGAGATACAGCCGAGATACAGCCGAGATATGGCCGAGATGTAGCCGAGATGTAGCCGAGATGTAGAAACGTGCTCGAGCGGATGAAGGCGGCCGCACCCTCGCGCCCGCACCCGCGCCAGCCTTCGCCGCCACACTCACCTCCCCCGCCACACTCGCCTCCCCCGCGCCCACGCCGCCGCCGCCCACGCCGCCGCCCACGCCGCCCCACTCCGCCCCACGCCGCCCCACGCCGCCGCCCACGCCGCCGCCCACGCCGCCGCCCACGCCGCCGCCGTCGCTCGACCGCCTTCCGACCCCCCCCCCCCCCCCTATCCCCCTAACACTCTTTTCACACAACCGGAACACCCGCTCTGTAGGTGGATGTGGCCGGGACGGCGGAGGCGCCAACCTCCCCCGGCGGCGGGGACGCGGCGACCGCCTCGCAGCGGCAGCGGCAGCGGCAGCCCCTTGCGGTGGGCGGCGACGGCGCCGAGGAGGTGGCGGAGGCGCGCGTCGAGATCAAGAAGCTGTACAAGTGCTTGCAGTCGGTGGTGGTGTCGGACATCAAGCTGCACGGCGGCATCGTCGCCATCCTGCCCGACCAGGCCCTCGTGCTCAAGGTCTTCCTGCCGTCCACCGTCGAGAACCACGACTCGCACGTCGTCTTCTACTGCCCGGTGATCCTGTCTTGAAGCCTCCTCGAGCCGCTGAGCCGAGCGCATGTGCTGTCTCCACTGCTGCACTTTCTTGTGGCGACGTCTCGGCCCTGTTTGGGTTTGTCATGTGCCCGAAGTATATCTTCGGAAAATGTGTGCCGTCCCTCTTTTTGTCGCTGTGTGCCGTCCCTCGCTTTGTCGCTGTGTGTGCGCGTGCCTCGCGCATATACCAGGCCACACGTGGCGTTTGCGTACTACGTTCTCGATCGCGTTTGCGTACTACGTTCTCGATCGCTCTGGATCTCATAAAATGTGCTGCGGGAAATAAAAGATAAAACACTCGGCTCATACATGATACAGGTGCTCAATGGTACTTCCCGCAATTTCAAACAATTCGTTTATAGAATAAACACGACAAGTCCTACGGTGGCGTGCTCTCAGTCTCACAAGTTTCCGTGTGTGGCGCACGCGCAATAAAACCACCCCGGGGCCAACCCTCTTCGGTTTCGTCGGCTCCAAGTGCACTAGGAACCCACGAAACCCGAAAAGAAAACGTGTACCGCCCTTGGAGTGTCTCTTGGAGTGTTGCTGTGGAGCGTCCGGTTTCAACACGCGCTCGCGCGCTCGCGTCTGCTGGCGCCCAGAGAACGTGTTGCACCTCCTGCTCTGGACGGAGTCCTGCTCTCACGCCTCGGTTCGACTTCACCTGGACGGAGTCCTGCTCTCAGAGTCCACACGCCTCGGTTGACGTTCGAGTCCAAGCTGCGTGTCCCTCTTCTCCCTTCTCCGTCGAATGGGGAAAAGCCGTCGGAGCTGAGCTGAGGGTGACCGTGCCGTCTCATTGCATCGTGCCCAGGAGGTCCGACGCCCACTCCCTGACACAGGGGCCCTCCGAGTTCGCGGCCCGGTCCAGCCAAAGCCGAGCCTGGCTGGCGTCCCGCGAGAGCCCGAGCCAGCCCGACAAGAAGGAGCGACCTAGCTCGTAGGCGGCGTACCCATGCCCAGCTCCCGCAGCTGCGGCCAGTAGCGCGACCCCGTTCGCCTGGTTCTTGCAAACGCCCTTGCCGTGACAGAGGGCGAAACCCGCCTTCTGCAGCCCCCTCGCGTTGCCCAGATCGGCCGCAATTTTGGCGTAGTGGAAGGCCTCCTCCGGCTGGTGCTTGAGGAAGTAGTAGTGAAAGTGAAGGCTCAGCATCGCCTCGGGGTCGCCCGTTTCGGCTAGACGCCGAAGGTGGACCAACTTCTCGCTCTCTTCGAGCCTCCGCCGCCACCGCTTGGCCTTGTCGCCGTCGATGTGAGCCGCAAGCTTCTCGATTGCGTTCCTGACCTGAGCGTGCGTGCGGCAGATCGTTGTGGTGTGTAGTGATGGGCGTGCGTGTTGTATGCGTTATCAGTCTTAGCGAGCAATATGGCGATTGTGGTCCCGGACCTGCGTGGCCTCGAGTAGCGTTGGCGACATCGGCATATTCGTGATAGGTGAGCGCAGCGCTGCTCCCTGAGTCGCCATGTGCCGCTCAATTGCGGAGCGCTCGTATATGTGGCCATCGGCAGCGGTGACTGGATCGAGAGGAAGCTCAAGGGTGATTGGGCAGAGGAACTCGGAGGCGGCCTCGTCCGCAAGTGTTGCGGCCCTTTGCCGTTTGCTCTCGGCGTCGGTGGCGCCGGACTTGCGTTTGGAGGGCATGCACCTAGATAGAGCCGGGCTCTCGGGGGGACGTTCGACTTTCGGGCGGAGTTGACCGAGCTCTCCCTGGATCCGTGGATTTCTTTTTTAAAGCATGTTTCAACAAAAAATCGCGGCGGCGGCAATCACGAGAGTCAATGCGATTGCTCCTACCCGGCCCTCAGGGCCGACTCCTTACCCCTGACGCCCCCACCAAGCTCCCGCTCTCCCGCCACCAGGACCAGCGACAACTCGACGAACGAGCGGGTACGCCTTGAGCGAGCCCGCGCCATCTCCTCGCATGCATGCTCCCAACGAAACTCGCCGCCATCGAGGGGGGGGGGGGGGGGGCAAGCACTAGATGCTCACGCTGGTCTCCAGGTACTGCGGGTCAAAGCACCACAGACCGAAGTTGCCCGGGAACGTGCTCCCCCCTTCCTTATACCTCTCCGCAGCCTTCTTGTTGGCGGAATCGCAGGCGAGTGAAAAAGTGCGCAACTCGGCCTGAAATGTTTCGAAGATGGCATCGAGCTGCTCCCGCTCAGGCAGGGGCAAGCCAAAGCTGGTGGGGTCCTCGTCCGTTCGAGCGAGGAAGATCTTTGACCTGCGGCGTCGGGGCGGAGAGCGGAGTGGCCGATAGGCGGGATGTGGAAAGGGGTCGGCGTTGATCGAGCGGCCGTGCGACCAGTTCTGCTCCGGCGTCTTGACCATGAGCTCTGGCATCGGCGTCGAAGTGAGCGCCATGATGAGGCCCTGTCGAGGGCGGGGACGTGGGCTCATGGATGCGTCTGCGACAGTTGTAAGGTCAAGCGCGTGGTGTGAAAAACATGCGCCTGCAAGAGGGCGACCTCCTTGGGTGCGGCGATCACGCCCTCGTCCCGCACAGACTTTGCCCAAGACCAGGACGTGAAGGAGGCGTCTTGGGCGTGCGGGCCGATTTTGCCAACCTATGCGACGGCACCATCCCGGTGCGGGGAGGAGAAGCGCTGGGGGTGGCGGCGACTGGAGCAGGGCTGCTGGAGGAGCCGCGAACCTGCTCGTGGCCAGCGGAGACGGTATCGATGCAATTCGCGATTGCGTCGATGACGACCTCGTACTGCTCCGTCTTGCCCAAAGCTTCCCACGCCAAGGTGACGCGCTCCGCTCGTTCGTTATTTTTTTCGTATGGATCAAACGCACAAGGCGCGGACGCATGTTTAGAAGAGAAATATTTCACAACTCACACCACCTCAAAGGCCTCCGCCATCGGCGCGTCCGCCACCACGACTGCGTCGTCCTTCTCAAACGAGTACCCCGCGAGCGGCCCCTCCTCCACGCCCGCCAGCGCCAGCCGCACCGCGTCAAAGGCGGGGTCGTCGAGGGCGGCGCGCACCGTCTCCTCCGGCGTCGGCCCCTCGCGCACCACCTTGACCGTGCCGTCGGGCAGCCGGACCTGCTTCTCGTCGCCCACCAGGTCCTTGCCCGCCAGGACCAGCTTGAGGAGCGACGGCGAGAAGCCGGAGAGCATCTGCGTGTTGGGCGCGTCAGCCTGCACTGGGAAGCCCGCCGTGTTCCCGCGCAGGTTCCAATAGATGATGCGAGGCGCGGCGTACGGCTCGCCGCACACCGAACGCCCAATCTCGGCGAAGCGCCGCGTTAGCCGCTCGTGGTGGGTCTCCCACGACGCGACGCGCCCGCCGCCGTAGCGGCCGTACATGCAGTGCGCGCCCCGCGCCTCGTTGAACTGCATGTCGGAAAAGACAATCAGGTCGGGCACCTCGTCCGGCTTGAGCCGGGCGCGCTCCGCGCAGCCCAGGATCAGCTCGCACGCCGCCTCAAAGTCGGTCGACCCGCCCCAGCCGGCACCCTGCAGCGCCCGCACCTTGGACGCCACCTTGCCTGCGCCGTCGAGGTGCACCCACTGCGGGCTCGACTCGAAGGTGATGGCGCGGTTGCGGAAGGCAGGGTGGGACAGCTCGGCCACAACCAGGCCGAGGCCGATGGCCGCCTCCATTGGCGTCCCCACCATCGACCCAGACACGTCGATCAGCGGCACCAGCTTGCCGAGGTCGACCGGCTTTGGCAGCGCCGCCCGCAGCGCCGCCACCGCCTCGAGCGGCGCACCCTCCCCCGCCGCCTCGGCGACCGCCGCCTCGCGCGCCTCAGCCGCCGCCGCCATCGCCTCCTTGACGCCCTCGCGCATCGCCTCCCACTGCGCGTGCATCAGGTCCGCCTCGAGGGTCGACAGCTCCGTACGGCCGCCGCGCATGCACTTCTGCGCGATCTCGTGCGGATACAGCTGCTTGCCCTTCGCGGCCTTGGCGCCCTTCTCGAGGAGGGCCTTGCGCAGGTTGTGCCGCGCCGTCACGCGCTGCTCGTCCTCGGGGTGGCGGTTGCCCGTCTCCTCCTGCGCCGGCCCCAGCTTGCCCTTGAGCGCCTCGTTGAGGAAGGCCTTGCGCGACCGCTGCAGGCAGAGGGACGAGACCCGCGCGAACTCAATCTCCGCCCAGCGGTTGGCCGCCATCAGCACCTCGGTGGTGAGGAGGGCGCGGTTGAGGGAGGCGACGAGCTTGCGGTACTTGCGCGCCGACGCCGCCTCGTTCTTGTTCCCGAACAGGGAAATGGAGAGCCGCTTGGCGAGGCCGTCAAAGGCGGAGCCCTCGCGGGGCGCGTACTTGCCCGCCAGGGTGAGGTTCGGGGTGCGCGCCTCCTTCTCGGCCGCCTCGAGCTCGGCCGCGTCCTTGAGCAGCTGGTCGGCGAGGAGCGACAGCGCCTTGTCCTTGACCGCCGCGTCGATCCCAGCGACGGCCTGCATGAGCAGGTAGTCCTTCCAGTAGCCAAAGTGCGGCACGAGGTGGAGCGTCGCCGTCGAAGCCTCGACGGGGAGGGCGGCGAGCATCTTGTAGAAGAGGTCCTTCTCGCCCTTGCCCATACCGCGTGTTGCACGGGTCTGGAAGGCGAGCACCGTCAGGTCGGCGAGCGAGGCGGGCTCGGCGGGCACGGCGGCGGTCAGCGAGGCGAGAGAGTCGTCGGGCAGCGAGCGGACGAGCTTGAAGAAGAGGGCGACGAGCGGGGAGCCAGCGTCGGAGTGCTCGAGCGCGCCGTTCTCGCCGGGTGTCTTGGAGTCCATCATCGCAACGAAGGCGGAGGAGGAGGAGCAGGGCGTAGTCGGCATCGTGTGAGATATGGCGGAGGGGAGTGGCACACGTCCTCCGGTGTGCGTCGTGGTCGTGTCCGGCCCTGGATGTGCGGTTACTGACTGCACTCCAAGTGCTCCAAGTCCGGAACGGAAGTCTCATACTCGGAGTGACTGGACTCGGACAGCCGATGGGGCCGCCACAAGTGTACGGGGCACGGTCCGCGAGGGCTGGATATAAGTCGTGTGCGAGGGAGAGGGTCAGGATGGTCACAGCAAACAAAAAATCACGGGTCCTGGTTGGTGTAGTTGGTAACATTTCCGCCTGTCACGCGGACGCCCGGGGTTCGATTCCCCGACTAGGAGTTTTTTTGTTGTTTTAAGTTGAAAAAACTCAAAATGAGAAAACCACGACACCGGCAGGATTCGAACCTGCGCGGGCAAAGCCCAATAGATACACTTGGACAACTCAGGGGAGCCGAGGAGTCGAACCTCGATCGCGGGAGCCACATTCCCGAATCATGACCTCGAATCATGACCACCTTAGACCAACCCCCCAATGCAAAACAGGATGGTAGTCGGAGGGGTCCCGTACCATGCGGAATCGACCCTATCCGGTGCTCAAGTGCTCAAGTCGGGAGACTAACTAACAAGCTGCTTTTGCAAGCGCGTTTTTTTGCTTGGGGCGGGCCTGACTGATGACGGGGTAGCCTGGACGGAGTCCTGCTCTCAGAGTCCACACGCCTCCCTCGGTTGACGTGCCGGATGAAGCCCGCTCGGACGGAATAAATATTTTTTGAGTTTCGGCGTGACTTCATCAGCGAGGCTCTCAGCCAGCCTTGGCTGCCTGCCTCTGCATCAGTGGTTTAGATGGCGTCCAGGACCTTCAGGACCTGCCTGCGCCGCCTCTCGGCGCCGGTCTACTGGGCTGGGTCGGAGTCGCACAGCTACGCGGCTCTGGGAAAGCCGCTGGCTCGCGCCGGTCCAGCATCGTTCACTCCACCGAGTTCAACGGCAAGGCGTTTCATGGAGGCTGGGCCATGTGGAGCCGAGTCGCACAGCACCGCAGCGCACCGCGCGGGAAGCATGACGTCGAGGCTGCCGCATCTCGTGAGCACCGTGCCAAGAAAGACGCTTATTTCGCTCCGGCCCGCGCGCAAGATGGGGCGGTTCTGGGCGGGCTCCGAGTCCCACTCATCCACCACTTTGCCGCGGGCGCTCTGAAACCCGCGCGCTCGTCTCTCGTTTTCACAGTGATCAGTGTGACAAGCACACGCGTCAGCGTGTGGGTGCGCCCTCTCGCGACTCCGCGCTGCTGCTGGGGTTGCGCTGGTGTGCGTGTGGGCAGTGGGGGGACCGCGGTGTTGCTGTTGGAGGAGCGCTCTCCACAGCAGAGCTTGCCGTGGGAAGATCCTCTAGCTTCTCTCTCAGAAAACTGAAAAGAAAGGAACATCAGACACCCGGGGACCGACAGAGGGATGGGAGAACGGCGAACCGCCACCACACACAGGGGCATGCGACCACGGGGGTTGCTCGCACGGCTTTCTAGGGGCTGCTAAAGATGTCGTTCAGCGACGCGAAGAGCGGCTTGCCGGTGACGAAGGTCTGGTGGATCATGCCTGCGGCGGCGGGGCGGGCGGCGGCGTGGGGCGGTGGGGCGCGTGCGTGGGCTGGCGTGGCGAGGAAAGGGGCGGGAGTGCGGAGGCGAGGGGAAGGCGGCGGCGCAGGGAGGGGGGCGGGCGGAGGGGGCAAAGGGGCGGACCGGAGAAGGCGATCATGGCGAGGCGGCCGTTCTTGAGCTCCGCCATGGCGAGGCGCTCGCGCGTCTCCTTGTTCTCTCCGAACTTGAGCGGGTCAAAGCCGAGGTTGCCAGGCTCGCGCGCCTGCAGGTCTCGCGCCCTCCGGTCAATCGCGGGCTGGCGTCGGGCGCGCGCCGAGGTGGGGCGTGCGCGCCGGGTCGGTGAACATGGTGTCCATCGTCCACTTGTCCTTGTTCGAGTTGAACTCGATGATGGAGAGGACGAGGACGATCTGGCGGCGGCGGGCGGGCGGATTGAGAGGGGAACAGTGTTTTGCGGTTTGTGAGTGTGTGTGTGTGTGTGGTGGTGGTGGTGGGGGGGGGGGGGGGGGGCTTTTCCCGGGCGGTGTGGGTGGGGATGCCTGGGTTGGTGGGGGGTGGTGTGCTGGGGAGGGCCCGTTCGTGTGATTGTGGTAAGGGGGGTGGGTGGTTTGGGGGGGGGGGGGGAGGGGGGAGGTTCGCTCTCCTGCGCGAGAGCCTCCGGCGGCGTGGAAGAGACAGCCTCGATGGGGTTGGGCGTGTAGCCGGGGTAGCCGGGCAGCGAGAAGAACTCCTGCATGATGTACCCCACCGTCGCCCTGCGGACACGGCACCACCCGGCGTCAGAGCTCGCGGATATGCGGGTGCGGCTCCTCCTGCCCGCCTGTGGCCGCGGCTCCGACCCGCCGACCAACACCCTCACGACTCACGACCCACGGCGCCCTCGGGAGGGGGGCGGCGCGCACAGCATGCAGATGCGGCCATGCTTCAGCTCCGCCTCGCGCGCCCACTTGATGTCGATGAACTCGGACAGGTAGAGAGGGTCAAACCCAGTCTGCGACGGCGCGACGCGCGGCGGTGTACTCGTGTGCGCGATGCGGGAGTGTTGGGGGGGAGGCGCAAGCCCGGCGGGACGCGCCACGTGCCGCCGCCGCCGCCCCTCCCTCTCCAGCGGCGACGCGTCGCGGCGGGGGCGGGCCCTCTTCTCACCTCGGCGCCCGGGAGCTTTGACGACTGGCACGGCGGCGCGGTGAGGAAGGGCATGGCGTTGGACGGCTTTGAGATGGCCATCGCAACCCCGCTGCTGCGCGACACCACCTGCGCGAAGCGGGGCGGCCCGGAGCGTCGGAGAGGCCTCGACGGAGGCAGCTCGACGCCAGCGCCCGCGGCCAATCTTCTCGCTCGCCGCGGGCGCGGCCTGCACCGCCACAGCGGCGGCTGCGAGCCCTGGGCAGCAGCAGGCGCGCTCGCGGCGAGCGTGCGCTGGCCGGCAAATCTCGCAGGCGGCGCGCACCGTCGAGGGCATGCCGACCACCATTGCCGCAGTGAGATTCTCTAATAACGCGAGGGAAAAAAGTGCAGGCGGACGGGATTGCTCGACCGAGCTGAGGAAGCCGTTGTTGTAGCCTCCCACAGCGTACAGCTTGCCGTCGAGCAGGTGTTCACGGCATGGAGGGTGAGCCACGCCGAACGTACCGAACGTAGAGCCGAGCGGAAGGAAGCCGGGGAAGACCCCCCCCGACTCCGAGGAGGACGAACCGGTGGAAACCCCGTCGTCAGCTGTCACGATGCACCCGAAGGGGACCCCAGCGCCTGAGGGAGGGTGTAGAGGATGTAGAGTGTAGAGCGCTGTAGAGCTGTAGAGATGTAGAGCGCTCTGGAGCGCTGTCTGTAGAGCTGTAGAGCTCTACATCCGCCGCGTGACGAAGCGCCTCCGTTGTAGAGCGATGTAGAGCGCGATTTTGCTGTAGAGTTTGTTGTAGAGGCTCTACAGCCAAACCGCTGGGAAGGCAGTGACTCAAAGAGGTCGAGCCGCGCTAATGGGGTGTCTTCGAGCTTACTGGAGCTCTGATGGACGGCCCTGACTATCACTGACACACAGATAGTCACTCTGACGGCACACAACACCCTATAACTGCGTCATGACCAGCCTGCCATGCGTCGCCGGTGCCGCATTCGTCGCTGTGCTTCTTTAGCAGGCGGTGGACTGTCGGCTGCGAGGACGGTCGCATTTGCGCGAGGCGAGGCGAGCATTCAGACGCGTTGCATGCGCCATGACTCGCGCCAGCGCGTGCGGGAGCTCCTGGCTGAGCGTTGAGTCCAGGCAAGTTGCGCTGTGGCCACTATCGCTACGCCGAGCCGAGCTGACATAGCAGCAGAGGCACCTGCCACCCATTGGGCGGGCAGACAGAAGGCCAGGGCAGCACTGGCAAGTGCAACGCGCCTCATGTCGGAGAGCGACCGTGCCTCGTTCGCCGCTTATGATGTAGAGTTTGTTGTAGAGATTTCACGTTGTAGAGCGCCTCTACATCGCTCTACAACGGAGGCGCTTCGTCCCGCGGCGGATGTAGAGCTCTAGAGCTCTACAGCGCTCTACATCTCTACAGCTCTACAGCGCTCTACACTCTACATCCTCTACACCCTCCCTCAGTATTTAATGAAGGGGAAACGGAACCGGTCGGGGGAAAAGGCAGTTGGGCCGGGGCGCAAAGGCAGTTGGCCGGTCGGGGAATCTGAACCCCGGTCTCCTCCACGGGTTTGACGCATGGGATCACTCCCGCGAAACTCGTGAACTAGCCGGGGCAGTCGGAGAAGGGGCAACTCCGTGCACTGACGGTCGGCCGTCAGAAATCACGCCTGCGTGGATCGCGTCACACCAATCCTCGCTACGAGTACCCAACGCGGCCAAAGGATATCCACCTCGAGAACCTCGAGAACCCGAAAGAATCATACCTCTAGACAAAAGGGGAAAAGGAAGTTGGGCCGGGGACTCGACCTGCGCAAGGGGAACGGGGAAAAGGAAGTGGGCCGATCCGGGAATCGAACCCGGGACCTCCTCGACCCAAACGAGGAATCATCCCCTGAGACCAATCGGCCAGACAACTACGCGGATACGTACGTCCTCTGCCACCAGGCTGTATATACTCACCTACCTACGTCCACTGTCCCCGGTCATCTCACGCGATGGGGGCATGCACCTCGTGCAGAGCGACCGCCGACGAGTCCGTAATAATGGACCCTGCAGCTCAGGTGGTCCAGCAGGCAGCAGAGGAAGGCCTTGCCCTGATTCCCAGCTTGTCCGACCGTCTCGCAGTTCCAGAATGTGGGAAAGTGTAAGTTCTCCGATCACTTCACTGCCACTGTCAAGCGTGATGGAAAGACAGTGTGTCTCAGCGCCTATAAAACGGCCGAGGAGGCGGCCCTTGCCTACGCCAAATCTCCCGAGGGGCGGCCCGCTGCAACCGAGCGCCACGCGATGAAAGAGGCAGCGACAAAGGCGCTCATGTGTTTCGACACGGATGGGAACGGGCCGGACCAGACCGAGTTCACAGCGGCACTCCAAGCCTTCCGCGTGAATCGAAACGGCATAAAAATGCGAAACACCATCTCCAACATCTTCGCTAAGTGCGACGTGGATGGGAACGGCCGGCTGACAGCAAAGGTGCGCCACCCCGGCCTCCCCTGGCCTAGGGGCCTCCAACACAGTCACACGTAGACAAGAACGTGGGTGCGGGTGAAGCGCCGATACCGCCGTGCACCCCACAGGAGCTGACCGCAGGGCTGCCGACCAGCGTCCTCTCGAGGATCACAGAGAAACTGGAGGCGGGCTGGGCTTTCGACCCTGCCGTCTGGGCCACCCCCTCGAAGGCTGCGACCGTCATGGGCAACAGTGAGGCCGAGGTAGGCGGTGACCTATGACTTGGCCGTTAGTCAGAATTCGCGTCGGGGTCTCTTCTTGCGGCAATCCCGTCCTGTCCCTGTGTGGAGTTGAGCGCCATTGGCGCGGCGTCAGGACCCCGTCCTCCTCCCATCCCTCGTTTGGTTTGTCTGTTTTCTTTCTGGGCGGCGAGGCACTTTCCACTTAGCTCCGTGCAAAAAAAGAATTTTACGGTCGTTTTTGATTCACGTACGCACGCGATCGGGGCTGGTGCGCGGTAGGGGCGGGTGCGCGGGATAAAGCACCTGTGCAGCAAGGGACGCGGACAGCGGCGCAACAGCCAACACCGAGACCTCCCTTGCCTTAGAGACGAGTACAGCTGCGCGTAAAGCCGTAAAAGAGTACCCGGGGCTCCCATGCGGGAGAGTGTGAGGGCCTGTGAACATCTTTAGCTTGTGAGCCAGGAAAAGGGTTGGCGTTTTCCTTCCAAGAGGTAGACGCGTGTGGCTCTACTAGGTACTAGCTAGAGCCGAGGAGTTTGCTCAGAGCTTCACCTGCCCGCTTACGAGCCGCCTGTGCATCTCTACATCCAGAGGCCTGTACGCCCCCGCCGCCTCCTCGTAGAGCCACACGTCGCTGACGACCGCCGGGTCGAAGCCTTGCTCCACAAGCTTGCCCTTCCGAATCTTGAAGGTGGCCGTGAGCTCCAGGGCCGGCAGGAGCCGCACGAAGAGCGGCCGGGCGTACCGGGGTAAGGACGCCACGGTCTGCGCCAGCGCCTCAAATCTGAAGCTCGCGGCCTCGACGACGAGCGCCGCCATGCCGGCGCGGCCCTCGAGCGAGCCGACAGAGACGCCGTAGACTGTCGACTCGCTCACGCCCGGAGCGGCGCTCAGTATCTCCGCCACCTTTGGGCACTCGGGGCGAGGGTCGTCATGCACGCGGTGAGATCTCTCCGATCGATGATTGGCCGCTGGTGCGCGCGCACCTCCGCCGTCGACACGTTCTCGCCCTTCCAGCGAAACGTGTCGCCGATGCGGTCCACGAAGTACACGAACCCTTCCACGTCCTGCCGGACGAGGTCGCCCGTCGAGAAGTAGAGGTCTCCCTCCGCCGCAACGTCGCGCAGGATCTTCTTCTCCGTCGCCGCACGGTCCGTGTAGCCGTCGAAGCGGCGCGTGACGTCGGCGTTATCGATGAGGCCGAGCAGCTCGCCAACCTCGCCCGCTGCCGCCTCCACGCAGCGGCCGGCCGCGTCGCGCACGACGCGCTCGCGCTCCACGTCGAAACGGACGATCTTGGTGGGGCGGGGGAGGAGGGGAGGAGGGGCGCGTGAGGGGCGCGTCATGGACAGGCCTCGACGGCCGCGGAGGGAGGACGGGCGGAGGCCTTGACGGGGTACTTGCGCTTGATGAGCGGCGAGATGAAGCCGATGGCGCCCCGCCTGTTCTGGTTGTTGATCAGATTCGCGTTGCCCTCGGTGCTCGCGTAAAACTCACCCACGTATCCGATGCCGAAGCGCTCGACGAGCTGCTCCCACACGTCTGGCCGCAAGCCATTCCCGATCGCGGCTCGGACCGAGTGCGCGCGGTCGTGCGGCCCCGGCGGCGTCGCGCAGAGGTATCGGCAGATCTCTCCGATGTACAGCACGACGGTGGCGCGCAGGCGAGCGCAGTCGGAGAAGAACTGGCTGGCCGAGAATCTGCGCCGCAGGAGCAGCGGCAGGCCGAGCGCCGCACAGCCAAAGACGCCGATGAGCATGGCGGAGGAGTGGTAGAGGGGAAGGGTGAGGTAGACGCGATCGCCCTTGCCGACGCGGTGGAAGTCGTACATGGTGACGCCGGCGAGCATCGCCTTGAGGTGGTGTATGCGCGCCGCCTTTGGCAGCCCCGTCGTCCCTAACGAGGCGTTCAAACGGGTCGACTGCGAGTTAGGCCGCGGGAGAGGGCAGTGCCGCGCCGCGGGCCTGAGGTGAAGATGTGGAAAAGGGTGTCGGTGATGCGCACGCCGGCACGCAGCTCCCTCGGCACGCTGGAGGCGGCATGGCCACGGAACGGGTCGATTTCCAACGCAAACGCGGGCGCGTCCGAATCCACACTGCCGTAGCAAAACATTCGCATGCCTCCGCCGTGGCTGTCGACGTAAGCGCCGATCGTAGCGCATAGGGACGTGTCAAAGATCAAGGCCTTGCAGCCTGTCTGCTCGACGCAGTGCGCAAACGGGCCGCCGGTCAGATTGTGATTGATGAGCGCAGCACTGGCGCCGAGCTTTGAGAGGCCAAAGACAAAGAAGATGAACGCCGCCGAGTTCTCCATCAAGAGCCCCACCGTGTCACCCGCGGCGAGGCCGGCGCTGACACCCCAGTTGGCCACGCGGTTCGCATTCTCGTCGAGCTCCTTGAACGACCAGCTCTGTCCCTCAAACACAAGCGCCTCGTCATCTGGACTGCGCCCGACGCAGGCCTCCAGCCAGTCGGCGGTGGTAAAGCCGTCCCGTTTGTCAAGGGCGACGAGCGCATCACCGCGCCGCTTGACGCCGATGACGACCTTCAGGAACTCGAGATCGCGCAAGAGAGTGTGGCAGCAGCTGCCCATGAAGGAAGGCACAGCCTGTCGTACGCTCCTGGTGGTAGAGACAGCTGGACGGAGCTTCTGAACGAGTGTGAGTCGCCCGCGTCCGTTGCTTCCCTGCGTTGTAAAATTCCTTTTGCAAGTCCGCGGGATGGCGCGGGCGAGGCGGAGGCCGTCGAGATGCCGGCGCTGGCGGCGGTCGGGCGGGCGGGCGCGGAGGCTGGGCGAGGCGGCGGGCGAGACGGCGGTGCGGCGGGTGACGGGCGGCTGGCGTCGTGGGCGAGCGTGGAGGAGGCGGCGCGCGGCCGCGCGCGGTTGGCATTGTGACGAAGGTTGCGCGCGGCCGCGGCGCGCCCGCCATGGTTCGGCGCGGCGCGCCTACCAGCGGCAATTGTCGAGGCACGGGAACGCTTACCCGGGGTCATCCTCTGAGCCTGGTCGTCGGCGCCGCGATGCCACGGCGGCGCATTCGACGTCGTCGGCGCGCTGCCCCGCGTTGAGCCCCGCCGCTCGTAGCGACGGCCGCAGGTTGGCCCGGTGCAGCGAGCCCGTCTGCGGGTCACGCAAAAAGAAAGCGCGCGCCCACCAAAGTCACGTGCACAAACGGAAGGAGGACGGGGAAGATGACTCAGAGGAGGACGAACCAGTGGAAATTCAGTTGTCAGATGTCACGATGCATCCGAAGGGGACCCCAGCGCCGGCATCATCCGTAGAGGCACGAGTGTTCGAAGAGAGAGTGGACCTGAGCAACAACATGACGTGTAGGCAAATGATCGGAGTGGGAGTCAGAAATGTGGTCCTTGCGCGAGGGGAGCTTGATAGACTCGAGGGGCCAGGATACGCCGCGAGGAGGACGGAGTTGCGCAAGGCGAAAGAAGCCGCGAGAACAAGGGACCGGCAGGCGGCGGCGTCGCAGGACGAGGCAGAAGAGAACGACGCGACAGAGGAGGAAGTGACAAGGGAGAGACCGACGAGAGTGGGACGGCCGCGAGGTGGCATGAAGGTTGCAGCGAGAAGCGGCGAGAGACTGCGAAAAGAGATACGAAGAGGCAGACTCCCCAGGGTGGGCGACGGCTAGCGCATCACACTCCTCTCCTTAAAATCCCTGTGTGGTGGCGGCGTGCCGTTCTCCCATCCCTCCCTTGCCTTGTGTGTTTTCTTTCTTTCTTTTACAAATGGCAGGGCGGCGCGAGGCTGTTGCGGGCGGCGCCTCCTCGGGCGAAGCGGCCTCTTCCAGCTCGCTGGGCAGCCTTCCCAAAGAGGCGGCGGCAGCAGCTATCCAAGGCGACGACGCGGCGCTGCTGGCGTGGCTCGACAGCGGGGGGCGGGTCAACGCGACTTGGATGGGCGATGTGAGAGGCCTCTCCGCGCTGATGCGCGCCGCCCAGTTTGGCCACGAGCGAGTGGTGGAGCTGCTGCTGCAGCGAGGCGCGGAGATCAACCAGCAGAGCAGCGATGGCAGCACCGCGCTGATGTACGCTGCCACCAAAGGCCACGAGCGGGTGGTCGAGCTGCTGCTGCAGCGCGGCGCGGAGATCAACAAGCAGGGCAGCCGAGGCGGCACCGCGCTGATGAGCGCCGCCAGCCACGGCCACCCCGCCGTCGTGCTCCGCCTGCTGCGGGCGGGCGCAGACGCGGCGCTGTGCTGTAAGAACGGCAAGTCCGCACTGCAGTATGCCAAGGAGAACGGCCACGCCGCGTGCGTCGAGGCCTTCCGGCAGCACGTCGCAGAGGTGATTGCGGGCCAGCGCGAGGCGGCGGCGGGCGGCGCGGGCGGCGCATCCTCGGGCGAGGCGGCGGCGGGATCGACGGCCGCGGCTTCTTCGGCCGTGACAGCAGCTATTGACGGCGACGAGACGGGGCTGCTGGCGTGGCTCGACAGCGGCGGGCGGGTCAACGCGACTTCCGTGGTAGGCAATGGGAGCGGCGTCACCGCGCTGATGTGCGCCGCCCAGCTTGGCCACGAGCGAATGGTCGAGCTGTTGCTGCAGCGCGGCGCGTATATCAACCAGCAGAACAGCATCGGCGGCACCGCGCTGATGGGCGCCACCAGCCAAGGCCACGAGCGAGTGGTCGAGCTGCTGCTGCAGCACGGCGCGGAGATCAACCTGCAGAACGGCGAAGGCTACACCGCGTTGATGAGCGCCGCCTTCTACGGCCACGAGCCGGTGGTCGACCTGCTGCTGCAGCGCGGCGCAGAGATCAACCAGCAGGACAGCAGAGGCGGCACCGCGCTGATGGACGCCGCCACCAACGGCAATGAGCGGGTGGTCGAGCTGCTGCTGCAGCGCGGCGCGGAGATCAACAAGCATGGCAGCCGAGGCGGCACCGCGCTGATGGGCGCCGCCCAGGAGGACCACGAGCGGGTGGTCGACCTGCTGCTGCAGCGTGGCGCGGCGGTCGACGAGCAGGACAGCGACGGCGACACCGCGCTGATGTACGCCGCCACCAACGGCAATGAGCGGGTGGTCGAGCTGCTGCTGCAGCGCGGCGCGGAGATCAACAAGCATGGCAGCCGAGGCGGCACCGCGCTGATGGGCGCCGCCCAGGAGGGCCACGAGCGGGTGGTCGACCTGCTGCTGCAGCGCGGCGCGGCGGTCGACGAGCAGGACAGCGACGGCGGCACCGCGCTTATGGTCGCCGCCATCCAAGGTCATGCCGCCGTCGTGCTCCGTTTGCTGCTTTGGGGCGCGGATACGACGGCGCGCGCTGAGAACGGCAAGACGGCGCTGCAGGCTGCCAAGGAGAAGGGCCACGCCGAGTGCGTGCGCGCCCTCGAGGAGCATGCGGCGGCGGTGGCGGAGGTGGAGGCAGCGTGGAGGGAGGCGGAGAGAGCGGCGGCGGAGGCGGAGGCGAGGCGGCATGCCGAGGCGCTGCTGGCGGAGGAGGAGGCGGAGAAGGAGGCGGGCGGGCGCGACAAGGAGAGCAAGAAGGGCAAGAAGAAGAAGAAGAAGGGGAAGGGCGGCGGTGGAGGCGCTGGGCCTTCGCGGGAGCCCGAGGATGAGGCAGCGCTGGCGGCGGGGGAGGAGGCGGAGTTGGCGGCGGCGCTCGAGGAGAGCGCGAGGCTGGAGGAGGAAAGGCGGGCGCCCGACGAGCAAGCGTCGTCCTCTTTGGCTGCAGAGAGGCCGCTTTCGGTGGAGGAGGAGGAGCCGCCGGCCGACTTCGTCTGCCCAATCACGACCGAGGTCATGAGTGACCCGGTGATGGCGGCGGACGGGCAGTCGTACGAGCGGACGGCGATCGAGCGCTGGCTCGCGACCAAGTCGACGAGCCCGCTGACCGGCGAGGAGCTAGAGTTCACTCGGCTCTTCCCAAACCACACACTCCGCCGGGTGATCCGACAGTGGCAGGAAACCGCTCGCAGCTGACACGCTTGTGGCGGGGTCAGAGCCTGTCACTGCATTGGTTGGCACCTGACCAGTGACCTGACAAAGATCAGAGTGTCACTGACAGTCCTTCCTCTTCCAGCATCCAGCAGCTTTCTCAGAGCACAGAGGGTGCGTGTGAGTGAGTATTCTTGATACGAAACCACGACGACACACACCAGTCGACTCGCATCGGTTGCCTCCATGAACGGCGGAGCTACGTTATTCTCGCGCCCACACCACACCTGGCTCCAACGTGGACACGCCCATAGCTGGGGACACTACTAGGCCACGCGTGGCATCAGAAGTTTTATCTCTGGGCCCCAGGGGCTGCCATCGCCGAAGCTGTGCCTAAGCATAACTCCCAAACCCGCAGCGGCCCGGGGGGCCTTGGGGGCAGCCTGCCGGACCGCTGTTGCACGGGGCTGAGCGCCAGAAGACGAGTGTAGTTGATGGATTTTCCGGGGTGTTGCATAGGCGGGGAGCCTCCCCCGCTGGTCTCCTCCTTCCCATTTTTTTCTTTTCTTTTGAGAGCAGAACGCCGGGTTTGTCTTGTATGTGCGTGTCGGGCCTGGGTGTGTGCACGGGGCAGACAGGGGCGGGGGCGTGCGGGGCAGAGGCCCAGCGTCGGGCGTCTTGTCGGGGCCGAAGCATTCGAGGGGGGAACGAAGAGGGGGGGATGGGCGGTCGGCGTCGGGGTAGCAGGCTGCAGGGCGTACGGGGTAGCCGCCACTTTCCTGCCTCAAAAGGGCGGGGCTGTCCCGGAAAGTGAGAAACGCCGGGCAGCGTGGCGCACAACTGAAACCTCCCAACGTGTTCGTGGCTCCTCCTTTGCTGTCCCATCTCCTCATCTTCTTTCCCGCCTGGGCGGGGCAGTGGGCGGGCGCGCGGTGCGGTGTGGAGTGTGCATGTGTGCGACTGCGTCGAAGGACCGCTCGCAAGGGACCATTGGGTTTGTATTATTAACAACGAAGGCTGATTGATTGATGGGAAGGCGAAACACAGTCCGACCAACGACTGGGACACCAACGCGGTATGGGTGGACGCTAGACGGGCGATGACGGTCACACAGGAGCGACACACTGAACCACAAGACAAGACACTCAGCCAAACTGACTGCCACACATCCTGAGCGAACTTCCCTAGTCACCCGCGGCCGGACTCCATCCGGCACGCGTCGCTGGGCGCTCAGAGCCGCGTCCCCTGCTCGCCACCCCGACGCCCAAGGCGCCCGAATCGAACGACAGGCGGCACGCGAAGACTGGTTGCAATCCCGCCGACCGCGAGGCCGCGGGATGATGCGTGCGTGGTCTTGGAGTGGGTCTCGGAAGCTCCCCTCTCGGGCTAGGAGCCAGCCCTCTCTCGAGGTTCTCGAGGTGGATATCCTTTGGCCGCGTTGGGTAGCGAGGATTGGTGTAACCCGAGCCACGCAGGCGTGTTTTCTGACGGCCGACCGTCACGCGTCAGTGCACGGAGTTGCCCCTTCTCCGACTGCCCCGGCTAGTACAGAAATCTTGGTGTGTAATGTACGATGTCGGGGCCCGGGGATGTGCGTTTATGTAATGTGTGTTTTGGTTTTCAAAATCTCTCTCTCAGAAATGGGCCAGAAGTCGGCCCGCGGAGACACACACACACACACACACACACACACACACACACACACACACACACACACACACACACACACACACACACACACACACACACACACACACACACACACACACACACACACACACACACACACACACACACACACACACACACACACACACACACACACACACACACACAGCAGAGTCCTCCTACGGGAATGTACGTAAGAGACACATAAACTTAAAAAAAGGGAGGAGGAAGACAGTAATAAGGAGACTCGGGCGACTTGGAGCACTTGCGACGCGACACTTCCGCACTTCCGGCGCCCGCCGCATTTGCCGCATGGATGGAGGTCGCCACGGCAGGCCGTCCTACTGACTTTTACCATGGCACTTCACTTGAGGCGATCCTGGCTATCCAGCAGTCTGGCTTCCGTGTCGATCTTTGCGGCACCAACGCCGGCGCGGCGCTCGGGCACGGGGTCTACGTCACAACGACTCTGGAGACGGCGCTGAACTACGCCAAAGGCCCGTCCAACAATCCCAACCCGGCAAGAGGAGGAGTTTTGGTGTTAGAGGTCGACCTTGGGCGATGCTACACGGTGCGCTCGAGCAGCGTGTCAGAGCGCACCGACTGGCAGCAAAGGGGCTACCACTCTGCATGGGCAGCTGAAGGCGTTATTGGTGACCGCGAGGAGAACTGTGTGAGGGACCCTGGACGGATCCGCATCACGAATGTGGTGCTGCCGCACACGGGAGAGGCACGGCGCCTCGGCTACGAGATTCGGAGCGGACGGCTTGAGCGGGCAGGCGCTGTCCAGATGCGCAGCGGGCCTGCTCACATGTTTACTCGGGCGCAACTCAAAGCAGCAGTTGAGAAAGGCGATGTAGCGGCGGTGTGGTCGTGGATCGACGGTGGCGGGCAGATCGACCTGCCGTTCGAGATTGGCCCCTATAGCGGCATATCAATGCTTGAGATGTCTGCCGCCCATGGCCATGAATGGATGGTCGACCTGCTGCTGCGGCGCGGTGCGAACGTCAATCTTTTGGACGACCAGGGCAGCACTGCACTGGCGTGGGCTGTACAGCAATGAACCCCAGCAAGCAGCTTCCTCGAGGCCGAACAGGTTTGCGTACCATACCCGTGACGAAAAACGAACAAGCACCAAGCGCTAAGCGTGAGGACACGATTTCGAATTCGGAGGTGCACCTAAGCAAAATTAGCCTCTCAGGTGTGAATAAAAAATATAAGGGTCGACCAGGTTTCGAGCCGGGGACCTCTCGTCTGGCGAGAAGCTCCCAGCTCGAGCATCCACACCTCACGACGACAGGAGGCGAGCGCGCTTAGTGATCCGTGCGGCCGTCGAAGCACACAGCTGGTCGCTGTGCGGCACCTCAAACTCACTCGCCGATGTGTCTGAGGGCTTGACGTCAGCAGCGCGAGGGCAGCGGCCCTCGAGGCGGACGAGGGAGGGTTGTGCATGCCGAGCAATTTCTCTTTCCACGTGGTGTACCTGTGTTAGTGCCAGTGCGCGCCAGTCCCGTGCCCAGTGTTGTGCGAGGGAGTTGGCTTGTAAAATTCTCTTTCCACATAAAATTCTCATCCCACCAACAGCGCTCGCCGACCTGGCTCGGGGCGACCTGGCCTCGCTGCGCGCCGTCCTCTCCGGTCGGCGGACGCGCGGCACGCTCGACGCGCGGCACGACACCGACACGCGAGACACGCTGCTCACCTGGGCTGCTCGTTACGGGCAGGCCGAGGCGGTGCGGCTACTGCTCGACAGCGGCGCGAGCGTCGGGGCGACGAATGGTGACGACCGGTCTGCGCTGTTCATCGCGTGCCTGCAGGGCCATGGCCAGTGCGTCCGGCTGCTTCTCGAGGCGTGCGCGGCGACCGACCATAACGATGAGGACGGCGTCACGCCGCTGTCCATCGCGTGCGAGCATGGACACCTCGAGATCGCGCGGCTGCTCCTCGAGGCTGGCGCGGCGGTCAGCCAGGCCGAGGTGAACGGCGCCACGCCGCTGTCCTTGGCGTGCCAGGAGGGCCACCTCGAGATCGCTCGGCTGCTTCTCGAGGCCAGCGCAGCGATCGACCAGGCTGATGAGGAAGGCGCCACGCCACTGCACGCCGCGTGCCAGGAGGGCCACGTCGAGGTCGCCAAGCTCCTCTCCTCCTACGGCGCCTCCCGCCTGAGGAGAGGAGCTCGGGCCTTCGGCACGCCCGAGGAGATTGCAAACCGCCGCGGCCACGCCGACCTTGCCGCCTGGCTGGTCGCCAGCCGCGGCTGGACGCCGCTCCAGCATCTCGAGGCGTGCCCCAAGACGAGCGGCCGAATGCGTGAGCGCTGTCCTCACGCCCCCTGTCCCTCCTCCGCAGACGCTCACCTTCGAGCGGGCGCGGGCGCTGCTGCGCGGCGGCGCCGACCTTTCAGCCGGCGTTGAACGCGGCGAGCCTTCCGCCCTCGAGCGGGCGCGCGTCCTCTGCTCGTGGAGCGAGTCGGATCCGACCGCTGCGGCAATCGGTTCCACTGTCGCGATCCACTCTCTCGTCTCGCGGCCCTCGATGAACGGCAAGGTCGGCGTCGTCGTCTCCGCGGACGCTTCGACGGGACGCTTCGGCGTGCGCGTGGCGGGCGAGGCCAAGGCATTCGCACTGAGGCGCGCAATGCAATGGTCTCTCCCCGACTCGCCGGCTCCTCTCTTTGACACACCTCTGCCCTCCCTCAGGCCGGCCAACCTGCAGCCAGCGGCCGAGGCGGTGGAGGTGGGCAGGCTCATCCTCAAGGCGGCGGAGTGGTCGCCGCAGTCGCATGAGCTCTTCCCGACAGCGGCTCGCAAGCGGGCGGTCGAGGTGATGCGGCTGGGCTACCTGATCGCTTGGGACGAGGAGCGCTTCGAGGGCCGCGAAGGAGCAGCTCCGGAGCTGGCGGACATCTGGCGCGCCTTTGTGCTGCCAAGGGTGGCGGTGCGATGACTGCGACGAATATTTGACGTTGTGCACGGAGCTAAGTGCATTGCCGTTCTTAACGGAGTCGCTTAGGCGGCTCCGGTGGTGAGCATCCCTAGTCTGGCCGATTTTTTTCGCGGTATCCGCGGCGGGATACGGCGGGATATGGCGGGATATGGCGGGATATGGCGGGATACCGGGAGAGATACACGCGGATATGATGTGAGAGATAAAGCCGTACGGAGCCCCCACGATGTGTTCACGACAACGTCCGTGTGAAGCGTGAAACCGCAAATCGGACGCGACGGGCGAACTTCGCGCTTTGACGGCCCCGCTTGTCGAGCACATATCATTCTCCCCTTTTCGAGCGCACGCGACGCCTAAGTTTCTTTTTTGCCGTCGCGCTCTGCGGCCGGAGCGCGGGGAGAGGTAAGGTATAACAATAAGGTAAGGTAGATTTCTCCACACGCACACAAAGTGGTGGGGCAAGGGGGGGCGACCCTCGCATCTCCACGCCCGGACACGGGCAGGAGCCCCACGGCATTCAAAGTGCAAGCACTGGCCCGGTGCACGTGGGTGAGCAGCCTGCCCCTCCCTCCCGACAAACCAACTCCCGCACACACACAATCGCACTCTGGCCATCGAATGACTCCGAATGACTCACTGTGTGTGCTAAGACAGAATCTCCGCAGACATCCAAAACGGGCCGTGCCGCGTTTGTGGTGTCTTCTCAAGCACTAGCATCCGGGCGCCGCACTCGAGTGGGCGGGTCACATAGCGCGGAGAGGCCGGGCTGCTCGGCGTGAGGCGGGCAGGATACGGCGGGATATGGCGGGATATGGCGGGATATGGCGGGATATGGCGGGATACGGTCAGATATGGAGAGATACATCAAGCGCAAAAAAATCGGCCAGACTAGGGCTGTGAGCCGGTGTGTGTGCCAGTCCGCGCCAGTCCGCGCCCTCGTCGTGCCAGTGTGCTGTGAGAGAGGCTTGTATTTTAAGAATTCTTTTCCTCTCGAGCCAACTACACTACCGCGCAATGTTGAGCGCGGTCGACAAGGCGAGCCAGCATTTAGCTGCAAGTCTCAGGACAGCCTCCCTTAGCGAGCAATGTGGTGGACACCAGCGCGGTATGGGTGGACGCATAGACATGAGACGAAACAAACTCCCTCGCACAAGGCACAACAACACTGGGCACGAGACTGGCGCGCACTTTGGCACTAACACAGGTACACCACGGGACGAGTCGCCTAAATGAATAAAGAAAACGCACACAACAAACGAGCGTCATTCCGAAAACGCGGCCAAGGATATCCACCTCGACTCGAGAAAAAAGAAAGAAAGAAAACAGACAACCCAAACGAGGGATAGGGGAGGAGGACAGGGTCCACACCTGCACGAGCAGGATTTTGGAAGGACGATCAGGGGCACAGGTGGGGCTCTCTCCTGACAAGGGACACGACAGGCTCGCAGCGCGGTGCACGGTGGTCGACTCGAGAAAAAGAAAGAATAAAAACACAACCCAAGGGAGGGATGGGAGGACGGCACGCCCTCGAGAATCTCGATATCTCCCGCGAATTCTTTATTAGCACGCGCCAGTTCGCACCTGTGTCGAGCCTGTCTGCTGTGAGAGAGAGTTGTTTTGTGTAAATTCTTTATGTGGGCCAGTCCGTCGCGCGTCGGCTGCTCGCAAAGCAAAGCGGCCCTCCACAGCGTGCACTTGGTCGCTCACCGCGCATGAAGAGCTACACCAGTGTCGCCGTGGACGACGCTGATGAGGATCACGGTCTCCCGTCTGATCCCCTTCCGGGCTTCAAAAAGCCGACCGCCAGCAATAACGCCGACGACAGTGACGTGCTGCCCAAGCCGATCAAGACCAGTTTCCAGGAGAAGTTAGCGGAGAAGGGTCCGGATTCGCCTGATACGGCGGAGAGCGCGGCCGACAAGAAGAAGCTCCTCAAGCGTCAGGCGGACGCCTGCTTCTCCAAGGTGATGCTCTGCACTATCGCCATCTCGCTCGTGTGGATGTCTTCGCTCGGCGTCGCGCGTTTTATTGTCCAGTCGGCCATCGCCTCGCCGCCATTCAGTGTGGTGAGCTTCGAGTGCATGCGTGGCTGGGACAAGATGGTCTCCGAGAAGGAAGGGCACACGGCGTGTACGAGCGTGCAGGCGAAGAGCACGCCGCCAGCCCGCGCCCGGCGTAGACACACCGCTGCAAGTCGTGAGAGGAGCCTCACAAGGCGGTGGCGGTCCCGCGCTCGCGCGCTTCCACTCTCTCCCACCGCCGCTCGCCGCAGATGTCGCAGTGCGATGCCGCGCTCGAGGGCGCCGCCGCGGACGAGGTTGCGCGTTCGACGGCGGCGAGCGACCAGGCACGGGCTGCCCCGAGGGCCTGACAGAGCACAGAGCACGGCAACGCGAGTCAGGCAGGGGGCTGGACTCTCTCGGGACCCCGAGATCGAGGGAGCCTCGGCGGACAGGCGGGTAGCGCGCGGTGGCTCTCGCGCCAACTTCATCTCCTCGTCTGGCGCCACGTAGGTCGACCAGATGCTGCACCGCGTGGAGACGCTAAAGATGCGGTGCACCAACTCGCATGTGCGAATCATGGACGGGCTCGAGATGATCGGCAGGCGCCGCGCGCACGCGCCGCGCGCCCACGCCCTCTCGGCGCGCGCAGCCACCGCACCGAGCGCTCTCCAATCTTTGCGCGCCCCCCGTGGTAGGCGAGGCGTGCCTCTTGTTTGGAGCAACGACAGTTGCACGCCGCGAGAGGCGCGGCGCGGCGGCGCCGTGGGGGGCCGTCGCGGAGCCCGCCCCCCTTCTCAGGCTCGGGGCGCGCGACTCGCGTAGGTGGAGGCCGCACGCCAGCTCCTCGGCGATGCGTCGCGCGAGAAGCAGGAGGCGATGGCCGTGGCGCAGGCCCGCTCGCCGCCTTTGGCCGCGCCGTTTCCACGCCGTTTCCACGCCGTTTCCACGAAGGTTCGACGGGCCCGCGTCTGAGGGGCGCCGAGCCGCCCCGCGGCGCAGGCGTACGCCGACCAGGTCATGGCATCGCAAAAGTCGTTCACGGACCGCGTCGAGGCGCGGACCGCGACACGCAAGCTAGCCACCCGGACGAGTGCGGGACAAAGCTAGCCCTCCCGTGAGCCAGCAGACGAGCGGGGGGAGGGCGGTGAGAGGGGGCGAGTGCGAGGGCTCCGCGCCTCTGCGCCTCGATGCCGGCTTGCGCGTCGCCCGACAGGCGCGGGCCGAGTACGACAGCCAGTACATGTACAACTCCTCCAAGGGGTTCATCGACGCGGCCGGCGCGGCCAAGGACGGCGTGGAGGACGAGATTGCCAAGATGCAGGACCGGCTCGACATGCTCAACATGTCGCTCTCCTTCTGCACCGACTCGGCGTGCGACATCCCCATCCTGCAGGAGATGGCCGCGCTCACCGACCAGATCAAGAAGATGAACATGGCCATGATGCAGCAGGCGGCGCAGTGGTCGGAGTACGCGAAGGCGGCCGAGAGTATGGAGAGGTGGATGAAGCAGAATGCGGCAAAGATGCAACAGGTCATGTCGGGCATCGACCCGAACTTCAACCTGCCCGACTTCAACCTGCCCGGCATACCGAATATCAACATCCCCTTACCGGACATGAACCTCGACATGGACGTTTACACTGCCGAGTTCGCAGCGTGGTCAGCGGAGATGGCGAGGGCGCAGAAGGAGTACCTCGCCGACGCGATGGGAGGACTGCCAGACATCTCGGGCGCGCTCGACCCGATCACCGGCCTCGAGATCCTGCCCGGCTACGACCCGCCGCCGCTCAACATTGCCAACGCGACGGCGGAGATGGCCCAGGCGGCGGAGGACTTCCTCGCCAAGCAGGCCAGCGCCATCGACAACATCGTCGGCGGCGCTGCCAACATGATGGGCATCGGCGACAACAGCTCCGGCTCGTGGGTCTTCAACTGGTCCATGTCGGACATGACCGACTCGTCAAACTTCGACTGGAAGGTTGAGGGGTTCCACGCGCTCGAGATGGACATCATGGGGCTCAAGATCAGCATCGACAACATCTTCACCATGGCCGTGTGGGCCGACGTCGTGTGGCGGGTCTACATCTCGACGCGCCTGGTCATCAAGTACTGGTTCCGCTCCTCCGAGGCGATCCCGCCGCTCGACCTGCGGCGCGCGACGTTGCAGCAGGGCGTGATGCTGACCGGTGCCGCCTCGGTCTTCGAGCTCGCCTGCTCTTTCATCGCCCGGTTCAACCCCGTCCGGCTCTGCATGTCTTACATCCTCTCCCCGTACTCGGCCGCGGCCTTTGGAGGCTTCCTCATGCTCTTCGTGCTCAACGCCGTGACCCAGGTGTACATGTTCTCCTTCTACGCGTACGTCGAGGGCTGCATAGAGCCCCCGCGCAACGGCACGTGGGTCTGCGAAAACCTCTTCTCCGCCGCCTACAACTACGCGGCGGGCGACGGCGACAAGACACTGCTCGCCGGGCTGCAGGTCTACAACGAGCGGCGGTCGAGAGAGTGCGCGACGTACCTGCAGCCGTCGGCGCAGCACCAGACGACGGCGGCGCAGCACTACGACACCGACTCCAAGATCTATGCCCTCGACGCCGCCGGGATCGCCCTCGCCAAAAAGTGCCTCGACTTTGACAAAACGGCGGCAGGCGACCCGGAAATCGTTCTGTCGGTCGCCTCTCAGGCCGTGAGCGAGGCGGAGGCCGCCGCCAAAGCCGCCGCCGCCGCTGACGCCGCCGACGCCGCCATGGCGGCGGCCGAGGCACTAAGCCGCACGCCGGACGACGCCGCCTGCTTTGGCGACATCTGCGCGGGCGACCCGCTCGCGGGGTGGGGCAACATGTCCAGCGGCGGGTGGCCGAACGCGTCGCAGGCGTTCGCGGACGCGGACTTGGATTCCATCAAGGACAGCCTGGCCGAGAACGGGCTCGACGCCGGCTCCCTGTCCGGCATGGCGTCCGGCTTTGACTGGGGGGGGAGGAGGCGGCTGATCGAGGGCGCGACGCGGGCGTTGGGGCCGACGACGGCGGCGGCAGCGGCCTCGGAGCTGCGAAAGCTGCTCGACACCGGCACGCCATGCCTGCAGGACGTCAACGCGACGCTTCCGGACGGCGTCTTCTCGTGCGAGGAACTCCCTCCCTGCGAGGTGACCTGCGCGGGCCCGAACCGCGAGGTGCTCGGCCTGTTTTCCAACCGGTGCGGCTGCCACTCGGAGTGGCTGTTCCACGGGTTCGTGCTGCAGATCCTGCTCGCGATCCTCGTGTACGTGAGCATGCAGGTGGCGCGCACGCTGCTGGTGGAGGGGGTGCTCCGCATCACGTGGCGCCGGCTCCACGTCTACGCCGAGCTCGAGGTGCTCGGCACGGCCGACCTCGACTCGCTGCACAAGTTCCCCGGCTGCCTCTCCTTCAACGCGCGGCAGCTGTTCGAGCACGTGGCGCGGCACCTGCGCGAGTACGAGCGCAAGGCGATCGGCTTCTTCCTCGCCTGCCCCCTCTCCTTCGCCCCGATCTCGTGGCTGCTGTGGTACGTCGCGCAAAACATCACGTACACGCAGGACTTTGTGACTGCCAGAACCACAACCAGCGTGTTTTGACGCCGAGCGCGCCGACGGCACCGAGCGGTCGCAGGGGAGGGACGGGGCGGCGGAGGGGGGAGCCCGCGGACTGGGGTCTGAGCTGTGCAATGTCGAGACCTGTCGATAGAGCATTAGCGCGCGCACAGCGCAAGATACGTGGGTTGTGTTTGTGCCTGTGTCCGAGAGTATCTCTGCTCTTGTCGATTGTCGTGTTAGGCGTTTCCCTTGTGTGTATGTACGGAGCCTGACTCGTCACTTGCTCCTAGCTGTTCCTGCTTTTCGTTTGTCTTGTGAATCTCTCAATAAAGCCGTATGTGAGCTATGTGTCGTGTGTCGTGTATATACTACTCGCCGATGCATGAAAAGCCCAAAACTCGTTTTTTCGGATTTTTCGCGGTCCGGGACACCTCTCTGAACCACGTCCGACGTCACGTGGGCGGTGGGGGGGGCGGGGGGCCGCTCCGGCTCACGCTCTCACGTCTCAGAGGTCGTGGCTCGTGGGCGGCATATAGTTGTACTGACGTAGAGCTCGGGTGTGTGTGGGCTGAGTTGTGAGATTGCTTTTCATGCGCTTTCGGCTTGTTTAAAAACACATACCCAGGGCGTTCGCTCGATGCGCACGGCAGCATGCCAGGTTTTCAGGCGATGCCGTCCGCGAGGAAGTTTTGGAACCGCGCTGAATACTGGACGGGGTCGACGACGGAGAAGTTTTGCGCGCCAACGCGTTCGCCATACTTTGCCGCCTGTTTTTGGGGGGGGGGGGGGGGGGGGTTCTGAAAAGGCGCCCGGGGGCGCCACACGCCCTCCCTTCGCACCACGCCGCCTTGTACGAGTGCTCGAGCTGCTTCTGGAAGCCGTACTCGCACAGAATGTCGATCACACCGACGTAGTACACCTCCTTGTCGACCGTCAACGCGCCTTCCTCCGACGCGCTCGCCGGCCGCCGCGCTGCCTGCTCCCGTAGCAGCTGCTCCTGCGACACGGTGTCCACGATCTGCACGCCGCCGCCGCCGACCCCCCCGCCGACCCCCCCGCCGACCCCCCCGCCGCGCGCGCCCGCCGCGCCCGCCTCGCCGTCCGTGTCGGTCTTCACGCCCGCGTGTGTTGAGGTCGCGGCGGCGGAGGAGGCGGGGTCGGAGCCGCTGCCTCCTGCCGCAACCTTGTAGAAGAGGCACGACGTGCGCGCCGGCCGCTTCGCCGTTGCGCCTAGAGCCGAGAGCCGGCGCCGGGATGCGCGGGCACGCAGGCCGAGCGATGACGCGCCGTCGGGTGCGGTCGGCGCCGGCGCGGTGGATGCCGATCAGGATCGAGTAGTCGATCACCTCGAGCCGCTCCAGAAGCTCGCAGTCCTTCTTGACCTGCGCGAGCAGCCGCCTCTTCTTGTCCTCGCCTGGGGGGGGGGGAGAGCGCGGGGCGGGGGCGTCAGCGGCGAAGGCGCCCTCGCCGCCGCCGCCCGCGCGCCGCCCTCGCGCCGAGCAGCAGCTTGCGCTTCGCGTTGATGAAGTCGAGGTCCTTGAGCACCACCTGCTCACACCGTCGAGCCGTGAAGAGAGGCGCGGCTCACGCGCAAGACGCCCGCCGCCGTGCTTGTCCCCACATTCGGGTCGGCGCGCTCCGTGTCGGTCGCCAAGCGGTTGCGCGCCTAGCCCCGAGCGAAAACCCCGGACGGCGGTGAGGGCGGTGGCGGTGCCCTTAGGCGGCGGTGAAAGCGCCGGCTGGGCCGGCGGCGCCTAGGACGCGGCCGTCGAGACTACTATTGGGCGGCGGCGGCGGCGGCGGCGGCGGCAGCGGGCGTTCGGCGGCGGGATGGGAGCTGCCGCCCCCCTCCCTACTGCCGCCCCCCTCCCTGCCACCGCCCCCCTCCCTGCCTCCGCCCTCTCTCTCCTCGCCCTCTCTGCAGGGAGGAGGGCGGCGGCAGGGAGGGCGGCGGCGGAGGCGCGGCATCTCGAGGCGCGGGCGCGTCTCGGGGATGCGGTGAGCAGGCAAGAGTGCACCAGCTGTCGCCCACCCGCTGGGCCTAGGAGGGCGCCCTCCGCGCGGCTGCTCTCGGTCTGTATCTCCCCTGTAGTATCTCATCTGTGTCTCGCCTGTATCTCGGCTGTATCTCGGCTAGATCTCGCGCCTTGAGGTCGAACCGCTCGTGCACCGGCTTGTCGATGGGGAAGATGTTGCCCATCACGACGAAGTAGACGACCTTGCCGCTCCGCTGCTGCACGCGGTGCAGCCCGAAGAAGCGGCACAGCAGCGTGAACCGGTGAGACATCAGGTGCTGGTGGTACGGGGGCAGCGCGGACATCAGAAAAGCCGCCTGCGCGCGCGACGGCGCAGAGGCGTGGGCGGCGGCGCTGCAGCGGCGGTGCCTCGCTTCTTGCCCAGAGCGAGCGAATCGGGGCAGTGGTTGCGCTCCGCCCCGCCGGTCCTTCCGGGCGCATCTGCGGGGGCGCGCGCCTCGCGCTTTGTGCATGTCTTGAGGACAAAGCGGTAGTCTGCCGAGTAGAAGAAGAAGGAGCCCGACTTGGAGTTTGTGAACATCTCGACGAGCACGTACTCCGACGTGAGCGAGAGCATGTAGTCCTGCGACGAGATTCCGAAGCGCTCGCGCAGCTGCCGAAATATGAGTGGCGAGTACTCCTTGAAGCGGTAGTCGGAGTGGCTGTGCGCAGGCGTCTCGGGCGTGCCAGAGGCGAGGAAGTCGCCCTCCCAATTCTGGTTGAACTCGGCGGGGCCCATCTCGGCGGGCAGCTCCTTGGACGCGAACTTGCCCACCGCAGTGCGGATGCCCATGAGCATCATAAAGATGAGCTCGAACGAGTCGTGGTCGGACGTGATCATCTTGGAGGTTGCAACCTTGGATGACTCGCCCAGCCCGGCCTCGCTGGATTCGGCGCGGCTCGGCCCCGGGTCCATCGGTGGAGGCGCAGGCATCGCAGGGCCCTCGAAAGGCCACAGTCCGTCGCGCTCCCCTGACTCGGCGTGCGCCCGTCTAACGAGAGTTCACGGCTGGGGCTGTGAGGAACCCTATATATCTAGGAAGTGGAACCAGAAGATTTGGGGGGGGGGGGGGGGGGGGGACGAGTTGGCGGGACGAGGGCGGCGAATTGCGTGGTACTGCGTTCGCTGCCGCTGGCTGCACCTGGCTGCCGCCGGCTGCCGCTGGTTGCTGGGCGCCCGCCGCAAATGGAAGACGAGGACTACGTGGTGGCGGCGGCCGCGGGGGCCGCTGGCACACGAGGTGCTCGCCGCCTCCGCCGCGACGCGGTGAGGCACAGAGCATGGAGAGCCGAGCGCATCGGCGCATTGGGCCATCGCGTTGCTGTCAGGGCCTCGGCGACGGAGAGCGGGGCCGAGGAGGACGAGGCCGGGGCGGCGTTCAAGTGGAAGTGGAACATCGACGGAGGGAAGCTCTTCGAGGAATGCCTCCGCAGGGCCAAGCTGGAGGGGCATCTGCCCGATCTCATGCGCGGCTGCCCTTTCAGCGGGCAGACGGCCCTGACGCGGAGCATGCTGCGCGCGCTGACTCTTCCTTACGTGACACGGGCTCTCAACGGCGACTTTCCAGGATCAGACCTGAAGGCAGCGGAGGAGGCGCACATCGCCAGTCTGGACGCGTATTGCCGCAAGCATTGGGCTCCGACGGGGCAGGTGGCAAATGGCCGATGGCCGGGCGGTGCGCCGCTCTGGTGGCGTACAAGGGCCAGCCTGGACGACGGGGAGTGGGTGGCGCGCGCCTCCGTGGCGAGCGTGGCGACGCACTCGACGAGCGCCTTCTGCAGGTCGAGGGGGAGGTGCCTGCAGGGAGCAGGAAGTGTCTAGGAAGTGTCTAGGACGTGTCTCAGAAGGGGCATTCCGCAGGGCGGGCGAAGGGGAGGGGAAGGGGGGGGGGGGGGGGGAGGTACCCCGTCGCCCTGGTGCCGCGCGTCGCGGCCGCAGAGACGCGGAGGTCGAGCTGCACTGCTCTCGCCGGGTCGCCCGGCACGCGGAGCACGCCTGATGCAATGAGCAAAAGAGGATGCAACATAGTGTGGAGACAGCCTCGCCAGGCACGCGGAGCACGCCCTGGAGCCGCAGCAGGTACGCCGTCTGGAGGAAGCTGCACACCTCCTCGACCGTGCCCTCGCACAGCGCCGCCTATCAAATGCGGCTATTGTTCATCTCACCGGTTATGGTTGTGTCTATGTCATCACGTGTATATTTCCGCCTGCAGCCACCGCAGGTACGCACGGTTGCCCTCGTCCTCGCTCTCGAGCTGCTGGCTCTGCACGGCGAGATTGCGCGAGATTACGCGAGACCACCCGAGACTTCCCGAGAAAGCCCCAGCCACTCGAGCGATCGAGATTGCTCGAGATGGCCCCGGTGTGCCCAAGTGTGCCCGAAGGCATCCGAGAGTGCCCTTAGATTGGCCGAGGTGCCCGAGATTGCGCGAGATCGCGCGCCTGCACCGACTGCGCTAGCTCGCGCACTCCCTCTGCCACGGAGCGGCGGCCGGCGGGCGAGAGGAGGAGCTGCTGCAGCGCCTCGGACAGCTGCTTGGAGAGCGGGCCCAGCACGCCCTGCACGGCGGCGGTGAGCGGCTGCCTGTGCACGCGGCAGCCGGCCGGAGAGATCACGAGATAGGGGGAGATATCACGAGATAGGGGGAGATAGGGGGAGATGGGGGGAGATAGGGGGAGATGGGGGGAGATGAGGGGAGATGGGGGGAGATATGGCCTGTGCAGCGGCAGCCGGCCGGAGGCGTCGTGCTCGTTGAGGCCGCCCACCGTGAAGAGGAGCTGCAGCAGCCGCGTGGCGGGCGCGTGCAGCTGCTTGGGCAGTGGCCCGCAGGCGATCAGCATCAGGTGCGAGAGGAGGTCCCCCGCCTTGGCCTTGGCCTGGGAGATAGGGGGAGATATGGGAGATGGGGGGAGATATGGAGGTCCCCCGCCTTGGCCTTGGCCTGCAACTCGTCCCGCCCGTCCGGAGATGTGACGAGATAGGGGGAGATAGGGGGAGATAGGGGGAGACAGGGGAGATAGGGGAGATGGGGGGAGACAGGGGAGATAGGGGAGATGGGGGGAGATAGGGGAGATAGGGGGAGACATGGCCTGCAGCTCGTCCAGCCCGGCTGCAGGCGAGGGCGCCGCCTGCCGGAGATAGGGGGAGATAGGGGGAGATATGGGCCTGTGCAGCGGCAGCCGGCCGGAGGAATCACGAGAGAGGGAAAGAGGGGGGGCGAGTGCGCCGCCTGCCGGAGCCGGCGCGTGCCGCGGCCGTGGGCGAGATGCGCCGCGAGGCCGCGCAGCCACGCATTCGCCTCGAGGAGCGCGCCGAGGTCACCCGTTGACGGAGCCGCGTGGCGCGGCTCGAGCAGGTCGAGCAGGTGCGAGTAGACGGCGAGCAAGCTCGGAGGCAGCAGCAGTAGCGCGGCGACGGCGGGCTTTGTCGGGCCGCGGGACGCGAGGCCGGACGAGACGAGAGAGCGCCTGTCTCGGCGGGTCTCGGGGGTGATCCCGGCGGATCTCGGGTGATCTCGGGTGATCTCGGCGGATCTCGGGTGATCTCGGATGATCGCGGCGGATCTCGGGTGATCTCGGCGGATCTCGGCGGATCTCGGAGGAGGCGCGCGTGAGGAAGGGCAGCGCAAACAGCGCCGGCCAGACGGTCGCGGAGACGACGACGAGGTCGGCAAGCAGCTCGAGCAGCGAGAGCAGCCGTGAGCGCGGCGGCGGCGGGCGCGGGCGAGGCGCGTCGACAAACGACTTGCCGCCGTGCACTGGCGACGCGGGCTCCTCCTCCTGCCGGTGGGTTCGGGTACCGTGGGGTAGGGGAGGGTGGGTTCGGGTACCGTGGGGTAGCGGGGCGCTGGCTCCTCCTCCTGCCCCGCGCCGCCGAGCGAGCGGAGGCCCGCCCACCTACCACACCACCCACGGGACTGAACACACACCGGATTCGAGACTCTGGAGGTGTGGGACTAGGTCGGTGCGACGGAGCGAGGCGAGGCCAGCCCACCAGCGCACTCGGCGCAGGCTGGCGGCGACGCTGCAGAGCACCTTGAGCCCGAGGACAGCGCCTACACGGATGGCCCGGCCCAACTCCGAGTCCTGATTCAACTAATGAACAGCTCGGGCCACCGCGCCGAGGTAGAGGAGGAGCACCCAGTGCTCGCTCCTCGCGCTCTCGAGCCGCAGCGCGACCGCCTGCCAGGAAGACGAGATCCGCCGAGATCCGCCGAGATCAGCCGAGATCAGCCGAGATCAGCCGAGATCAGCCGAGATCAGCCCAGATCAGCCCAGATCAGCCCAGATCAGCCCAGATTAGCCCGCCTGCCAGAAGACGTAGCTAGGCGGCGCCAGCGCCAGCAGCCTCGCGCACAGGACGAAGGGGGCGGTGAGCATGCTCAGCATGGCGAGGCTGGTCGCGCCGTTCAGGAAGAAGAGGGGCGCCCACAGGTCGAGCGCGAGCTGCTCGGCGAGGGCGGGCTGCCCAAGCACCGCCACGGCGGTGCGGTAGAGGCACGACCAGTGCTGCACCGCCACCAGCCTCTCGAGCGAGCGGAACGCCGCCTCCTGCGTCACGCGGCTAGGAGGCAGCCGGGCGACGCGCGCCTGCCACGCGAGGGCTCCCAGCTCGAAGGTGTGCAGCAGCGCGAGGCAAAAGAGCAGGGCGCCGCCGACGCCGCGCAGCAGCGAGAGCAACCTCTCCACTCGCTCTCCAGCGCCGAAGCCTCGCCCCGCGAAGCTGCAAGCCACGCACGCCAGGCCGACGCCGACCTGCCGCTTGAAGCGCGTCAGCGGCGGCGTGCCGTCCGCAAACGCCTCGGCCAGTCCGGCCCCCTGCGGCCCCGACTGCAGCCGCTGCATCGCGCTACCGGACGCGGCGGCGACGGCGCCGAGCGAGCGTCGCGCCTGGTCGAGCGGGTGCGGCTCCTCCGGTGCGATCCACTGCCACACTGACCACGCGCCGTCGTCGCGCTGCGGCGATAGCTCCCTCCAGCGCAGCATCACCAGCAGCGCGGCGGCGAGGATGCTCAGCACGACCAACGGCCCGAGCCACGCGGACCGGTGGAGGTTGCGTGGGGAGTGCCGCAGCGCGGAGTTGCGGACGAGGGCGCCGAGCCAGAGGTTTGCCGTGTAGGCGACGGCCAGCGACACGAGCTGCTGGGTGAGCAGCCACGCGAGTTGCAGGTAGGAGCGGAGGGGACCGGCGAGCGCCACCGCCAGGTCCTTGAGCCGCAGCAGGTCCGCGATGTGCCGGCCGAGAGCGTCTGGCTCTAGGATGTCGCGCTCCGGGACGGAGGAGACCGCTGAGACAAAGAGGGCGATGCCGACGCCGATCAGGATCCCGAGGAAGACGCTAGTGCCGTCAACCATTCGCGAGTGATGTTCGGTGCCTCCACACAGAGCCGACTGGCTGGATTGGACTGGCGGGCGACCAGAAGTCCTTCTTTCTTTTTTTCCCGGGAACACATTTGTTTCTTTTTAGCTTTTATTTTCTTCCCCGTGGTCGCTCTGTGGTCGCTGTGGTTGCCTGAGTCCATGGCGCGCGCCGACACCGAGGACCAGCGGATCGAATTAAAAAAGGCTAAGCTCATTAAAAAAGCCACGCACTCCAGCGAAACCCGAGAGTGGGACGACCGCGAGGTGGCATGAAGGTTGCAGCGAGAATCGGCGAGAGACTGCGAAGAGAGATAGGAAGAGGCGGACGCCCAAGGGTGGGCGACGGCTAGCGCATCACACCCCTCTCCTTAAAATCCCTGTGTGGTGGCGGCGTGCCGTTCTCCCATCCCTCCCTTGGGTTGTCCGTTTTCTTTCTTTCTTTTTGGTGATCTGTGATCTGTGAGGGTCCGCCCGCAGGCGCATTTTGTATACCGAGGCGGTGCCCGGTGCCGAACCTGTCGGACCTTAAGACAGCATTGACCATTGAGCACTTGAGCACTTGATAGGGTCGATTCCGCATGGTACGGGACCCCTCGATCGTCTCGCCCTGTCATAACAAACACGGTACAGGATCGAGAGGTGCACGCTGCTGAGGGACCCCAGAGGGTAAATCGAGCAGTGTCCGTCCCCCCTCTCCATCATCTCACTGGGAGACGTCGGCGGTGGTGGCGGTGTGACCGATCGAGCTACAAGAGGAGCTTGTTCAGCAGGCCGGGATAGTCAGATGCACTACCTCACTGGGCCTGAGACCACCGTACGACAGCATCCCGTCAACCCTCCGGATTTGTGTGGGGTCGAACCACTCCGGGATGGGCAAGCCCATTGTTGTAACGTCAGCTCGCCTGCGATAGGAAGCGGAGGATATGGGGTCCACTCCGAAGAGAGTCGGGCGGGAGGGGGTGGGGCCAGCAGGGAGGGAGAGGGGGGTCGGCAGGGGGGGGGGGGGGGGGGGGACGAGCGGGGGCGCAGCCAAATTGCGAATCGAGATTTTGATGGCCCAAACGTAGCAACTCGTAGGCGTATTACACACACAGAGATCAGCGCGCCGACACATAGCAACTTGCCCATCAACTGGTTAATTGTCAAAATTCCTGTTGTGCAAGAGGGGAGAGGGCTCTGACGGAGTGTGTGGCGGGAGAGGGCAGGGAATGGGCGCGGGGGAGGGGGGGGGGAGGGGAGGGGGGGCTCAGCCGTGCAAAAAGCAGCAATTAATAATATTAACGAAGAAATATTGCTCGGCCGTTCCATGAAGTCCGTCTCGATCTGGAGGAGACGGTTCAACCCCGTGAGGACCAGATCACGTTCACATTGTCGTAGCCGGAGGGGATGTTGACCTTTAGCCCTTGGAGCCAACCTTCCGCTTTGGTTTCCCCCCCCCAAACCATTCGGCCAACTTTTACCAAATGCCAAAGTTGCACTTTACCACTCGGGAGCGAGTGACGGATAAAGTCGTGTGAAAGAGCTGTGAAAGCGAAAGTATCGAAATTAATTGCCCGCCGCAGGCGAAGAAAATTTTCAGGGTTTTTGGTCTCCTACGCCAAAGAAATCGAAGATTTCGGCGGGCGCCCGACGCGCGGTATGGAGCACGCGCGCTGCCCGGCATGCCTGGAGCATCCAAACGAGACGCACGGCGTCGCTCAGCCGTGTCCACGCGGCTTCGCTCCTGTCCTAACCGGCGCCATCTGGGCGGCTGCTGCGGAGCTGCTGCCGGCGGTGCGGCAACTGGCCGACAGATACAACGCTCAGGGCACCCGCCGGCGATTCACTGGAAAGGAACGAAGGCGCCGCTGTCGGCGATTCACCGCCGTTCGTTCCCGTCTCTCAAGCTGGCTACACCGTCCATGGACGAGGGAGACGTCGCCTCCTCTTTCGTCCCGGGCACTGTTCGCGCCGGAAGGCACCGTACACTGCGAAGTACATTAGCCTTCATCTCTCCTACCGCCGGCCGGGAGTGCAGCCTTCGCCATCGCTGAGTGAGTTTATCCTCGACTTTGGCACCTGCGAAGTAATGAACAACATGCAGTACGTCATATGCAATGGCGCTATGACAGCCCTGCGATGGGCGTCCTCGACGCAGACGAGGCGGAGCTCATCTGCACGGCGCAGATCGCCGACTTTCTCTCTCTCCCTGCGCGAGTGGTTGCGCCACCGTGGATGAGGCATATGGGCTGGGCAGGGGAGTTGGTAGAGGAGGTCGACTGAGGGCGCGAGGCCGCCAATCGTCACAGTCTGCTGCTGACTGTCGGTCGCTGACTGGTTGCGCATTGCGCTGGCCGCGCAGCGGCCTTTAGAAAATTTTGGCCGCAGGCCTAGGTTTTGAAAGATCAAGAGAATAAGCGCCGGTGAGTCTTTCAGAAGCTGCCGTTTGCGGCTTCCTAAGTCAATTTTTCGAGAGGAACGTTTTGGCTGAGCTATAACGGCTCCAAAGTCGCGCGATCATCGAGTTTTGAGTCAATAATTATGAAAGGAAAGGGCTGGCGAGAATTATAGCTCAGCCAATCGATTCAGCGTGCTCTGAAACGCCCAAAACCGTCGAGTTTTTCACCGTGGTCCAAACAGAGAGCTTAATATTTTGATTTTCTTGGCCACGGCCACGATTACCCGTCACTCGCTCTCGGGCAAATTCGCGGCCGCTCGCCGGAGAGCTATGCATGAAGCGGCCGGCGCGCCACCGCAGCTCACCGATGGAGCTTGCGCCGCGGCTCAATCCACAGGCGCAGCAGCATTGCGACGCATTCTCCAAGCACGGCCTCTGGCGTTGCGAGTGCACAGAGCAGTATAGCACTACCGTAGTGGCACTAGACATTACACCACTGCCGAAGGAAATTACCACATTGCAGATCGTGTAAATGGACTCTCTTGAGTGGTAACGGAGACGGTCAAGAGACTCTAGGGGAGAGAGAGTGTGTGAAGGAATTTTCCCTCAAACGCCATCGTCTGGGCCACCCAGGGCTGTGCAGACCTTTGCCCCGCTGGCCAGCTGCCACTCACATGCACACCCCTGGGGTTGGACAGCAAGAAACCGGCGCTCTGCGCGTGACCACGCGACCATCGGTGCAGGGCAAGGATGCCTTGCAATGCACAGGCCAGTTCCTGTGACGCGGCACATTTCGTCCACAAGAGTGGCCGTCCTAGGAGGCAAAGGCGGAAGTGGCGGTGTCGGCCGCGGCGAGCGTGGTGCTGGAGGTGACGGCAGGGGCGGAGGCCGAGGCGACAGAGGCGGCGGGGGTGGCGGCGGCGGTGGAGACAGCAGCAGCAGCGACAGTGGCGCCCTCGGCGCCCTGGCACAAAGCCGACGTCTGCTGGATCGGCTCTCGTTGGACGTCTTTACGGCGCTCGAAGTGAGTGTCGGCATGGGCTCTTCTACGGCACAGAAGTCGGCGCCGCAGCTTCCCGATGCGGACGACCACACAGTGCTGGGCGGGTGAATAAGCGTTCGACCTAAGGCGATCATGCCTTGCTTGGTGGTGTCTGCATCGTGCTTTCTGAGGTCCGTACCATCGCCGACGCCTCTACGAAAGTCGGCGCTCGTTCCATTTTTTTGGACATTGAACTGCCGCCTCGCCCATCTCTCATGGAGATGACTGCTCTATTGAATTATAATATTTATTACACCTTCACTACATCATCAGATCGAACCGCGCCCGCGCGCGGCCGCAAGATCACACAATCATGATGGGCATGTCTCGTCGTTCGGGGCGGCGGCCCTTCCCCTTCGACATGTGCATGTACGATGTATGTGTATGTAAAAGAGTGAGAGCAAGAATTTCGTCAGGGAGCAAGAATTTCGTCAGTGAGACGCGGCTGGCGACGGAGGAGGCTCAACGTGAGGCGGCGGCGGCGGACGTGGCGCGGGCGCAGGCGGAAGTAGCGGCGGAGCGGCGGCGGGGGGAGACAGAGGCGAGGCTGCCATGGGGGGCTATCACTGAATCGGCATAAAGTCGATGCAGCGCATGCAGTCGTAGAGGTCGTCCGTCCACGTCGTCCATGGCGCTCGCTTCAGAATCACCGCAAACAGCCACTCCACCAGAGAGTCGAGGTGGGCAGCCTCGGCGCTCGCGGCCGCTCCCGTGGGTTCGCCGGGCTCGGCGGGCGCCAGCTCCCGGAAGAAGGCGTCGCGCAGCAGTTCGCGAAGGATGGCCTTGGCCGTGTCGTCCGACTTGCATGCCGCCCGTCGCACCTCGCTGATCTTGTTGGTCACGAAGGAGCGTCCGCGACCCTTGGCCAGCAGGAGCTGCTGCACGAGCTGTGGCAGCAGCGTTGCCAGCTCGACGGCGAGATGCGGCAGCTCCTTCGAGCCGCCGAGCACTTGGTGGTCATCGATGTCGATGAGGCGCGCCTGTGGGTTGGGGGTTGGGGGTTGGGGGTCGGGGCAGAGAGAATGGGAGGGGCGGTCGGAGGGGTCAAGTGCTTAGAGGGGCCATAGCGGGGGATGGGGTCGGGGGTGGGGGGTAGAGGGGTGGGGGTGGAACCCACCTTGCGGTAGTCGCGCGAGATGAGGACGTTGCTGAGGTGGTTGAAGTCGAACGACTGCACGCCCGCGCGCGTGAGGTCGCGGAAGCCGTCGAGCAGGCTCTCGAGGAGCTCCTTGACATGGATGATGGAGAAGTGGCGCTGGAGCTGCACGACGCGCGCCTTCTCGGCGGTCTCCTCCTCGCCGCCCTCGTCCATGTTCTCCGTGAGCGCCATGTAGTTCTCCATAAAGCGCTTCAGCGTATACGTGGAGAAGCGGTCGTCGAACTGGGAGAGCAGCACCGCCTCGAAGTGGAAGGTCTGCCGGTCGGCGCAGCTCGAGGCGACAGCGAGGCCGAGGCCGTAAAAGTGAAGCAGTCGCCCCTCGTCGTTGAGCACGCCGGCGAAGCGCAGCCGCCGCGCCGCGCTCGCCTCCGAATCTGCGCCGATCATCGCAAGCATCTTGGGCAGGCTGAATGAGCGCTTGACCGCGGCGTCCCACCACTTGACCGCGGGCGTCACACCTGCTCGAGAGACCTGTGGCACCGACTCGAGCGCCGCCGCCGTGTCGAGCCGCCGCATCTTTGGCGGGCGGGCATCGGCCGCGGCGGCGCCGTCAGCGGCGGCAGCAGCGCCGTTAGCAGCGGCGGCGGCGCCGTCAGCAGCGGCGGCGGCGCTGCTCGGCGGCGGCTTCTTCTCACTCTCGGCGCTGATGCTCTTGGAGCGGGATGACGAGCGGGATGCTTCGAGGGCGATGCGGAGGACGATCGCGTTGGCGCCCATGCCGAGCACCACGTCGGGCGCTGGCTCGGCGAAGGCGAGCGGCTGGCGCTCTTCGGCCATCGAGATCTCGAGGAAGTCACGCTTGTTGTACCGCGGCTCGTCGGAGTATGAGAAGACGGTGGGCGTGAGCGAGGTGAAGGGCTCGCCAGACACAAAGTCCCATGCGCGTAGCGAGGGGTCGACGAGGTTGTGAAGCAGCGTGCCCGGCACGCCTGCCAAGGGGGTGGGGATGTGGGAGGGGTAGGGGGTACGGAACAGGGATCAGTCGTGGCACACACACCTGGCCGCTCGCGGTGACGGAAGGTGAAGGGCACGTGCGGCCCCTGGGGCGCGTCGGCGGTGACCGTCGAGAAGATGACGAGCTCAAAGCGCGAGTTGGGCGTCCAGCGGATGAGCGGCTGGGTGCTGTTGAAGTCGGTGGCGCTGAGGAAGGCCTCGCTACGCGAGACGGCCAGGCCGAACGTCGAGTGTAGCCGCGCCGCCTGCACCTGCGGGTTTACCGCCTCCTCCTCGAGCAGCAGCGAGACCTGCACGCACGCGAACTACGTCAGGCCAAGCGCGTGGGGGTGAGGAGGGAGCGGCTGACCTCGATGTCATGGCCAAAGGTCTGGAAGATAGCCCACGAGGCGCCGACACGCCGCGGGTCGCCCTGTGAGGCGAGATCGTCGTCGACCTGCTGCACGAGGGCCGCCTTGACGCTGTTGATCGATGAGGGCACTGGGATGCGCGCGTTGATCGTGCGCAGCCCAGGCACCAGAAGTTCCACTTGGACCTCGTGCGCCGAGCCTGCGAGAACGGCAGCCCACGTGGGCTCATCCCTCGAGACCCGGCGCTCCAAGCGACGCTCGGGCGTGGAGTCGCTCGAGCAGCCGAGGCCCTGCTTCTGGCTGGCGCTCATCGTCTCGAGTCTGACAAGTTGGCGCTGGAAGCCCTCGTTCTCAAGGATGAACGGTCGAGTCTTGGAGCAGACGTCAAGGACACTCGCGAGAGGCACGCCGCGGAGCATAAGCACAGCAACCGCCAGGGCCGCCGAACGGTTCTGCCCCGCGACGCAGAAAAAGAGCGCCTTACCGCCCGCCGTGCGGGCGCGGTCGTACAGCGCCAGCGCCACCTCGAGGTGCTCCGAGGCGGAGCCGTCCGCCTTGAACAGGATCGGGTAGCTGGGATCGTCCTGATAAACGTTGGTGAACGCATACTCTACCCCGTGCGACATGTAGTCGTTTATCGGTAGGTTTCGGACGCCGGACGGAGCGCAGTTCAGCACCGCCTTCACTCCCAGGCTGATTATATTGGCCGCGTCGCTGGCCGAGTGCTTGCTGCCCACAAAGAGGCCATGCCCAATGTCAGATGGGCCATTGTCGACGCTCGGCCGCCCTTGGGCAACCAGGCGGCGCACCATGGAAAGCAGCGACTCCGCGTCCGACATGGAGCAGGAGTCCGATGGTCGCGTCGCCGTCGGCTTCAGCTTCGGCTTCAGCGGCGGCGGCCGTGCGCTTGCCCAAATCCGCCGATTTTGTGAGCAGTTACCCAGTGTATGGGTGGCGGCTTCGGGGCATTTACAACGCATAGCGCTCCTCAGGATACGGCAGTGCTGTCCGGGAAACACGGAATGCTCTCCCAAGCCAGAAAGGAGCCTTTGACTTGCCAGGCGTGTGCCTCAGTTGCACCTGAGAAAGCGAGAAACACACGGCGCGTTACTCCGTCGGTTCGCTAATCTCATAACTGTAGTGAGAAAATCGCCCTGCGAGGCAAAATTTATGTATTTTTTTCTGATTCAGCCGCATTTAGCACAACTTCGTGCGCACAAGCAAACCGCCGTAATTGAATCCCAAGGGGGGGGGGTCAGCGGATTCAGTCAGCCCTTGGGCTGACCGCTCCCGTGTGTACTCTCGTTGTAACATTGGTGTACAGTTTGTGCATTGGCTGCAGTAAATAAAGCACCAGTGCTGTGCCGGTCCGTGCGTGCAGAGAGGCAGCACCACCACAGCGAGAGCAGCCGGCGCGAGAAGCGGAGAAGAGCGTCTACTGCCACCGCTGCACAGCAGCGCGCCTATAATACCTACCATTTAATGCCGACACCACACTGCTTCTCGCGTAAGAAGCGGTGGCGGTGCCGCGTGGAACCGTGACTCGCCAGCTCCAACGGAGCGCATTGATCGTTGAAAAGCTAGCTGAGTCTGCGGAGTTAAGTTTGAAGAAAAGAATTTAAACCCCCACGCTTATCTCCTAACACCCCTGTGTGGTGGCGGCGTGCGGTCCTCCCATCGCGTCCGGTCTTTTTTCTCTTTCTAAGCGGAGGTTCCGATGACTGGATATTCCTAGCAACTTCAGGCGCATGAGTGCTGCTTCGTTGCGGTCCGCGGCCCAGCCGGTGGAGGATAGCAACTTCAAGCGCTTCAGTCTCAGCTACGGGGAGAGCTATCCGGCGTACCAATACGGCCGCCTCGCGTGCACTTTCTGCAAGTCGCTCCTCGGCCGCGATTCCTTCTCCGCAGCCGAGGCGGCAAAGCCCATCGCAGTGCGCCGCTGCTTCGCGCATGCTAAGATATCGATCGAGGTGCTCAGGCGGCAGCAGCGTCCCATCTCGCCCGCGGAGCTGCTGCCCGAGGCGACGTGCCGCAGCTTGTGGCGGTACTTGCCACCGGGAGCAAAGGAGTTGCTGCTGCGGCACTCGTTTACTGACGCGAGGCGGCAGTGGATGGCGACCTTGAACGAGGCAGCGCCGCGCAAAGCGTTGCTGATGTCGCCCGCGGAGGAGGCGGCCAAGCAAGCACGAGCGCAGCTCGGCGCCGTCGAGCAGTGGGTGCCGCGCGGCGCAGTCTCGGATTCCTTCATGAACTCCCGTCCAGCCTGGAGGCGCAATCGGGTCGCCGCTGCGAGCACCGGCTCAATCGCTCGGCTCGCCAGTGAGCTCGTGCACGCAATGTGCAACCCGACGGGCGTGCGCTGCGACCGCCTCGACACGGCCAGCTTTGCTGTGGCGGGCGTGTCGGCAGCCGACGGGCTCGAGGCTGCTAAGAGGTGCTTCGACGTCCTGGCCGGCGGGCAAGGCACGAGCTCCGCTTCGCAGTGGGCTCGAGGACATGAGCTGAAGACGCTCGTGGGCACGATACACCGGTTCATTGTCGAGGCCGAGCGGGAGTCACGGCGCCAGCAGCCGCAGCCGCAGCGCAAGCGCGCAACGCGAGTCAACGAGGTGGCCGTTCAGGGCGGCTTTAGTGAGGGCGGGGCCTACGACAAGTCGACGGAGATGTGGCTGTTGCACGCTCGGAGGAGAAAGTGCGAGACTGCCGTGCTGCTGCCCCGCGCTGCCCCGCTCGCCGCGTCTCTCATCGAAAAGATGCGCCTCGACGGCCGGCTACCATCCTCGCCCGAGGCGCTCCGCGCCGCCAACCCTCTCGGCCGCAGCGGCGCGCTGGCTTGGCGCACGCTCTTCTTCTACAATCCGGCGGGCGTGTGGAACTGCGTGCTGCGAGCCTTTGCGAGCCTCGTCGGGCGCGGGCCAGCCAACCTCTTTGGCGCGCACGACCCGCTGCTGCTGCCCGAAGGGCTCATGACGCAGACGCTGGCGGACGCGCTTGGGTCTCGGCTGAAGGACGCGGCCGTCGGCGCTTTCCGACTCACCTACCCGTTCAAGGGCGCGCACGCGGCCGATGCCCTCGTCCGGTGTGTCGGACTGGGCGAGGGGTGCTTCCTCTACGGCTGCTTGGCTCGCAACGGCGCCGGCGAGCCTCAGCCGCACTGCATCGGCGTGAACGTGGACCTGCGAGTCGTGTACCGCGGCCCTGACGCGCTCGTCATCGAGGAGGAGGAGATGAGCGCGCCGCGGCTGCTGCTCACTCGCCTCGACGCCGAGTACGGCATCTCGTTTGACGACACCTGCGGAGTCCGTCAGCTCGAGATCAACCCGCACCACCCCGCCGCCTCCTCCTTCCCATACGCCAACCCCGCCCACCTCGCCAGCCTGCGGGCGGGGATGCACGTCTGGGGGGGCAAGACGAAGCGCAGGCGCGGCCGGGCGCGGAAGCCTGCCTCAATCAAGCCGCCGCCACCCTCGGGCGGGTCGGCGTCAACCGAGCCTCTCCCGGCCGTACCCGTGCCACCGCCCTGATGGCTGCAGTGAACCCGGGGAAATTAACCCGGCAAGTTCCTCAGCCGACGGGGGGTTGGTTTGGAGGCGGCCATGGGGAGGACACGGGGCGCGCTGGCCCGCCCGAGGGTGGCGGCGGCTTGGTTGAGGCAGGCTTCCGCGCCCGGCCGCGCCTGCGCTTCGTCTTGCCCCCCCAGACGTGCATCCCCGCCCGCAGGCTGGCGAGGTGGGCGGGGTTGGCGTATGGGAAGGTGGGCACATAGACGTGCCGCTCGTCTGCAGCTTTTCAAAAAAAGTGATGTCGGCACCTGCCTCTCACGCATGCAGGCAGATCGCTACTATAGCTAGTTAGGAGCCGACCGACCCTCGCGTCCGGTGCTCACCGACATCCCCGTCCGCCCCCCTCACCCCCGGCCGCGACGGCGGCGGCGGCGTGCGCGGCCACGCTCGCGGCGGGCCTGCTCGGCCACAACGGCGGCTGGGACCGGCGGCGTCTCGTCTAGCACTACTCGGAAGAGACGGCTAAGCGCGTCCGTGCGGTGCCCATCGTATCGCTTGATCTCCCGGTACGCGGCCTCGGGCTGGGGCACCTACGAGCATAGACGGCGCGAGTGAGTGACACTGAGTGAGAGCGCCGCCCGAGCCGACCCCCGGAGAGCAGGGGTCACGCCTGCACGCCAGCGCGACGCAGCGCGTCGAGGCTCGCGCGGACCGACTGCAGCGCAGCATGCCGGTAGTCGCCGGCCAGCCCGCCAGCCTGTGGCCACTGCGCGGCCCAGTCCACAGAGTCGTCGAAGATGCTCGGCACGTTGCCAACGGGCCGCGTGCGCAAGGCTCGGCGCACACGGGGGATGCCACCGCCCGGCCCTCGCACGTTGGAGTTGTTGTAGAGGTGCCGGAAGTCAGCGCACGCCACCTCGCACACCATGAAGAGGGTGAGCAGCAGGGCGAGCTGGTGCACGGGCTGCTCGATGTCGCACACGCCCGCCTCGATGATGGCGTTGGTGGCGCGTGTGATCGGGACCGCCTCCTGCGTGTTCCACTCCCCGTTCCAGCGCTGTGACGGGATTGAGGAGGAGTCAGTGTGGGCTAGGACGGAGCCAGGACTACCCGCGTACGCGCCTCGACACGCTGGTTGTGGACGGACGGCACGTCGCCCCGCACGCGCAGCCCTTGCTGCTCAAGAGCATACTTGATGAGAGCAAACTCGGTGCCCTGCAAGCGGACGACTACTGCATCAGGCGAAGAAGCTGGGCAGGGACGGGGCAGTACGGCCGCACCCCGTCGAAGATGTACACGTCCGGCGCGCGGCAGTCGTCGCCTCGGACACCCTCGAGGAACAACTGGTAGTGCTCCTCGGCCAGCTTTGTGAGTGCCGGCCGGACAGTCGGCAGCCAATGAGTATCGCCGTCAATCTGAGAGGGTGCGTGGCGGCCGATTCGGATGGTGTGACAGGTGTGTGGGCGGGTTTAGTGGATCTGGCACCTCCGAGTGGATGCGGAGCTTGCAGATGGAGAACTTGCCGCCGAAGGCGAGCTTCTCGGTCAGGTCGATGTGCGTGTTGTAGCCGTAGTAGTGCGAGATATAAGGCCTGCGCTCGACTGTGCGCTGTAGCTCCTCCCACCGGCGACGGGAGGCGGCCGCGTCCACTCGGCGAAGCGAGGCCTTTACGCGGTCCTTCCCAATCTGCAGCGGCGCTAAGCGCAGGTTCACCCGGCCCGTCGCATACTTTGTGCCGTGCCGCTGGCGGCTGAGCTCGCCGCGATCATACAGATCCCTGACGATCGCATCGAGCTCCGCGGGCGTGCCCGCCCACGTCCGCTTCAGCCCGTGCTGCTTCTTCAGGTTCTCGACATCCGATCTGTCGCAGCGCCACCCTTCGGCAGACAGGTGCTGTGCGATGTCCGCACACGAAAGACGGCTGTCAAGCAGCTCTCTGATTCGATGCGGCACCCACTGCGGCGCATCGACGTGCCGGAAGTGGCACCTCGGCATCGGCGCCGGCCAGGAGCGCGCGCTGTGGCTCCCGCGAGAGAGGGCGGTCGACGTGTGACACGTGGCTCCGCAATTTGCGAGAACTTGCTGTTTTTATCTGATTTTGGCAAACGCTTGCTTCGGCACTCACCGCCAGCGGCACTTCTATGGAACACGCGCGCCAAAGGCTTGTCTTCACAACTGGCACGCGCTTCTTTCATGAGGGAACCCGGACGGTGCGCACAATTTAACTCCCAACGTGTGTTGTCGCAATTTACCTGCTGCAGGCAAAAAATAAGAAAATGCCCCGAACAAGTCCGCCATACAGTGTTCTCGAGGTTCTCGAGGTGGATATCCTTATGCCGCGTTCTGTAGCGAGGATTGGTGTAACCCGAGCCACGGAGGCGTTTTCTGGCGGCCGACCGTCAGTGCACGGAGTTGCCCCTTCTCCGACTGCCCCGGCTAGTTCACGGGTTTCGCGGGAGTGACCCCATGCGTCAAACCCGAGACCTAGCGCGGGTGGGTTGGAGGGGGCTCGCCCCGTTCCTCCCCATCGGGCCGCATGAGCGGCCACGCCTCGCAGATTCGTTTCTCGCGCCTGGGTCAGGCGCGCGGGGCATCCCCCGGGTCGCTCGACCAGCGATCCGAAGAGTGGCCGCTATGCGAAGGAAAGAGCGGGGCCCTCGACGCCTCAGTCCGGCCCTCCGAGGGGGGAAGGGAAGTGCGGGGTCCCCACGGGCGCCTCTGTCCGGCCCTCCCGAGGGGGGGAGGGGAGCAAGGGGGTGGGGGGATTGGGGTGGTGGGGAGGGGTCTCGGTTTCGTGTGGCTAATGCTTGCTTTTCGGGGAGGGGCCTCAGCCAAGCGCTCATCACAGAAGTGAGAGCTGCCCGACGTCTTCCCCTCCTCCCCAGAGGCAGCGAGTAGGCAGCGAGTGGAGCACTCGAGCGCCTATACGTAGGTCTGTGAGACGGTGATGGGAATGAGCCGGCGGGTCGGGGCGGGGCGGGGTGGGGTGGGGCAGGGCGGGGCGGGGCGGGCGGGAGGGCGGGCGGGGTTATCGGAGAAATCGTATCAACAATTGGCGGTAGCAGAGCAGCAGCAGCTGCAGCAGCAAGCAGCAGCAGCAGCAGCAGCAGCAGCAGCAGCCTCGCTCCTGCGGTGTCTAACTCTTTCAGTCTATCTAGGCGGCCGCGAGGTTAATATACCGAATAATGGTGTCAAAACACCGGGGGGTGGTTGGCGCGCAGGCACCTGAGGGCGTCTTGCCGAGCGCGCAGCCGGCTCGACGTCAACCCCTCCACAACACGATGCACTGCATTGGAGGCCACACCCTCTCTCTCTACTAGACACGATGCACTGCATTAGACGCCGCACCCTCTCTCTCCACTAGGCACTCACGCTCCCTTCTTCTCTCTACTGAGCTCGTCTTCGCGCTGGTTGTGGCTCATTCCGCTCTGTACCCAGTGTGGAAGCACCAGCATTTTTTTTTACTTGGGCCCGACGGGTAGCAGTAGGCAGCTAGCCTGTGAGGAGGGCGTCCATAGACACCTCACAAGACCCCACACGCGGTCTCGTCCGTCCGTGCCTCGCCGGGCGGCGAGATTGCTAGATAGAGGTGTGGAGCGTGTGAGTGAGTGAGTTGTGTGTGGAGCAAGCCTGCTCTATCTAGCCTGGGCCCTCGCATGTTTGTTACTTCCTGTCGTCTGTTTTGTCGTTGTGCCCTTGTTTGTACTCTTGGCACCGTGGAGTGCTGGGGGGGGGGGGGTGACAGGGAGGATGTGGCCTTGAGTTATGTGCACGCCAACTCAGGGTGTGGGAGAGAGAGATTTGTTTGTTTGTCAGGGTGTGTGGCAGCCAGCTGGCTGTGTGTCTTGTGAGCCTGTTTGTGTCTGTGTGTCGCTCGTGCGTGCCGTCATCATCTGTAGCGTCCACCCGTAACGCGTTGGTGTCCAGTCCGAGCCTGGCTGTTCTTCACCTTCCTACCTACCTACCTACATGGGCTATACCAAACGGTTTCATACCAAACATAGATGAAACCGTAACACCCACCGCTCGAAGCCCAGCCAGCCATGTGGGGTGGGTGTGTATAGGGTTAGAGAAAGAAGGCCTGCTGGCCCTCTCGATCCTGTACCGTGTTTGTTATGACCCCCCCCGATGAACATACCAGTGAGGGAGGGCGAGACGATCGAGGGGTCCCGTACCACGCGGAATCGACCCTATCCAGTGCTCAAGTGCTCAAGAATATGCTGTCACAATGCCCAACGCACCACAAACACAAAAACAAGACTGACCTCGCAGAACCCCATGCGGGACCGGGAGGGTCCGATGACGTGAATGAAATCAAGCTCTGGACGCCCCTCCTCAAGACCTCCTCGACGGGCATTGGCAACGCCTCGAGTGGCGCCTCCGTTATCAAAGAAAAACAGAGAAAAATATATATCTAGGAAGTGGAACCAGTCGAGGGGGGAGGGCAACGAGTGAACGACACATGGACATGTACATGTACATGTTGTTGTTGTTGTAATACCCAGGTACTCGCTTAAAACACTGAAAGGCATCATGGGCACGCCCAGCTTCATCCGCCTTGTCAGGGCGCCTTGCGGCTGCCTTCCGCCGACGGCGACGACCTGGACTTCTCCGCCGCCGATTGGGACCCACTCAGCCTCGAGTGCCCCGACTACAACGACCCCAACTACGCCAAGCCCGCCTGCGGGGTCATCCAGGGACGTGCGCTGTCCACCATCCTCACAGCGTCTGCTTCCTCCACGACATCCAAGACAACCCGACCATGCGCCTCATCGGCTTTGCGGACGACATCTGCCAGAACGACGAGCCCTCGCACGCCGTCGCCGCCTACTCCGGACCAAAGGCCCTCCTCGAGGCGCATCCGTTGCGTGAGGGCGTCGCTTATGTCGTGCCGTGAGCGCTGTGTGGTGGGTGTCTTGAATACGACCGTACGGGGTTTTGACTAGAGCTTTTGCCATATGCCTCTTCGAAAAAAACGAGAAAAGACCATGTTGTCTTTTGTGTGCCAGAAGCAGAACACGTACACGAGAGAAGCTCTACCACTACGACGAGGTTACATATAGAAGTTGACGGATGACGCCACGCACGCAGACCGTCCCGCGCCGTTTAGACGAGCTCTACCGTACAGCTCTACAGCGCTCTCCACACTCCAGCGCTCGAACATCTATCTCTTGTCTACAGCTCTCAGCGCTCAACAGTTTACACATCCTCTACACATCCTCCCTCAGGGCCCCACAAGTTTGCAAGCACCCACGAACATGGGACAAAGGAACAGAACAGAACAGAGAAGTTGCCGCTAAAGCCACAAGAGTATCCTTGACAACTGGCCGCCAGGGACCCCGCGCATGCAAGGATGGTCAGTCGATCGGTCTACATGACGCCATCACATGGCTCTATCACTGAGCAGACACCCGAGTGAGCGCAAGCAGAGAGCAGACTCCCCGGTTAGCAAGCCCAGCAGCAAACGGCCATCGCATTGACTCCAAGCCTAGGCTGGAATCGTGAAGTTGAAGCGTTGCCAGGCTGCGCCAGCACCCTCGGTCACCTCAAAGCGCTCCTCCTTCACTTCAAGCAGACCGAACCCAAACTGCTTGTACATCGTCGAGTTTGCAGTAATTACTGCTGCCGGCGCGCCGTCCTCCGTGAGGACCGTGGCCCCCACAGCCGTCGCAATGTTCGGATCGCCGTCAAAGAGCTTGGTCCCTCCGTGCCCGAAGACGAGGGTGGGGACGCGGCCTTCGTACTCAACGTATTGGAAGAGGTGGTAATGCCCAGATAGGACAAACTTGATCGTGGAGTTGAAGAGACCGGTCGCTTCGGCAGCCAGTTGGAGAGTGTAGTCGAGCGCGAGGTAGCTGCCCTTGTGGCACGTGATGGCGTACAGGGGGCGGTGCGAAAGCAGCCCCACGGGTTTGTGGCTGTCTAGCATTGACTTGCCCTCTGCAAAGATCTCAGTATAGTTGCCGTACTCCGCGGGGAAATTGGACGGGTCAAAGCCGTGCGACGAATTCGGCGTGTAGGGAAACGCACTTTCGTTGCGGGGGTCGAGACCTGTGATCACCGTGACCTCGGTCGGACAATCCCCATCGTAATGATCGATGCCGCCACCGACAGAAGCGACCTGGCTGCTGTCGACGACAAGCCACTGAACATCGTGATAGGTGACGACGTATGGATCGGTGAACTCACTGCATGGGACGTATTGTTTGACCCCTTGCCACTTCCATTCCTGGAGGGGAGGCATCGGACGCGGGTCCAGATACCGGAACCATCCAACCCCCGACCTCGTGCAGATCTCGTGGTTGCCGCGGAGTATAATCCATGGCGCTGCGAGCAAGAGCTTCCTCGAAGGTTCGAAGAAGTCCTCTTGCCAACTGCTCCACTGATCCCCGTGGCTCGTCATGTTCGCGCATGGGCATGGGTCGTAAAATCCCTTGGTCGCGTTTTCCTCATCAACGGGGCACACGTCCGGGCACTCGGTTTCGCCGTACAAGAAGTCTCCCACGTGGATGATGACGTCAGGGTTCTTTCCAGCGAGCTCGTCCGCCATCAGCTGGTATGGCCACGAGGTCGAGACCGGATTGAGCGACTGTTCCATTCCCTGGATGTTCCCCTTCCATTCTCCATAATCAAAGCAGACTCCGGCGCTCTCGGGGTACTCGACAATGGTATCGGAGAGGTTGGCGGGGCAAGGGAGGGTGCCATTGTTTTTTACCTTGACTCGCAAGCCTGTGTCCCCGATGATCCCAAAATTGACCGGGCCCGACTTAACGGAGGGCAACTCTGTCGGCCCGAAAGAGGCGAGCGTGTAGTTTTGGGGCAGATCTCCAGAGCAGACGCGTTCAGGGAAACCGTGATCAGGGTCAGGCTCTGCATGCGTGGTGACGATCATCGTCTTCCCATCAGCCATCAGCACGGGGCAATCTTCCGTTGCGTCCACGATGGCGCGTGCGATTGGCACACTGTCGGGACCCATGATGACGTACACTGGTGGCGCTGGCGGCGGTGGTGATGCCGGGAATTCGGGCACGGAACTAAACGCGTCGGCGACACTGGCGGAGAGGATAAGAAGTGCGATTGCAAGAGGCAACATCGCTTCTGCGGAGTCGGCCGCACCTGCGAGCGGTGCGAGGGGGGAACAGCGAGTGAAGCGCATCGCCCGCCGCCTGGGAGTGGTGCGGGCGCGGCAGGTAAGCAACTGCGTGCGGCGGTCAAGACGTGCAGCTCGCAGGACGCAGCGGGTTTCGGCGCGCGGTGCGGGAGGGCAGGGCGATTGGAGGGAAAGTGCAGGGCTTGCCTTGATGTCAGTCCCTGCTGCCTTGATGTCAGGGGCTTGCCTTGATGTCGGGGGGTACACCACGGAAAAGATAAAAAAAACAGCATGATTCACACGACAGACTAGGCGCGGGCGACGGATCCCACTCCCTTTGCGGCCACTCTTGAATCGTTGGGTCGCTCTAGTTCGAAAGAATTTACGAACTAGAATTCTCCGCGCGTCCACGACCTCGGCCGACTCGGGAATGGTGACATCCTCCCCAGCGGCTGCCCACGATGACGCTCCGATCAGTCTCCTGTCTGACCTCCCGCCTGACGTCCTCGTCATGATCCTCGCCCGGTATGCAAACCACTGCCGCCCCTACCACCACGCTTCTCTGTCAAACACACTTGTCTCAGCACAACCCGACCCGCCGGGGACGCACCGCTCAGGTGCCGGAGCCCGGCCGACGTCTCCGCCGCCGGCACAACTGCTTGCATCTTTCACGGCAGCGGCGACTACGCGGGCGAGCGCTCCCTCGCGGAGCAGGCGCTCCGCCTCCGCGCGGCGGAGCGAGGGTACGACCTCCCTGCGGAGGAGCGGTCCGTGCGCCGCCTCTGCTTCCTCGCGCTGCAGCACGAGGCGAATCGGCTGGCGAAACTGGCGGCCGGAAACCAACACAGCCTCTTCACCGGGCGAGACGGCAGCGTCTCAACCTGCGGCTCGGAGTCTCGCGACCTCGCCGGCCTGCTGGGGCACGGGGAGGGCGTCACACGCCTCGCCACGCCGTCGCCGCTCCCGCCGCTCCCGCAAGGAATGTCTGCTGCGGGGGTGGTTGCGGGCAGCTACCACTCCCTGCTCCTCGCCGACGGCGGCGGGCTGTGGAGCTGGGGGACAGGTCAACACGGCCAGCTCGGCCACGGCGCCCGCCTCTCCGAGCGGCGGCCGAGGCGGGTCGAGGCGCTCGCGGGGCGGAGCGTGGTCGCGGCGGCGGCGGGCCTCTCCCACAGCGTCGCGGTGACCGCCGACGGCGCCATCTTCAGCTGGGGCGGCGGCAAGTTTGGACAGCTCGGGCACGGGGACGAGGCGCCGGGCCGAGAGAGAGAGGGCCGAGAGAGAGCCGAGAGGAGCACGAGATCGCTGATGGTCAGCCAAGGGGGAGGGGGAGGGGCGGGGAAGAGGTCTCCGAGAGGCAGCCGAGGGAGCCCCGAGAAGAGGGGGAGCGCCCGAGAGCGAGAGCGAGGCGGTGTGTCCGTAGGAGCCCCGGCTCCTCCCTGAACTGATCGAGGCTCTTGCTGGCGAGCGGGTCGTCGCCGTGTCGGCCGGGCAGAGCGGCTTCTCGCTCGCCCTGACGGCGGACGGCGCCGTCTGGAGCTGGGGCTTGGGGACGAGTGGGCAGCTCGGGCACGGCCCCGTCACCGCCCTGGCTCTGCCGAAGAGGGTGGAGGGCTTGGCCGGTCAGCTGGTCATCGCGGTGTCGGCGGGTTACGGGCATGCTCTCGCCATCACCGCCGATGGCGCCGTCTGGAGCTGGGGCGACGCTGTCGCCGGCCAGCTAGGCCACGGAGGTATGGAGTCGCGGCTCCTGCCTTCCAAGATCGAGGCCTTGGAGGGGCAGCGCGTCGTCGCCGTGTCGGCGGGGGGAGGCCACAGCCTCGCCCTCGCGGTCGACGGCGCCGTCTACAGCTGGGGCACCGGGCCGCTAGGGCGCATCGGGCGCGCGGCCGCCTTCACGCGGCACTCGGTGCTCGCCAGTGTGCATGGTGCACACCGCCGCCCCTCCCTCCCTCCCCGCACCGCTCACTCCCCGCCCCCTCCCTCCATATAACGTCTTCCTTCCTTGACCCTCCGACCGCCAGCAACTCGCCGCGCACAGGCACGCTCTCCAGCCAGCTTTTGCCGGAGAGAGTCGAGGCGCTCGCGGGGCGGGGCGTCGTTGCCGTGTCGGCGGGCGCCTTGCACAGCCTCGCGCTGGCGGCTGACGGCAGCGTCTGGGGCTGGGGAGAGGGGACGAACTACCGCTTGGGCCACGGCGAGAATTGTGCGCACGCGCTGCCCGTTCGAATCGTAAAGTGAGGTCGAACGAGAGCGATAAAACTCACACGATGAGTTTCATTGACGGGAGAGATATGTGGAGAGTGGGACACTCTCACAGTGAGGCTGAGCGGAGTGTGAGACAGTGAGAGCCACAGGCAGAGGGATCTTGCATCTTCCGCGCTTTTGTTCCCTCTTAAACTATCCAACACTCACATGGCCACTGATCGATCATGCATGGCACTCCACGCACACACAACACACATGGGATGAACCCAACCAAAATGCAAAACGATGGAGCATGTCCGATGGCAATGTGGATGGACAATGGTCAATGCACAATGGACAATGGTCAATGCACAATGGAACAACGACAGCGAGACGGACAGACTCTAGAGAGTCGCGTGGTGATCAAGCGTGACGGTCAACGAGAGCCCCGAGAGTCGAGGTACTCCCAAGAGGAGCGTGTCTACTCACGCGCTTCGTCAAATGCCTCTGCCACCGCGTCCGAGGTCAACGCGAGCCCAGAGCGCGCACGGGGGAGGGGCTCCCCGCCGCTGCCCCGCCTGCCGCGCGACGACGAGATGGAGAAGCACCCCGAGACGCGCTCGGAGAAGCGCCCTGAGACACGCTCCGAAAGGCGGCACACGTGCGCGACCTCGTCCGAAGCCCAGCGCTGGCCCGCGATGACGAGTCGGCCGGCGCCGCGCAGCACAGCCATGAGCTGTCGTCGCGCCGGCTTCTTGCTGCTCATCTCGCCCACGCGCATCGCCCTGGCGAGCACCCTGTCCGAGCCGGCGGGGAAGAAGAAGGCGAGGTGGCGGAGGAGGCGCGTCTTGATGGCGCCAGCGAGCGTGCCGTCGATCGAGTAGAAGACGTCGCGCCGCCCGACCGCGTGGGCGGCCACCATGATGGCGGCGCATCGGTCGGGCGACATGCTCTTCTTGGTCAGGTCGAGGTCGACCGCGCCGTCGCCGGTGCCGAGGCGCGCATTGTTCACGGGCGTGTTGACGGCGCCGGGATACGCGAGCGTGACGGTCGGCGGGACCGGCTCCGAGATTCCGAGCTCGACGCGCAGCGTGTTGAATAGCCCTTGAGCGCGAACTTCGACGCAAGAAGGGAGCGAGCGTCTTCGACGGCGTCAGCAAGTCGCTCATCTACTCGCGCGTTTTTTCTCTCTTTTTCCTTTTTCACGGCCTAGATTTAGCACACGCGCCTCAGCTTGCATACACACTCATACATTGGATTGTCATCGCCTGTGAGTGCGAGAAGGGCTAGCCGCAGGCAGCTAGCCCATGAGGAGCGCGTCCATAGACACCTCACTAGACCCCACATACGGTCTCGTCCGTGCCTCGCAGGCCGGTGAGATTGCTAGAGGTGGAGCAAGCTGCTCTAGCCTCACATATCACTTCCTGTCGTCTGTTGTTTGAGTTGTGCCCTTGTTTGTGCCCTTGGCACCGTGGAGTGCTGGGGGGGGGCGACAGGGAGGATGTGGCCCTGAGTTATGTGTACGCCGACTCAGGGTGTGTGGCAGCCAGCTGGCTGTGTGTCTTGTGAGCTTGTTTGTGTCTGTGTGTCGCTCGTGCGTGTCGTCATCATCTGTCTAGCGTCCACCCATACCGCGTTGGTGTCCAGTCCGAGCCTGGCTGTTCTTCACCTTACTACCTACCTTCACAGTGTAATTTTACCGAAAAAATGCCATTTTTTTAAATGAACTCGGGGGCACGGCACTGCATTTTTCTGGTCGTGTCGGTAGCCGTAAAGCCAGCCGGAGAGAAGAAAAAGGTCGCCATCCTGCCAACCCGCCTCGCCGACCTGGCTGGGGCGACCTGGCCTCGCTGCACGCCCTCGTCTCCGGGCGGCGGACGCGCGATACGTCGCTCGCGGCCCAGCTCGACGCGCGGCACGACACCGAGAAGCGGTCACGCTGCTCACCTGGGCCGCTCGGCACGGGCAGGCCGAGGCGGTGCGGCTGCTGCTCGAGGGCGGCGTCGGGGCGGCTGACAGCTACGGCGCTACCGCGCTTCTCCTCGCGAGCGAGGGGGGGCACCTCGAGTGCGTCCGGCTGCTCCAGCAGGCTGGCGCGGCGACCAACCAGGCCAAGGAGAATGGCGTCACGCCGCTGCTCATCGCGAGCGACAAGGGCCACCTCGAGATCGCCCGGCTGCTCCTCGAGGTCGGCGCGGCAGTCGACCGAGCAATGAGCGACGGCACCACGCCGCTGAGCGCTGCGAGCTTCAACGGCGAGATCGAGTGCGTCCGGCTGCTCCTCGAGGCTGGCGCGGCGGTGAACCAAGCAGACGCTGAAGGCTACACGCCGCTGTACGTCGCGTGCCAGGAGGGCCACCTCGAGTGCGCCCGGCTGCTCCTCGAGTCGAGTGCGGCGGTCAACCAAGCCAACGTCAACGGCGCCACGCCGCTGTACATCGCGTGCGAGGATGGCCACCTCGAGTGCGCCCAGCTGCTCCTCGAGGCTGGCGCGGCGGTCAACCAAGCCCGCAACGACGGCGCCACGCCGCTGTTCATCGCGTGCCAGGATGGCCACCTCGAGTGCGCCCAGCTGCTCCTCGAGGCTGGCGCGGCGGTCAGCCAAGCCGGCAACGACGGCGCCACGCCGCTGTTCACCGCGTGCCAGAAGGGCCAGCTCGAGTGCGTCCGGCTGCTCCTCGAGGCTGGCGCGGCGATCAACCAAGCCAAGCAGAACGGTGCCACGCCGCTGTTCATTGCGTGCCAGCTGGGCCACGTCGACATCATCCGGCTGCTCCTCGAGGCCGGCGCGGCAGTCTGCCAAGCCCGCAACAACGGCGCCACGCCGCTGCTCATGGCGTGCTGGCAGGGCCACCTCGAGGTCGCCAAGCTCCTCTCCTCCTACGGCGCCTCCCGCGCCGCTACGCCCTTCGGCACGCCCGAGGAGGCCGCAAACAGCCGCGGCCACGCCGACCTCGCCGCCTGGCTGGTCGCCAGCCGCGGCTGGACGCCGCTCGCGCACCTTGAGACCCTCACCGCCGCCCGCGCCACCTGCCTCCTGCGCAGCGGCGCAAGCTTGCACGAGGGCGAGCCGACGCCGCTGCGGCGCGCCGCGGGCGGTGCGGGCGAGGCGGCGGCGCTGGTCCGGCGGGCGGCGGCGCTGTGGTCGCCGGCAAGCCACTCGCTCTTCCCCGCGGCGGCCCGCGCGCGGGCGGCGCTCCTCGTCCTCTCGCTCTACGAGATCCACGAGCGGTACCACCTCGACTCGGCCGGAGCCACGAACGGCATCGCGGCGCTCGACTTTGGCCACTGCGTCTTGGGCTTCGCGATCACGCGCGAGACGGAGTAGGGGCCCTTTGTGCGCAGCGCAGCACTTGGTGCCGCGCGGTGATCTCGGTCATGCGGATCGGCTAACATGACGCCTTTTGGTCAGCGGTGGGTGGAGATCAGATGTGTACCGCCTGACCGCTGACGCTGTGTGGTTTTCACATATCACATAGGAGCAGGGCGAGGCCGCGCGAAGAAGAACAGGGAAACCCGCCAAACAGCAGGGGCCGGCAAACAAAGAAGAAAAACAGAGCCAAGCTTCGTGGCGAAAAGAAGAAGAAAAAAGAAAATGGAGTTTTTTTCTCAGGGCGGAATCGGGAATGAGCGGCGCCCTCTTGCCAACAACCGCCTCGCCGACCTGGCTCGGGGCGACCTGGCCTGGCTGCGCGCCTTCCTCTCCGGGCGGCGGACGCGCGGCACGTGGCGCTCGCGGCTCAGCTACCGCTTCTTTGGCGCGGCGCGGCCCTGCTCGACCCGCGGCAGCTCGAGCGGCAGCTTGAGGCTGCACGCCGTCGAGCCTCGCGTGCGCGGCATCGCACAGCCGAGTTGGCGGAGGTAGAGGTTCGCCTCCTTGGGCGTGAGAGAGAGCAGCTTGGCCAGCTCGGCCGTGTCGCCCTGCCCGTGGCCAATCCAGAGCGCCAGCGCGAGCGCGTGCATCGCGAGCTTGTGCTTGCTCTCGGACGTGAGGCGGCGCGTCACGGTCAAGTCGTCGGCCGACGAGCCTGCGCCATGAGGAGACGCGTGAATACGAGAGCCACAAACTCCGGGGGGGAGGGAGAGGGAGGGAGGGAGAGAGAGAACACCATTCGGCGTCTGGGCTACGAGATCTGGGGAGAGATCTGAGGAGAGTCGGGGCTGCACTCGGCATCTAAGCTGACGAGCCCCCCTGCGGCGCCGTGAAGCGGACGAGCAGCTCGCGCCACGCGTCCATCGGCTCGATGCCTGGGGGCAGGAGAGGAGGAGCACACAGTCGGGGTGTGGACGAGTATAGGAGCATGCGCAGGTGCGTGGAGGTGGAGGATGGAGTAGGTGCATAGGGCAGGAGAAACGGGTCGCTGTGCAGGAGGTGCGTCTATGAGGGCCATCCCGGCGAGCGGAGAACGGCCTTCTGATCACTCTCGTCCACTCCCGTCCACTCTTCGGCTAATCTCGTCCCCTCTCGGCTAATCTCGTCCACTCTCGGCTAATCTTGTCCACTCTCGGCTAATCTCGTCCACTCTCGGCTAATCTCGGCTAATCTCGTCCACTCTCGGCTAATCTCGTCCACTCTCCGCTAATCTCGTCCACTCTCGGCTAAACTCGTCCACTCTCGGCTAATCTCGGCTAATCTCGTCCACTCTCGGCTAATCTCGTCCACTCTCGGCTACTCTCGTCCACTCTCGGCTACTCTCGTCCACTCTCGGCTAATCTCGTCCACTCTCGGCTACTCTCGTCCACTCTCGGCTAATCTCGTCCACTCTCGGCTAATCTCGGCTACTCTCGTCCACTCTCGGCTACTCTCGATGCCGAGCTTGCGGGCGAGCGGGTGGTGGTTGTCGCCGTCGGCGGCGGCGGGAGGCGGGATGGCGCGGCTCTGGCCGTAGAGGCGCACCATGTAGGTGAGGTACAGCAGCCCGCGCAGCACATCCGCCCGCTCGCTCGTCTGCCGCTCGGCGACGCGACCAGCCTTTGGCAGCGCAGACCGCAGCACGCGCAGCACGAAGGGCGGCCAGACGCGGATCTCCTCGCCGGCCATGGCGGAGAGCTGCGCCTCGCTGCGCGCCGCCTCGTCGAGCGACGCCCATTTGAGCGAGCCTACGGGACGTGTCATAGAGGTGTCCTGGACATGTCCTGGACATCTCGTCGAGCGACGCCCATTTGAGCGAGCCTACGGGACGTGTCATAGAGGTGTCCTGGACATGTCCTGGACATCTCGTCGAGCGACGCCCATTTGAGCGAGCCTACGGGACGTGTCATAGAGGTGTCCTGGACATGTCCTGGACATCTCGTCGAGCGACGCCCACTTGAGCGAGCCTACGGGACGTGTCATAGAGGTGTCCTGGACATGTCCTGGACATCTCGTCGAGCGACGCCCACTTGAGCGAGCCTACGGGACGTGTCATAGAGGTGTCCTGGACATGTCCTGGACATCTCGTCGAGCGACGCCCACTTGAGGTTGCCCCACGCGATGTCGCCGACCATCCCGTCGCGCGGGTACGCGTCGCGTGCGGCCGACGCGGCGAGGTCAAAGCGAGGGTGCGACGGCCTCTTCTGCTGCTCGGAGAGGGCGGCGGCGGCGTCCTCGGCGGGGGTCGCCTCGAGCGCCGTGCTAACCGTCGCGTTGAGCGACGCGCCGTCCAGCACCGCGTCATGCTTGACCAGCTTGGCCGCGTTGGCCGCGAGCTTCTTCCGCGCCTTTTCCGAGCCGAGCAGCTTGACAACCGCCTCCTTGCCCTCGCGACCCGACGCCGCGCCGCCGCCGCCCGCCGCCGCCGCCGCCTCGCCCGCCGCCGGCGCGGGGGCGAAGGCCGGGTCCGGCTCGGCGGCGCCCATCAGGAGCGGCGCCGAGAGCGCGTGGAGGCGCACCACACCCGAGCCCTTTTTGCGCACGCCGAGCAGGTAGGAGCCGTGCGCTGCGCCCGGCGCGCCCGCGAAGCTGACGCGCTGGCCGCGCGCCCGCACGCGCACCCGGTCCGGCACCCGGCCCGACCCGGGCTTGCGCTCGAGCCGGAGCTGGAGCGGCTCGCTCGGCGGCCGGCCGTCACGGAAGCTGAGGAGAACGGGGCCGACGCGGCCGGACGCCGAGGGAGCGCACTCGAGCGTAATCGACGGCATGGCCGCGAGGCTCGTGAAAAGTACGCAGGCACGGATTTTCAGCTATGTCGGAGGGGGGGAGGGGCGCGGCCTCTGAATTCTACCCCGGATACAGCCCGGCAGCCAACTGGCTGTGTGTCTTGTGAGCCTGTTTGTGTCTGTGTGTCGCTCGTGCGTGTCGTCATCATCCAGCGTCCACCCATACCGCGTTTTTCGGTTGTTGTTTTGTTTGTTGTTGGGAGAGAGAGATTAACAAAACACAAATCGATGAGAGATTTGTGTTGTTGTTGTTGGCAAACCAAGACACAGAGCTCACACAGGATCACATACCGCGTTGGTGTCCAGTCCGAGCCTGGCTGTTCTTCATCTTCCTACCTAACCTAACGGTTACTGGACCGTCACGTGTTCAACGACGTTGTGTGAACAGTGTTCAACCACGGCGCTGTTCACAGCGCGCGCGGACGGCCGTTCTGCGAGTCCAGCTCCGCTGGACTTTTGTAAAGCATGCTTGTGGCAAGTTATAGACGCTAGTATCGACCTCAGAGACCCAAACCCGAATTAATAATTAAGGCTCAAAGTATGGTTGAACAACCGTTGAACAAACAGGTTGAACAACGATATCCGACTAGTGCGACCGCTAGACGGCGGTCTCCGCCGGCCCCAAGGCTGCCCAGCCCCAGTACCACACCGGCCACGTAGACCGTAGCGCTGGAGTTGGTCAGTGAGGCACTAGACGGGCTACGGAACCATGCGCGCGCCGGCCGGATAGGCTGCGCGCAGGGGCCGCGCCGCCTCAATTTCGCATCTCCGCTCCGCGGCCGACTGAGGGGCCAGCTCGCCCGGCGACAAGCCCAGCCATCGCCCAGCGCCCCGTATCGACGGAGGGCACGCAAAAAACCCGCACCTACGACTAGGGTGAGCCCGTGAGGGCGTCGGTGTCGGCCGCGGGCGGCTGCGAGGAGGGCGCGGGTGGGAGCATGGGAGATGCACCACCGCTCGACAAAGACGCGCCCGACGAAGCCCTGCTTGCGGAGGATGGTCGATCCTCACCTACTAGCGTCGGGCGTGTGCGAAAAAGAGCGCAAATCGGAGCTCAACTCGCGCGCGGCTGGGAAAGGGGTGTGGCACCCCTCCGAAGGCGCCTCGCGAGGAGCTGCTGCTGCCTCCAAACGCGCTCGGGCAGCACGTCGGCGCGCCTGCGGGGTTGGGGAGGTGAAACTATGCTTGCTGGCACGCGCATCCCGCACCACCCCCACGTCCGCGCGCACCATGCCGCCATCCCACCTCACAGCCAAGCGCCATCGCCGTCGGACGCGGCGACGCCGAGCGGTGGCCTCGCAGACGACGAGCGCGATGAGGCCGCCGCGCCGCCGGGGTGGCCGGCGCGTGCCAGCCGCTGGCCCGTCCAGCGTGGCGGGACCGGCTCGCCCATCCTGGCCCGCGCGCTTGCCGACGCGAGAAGATCGCGCGGGAGGGCAAATCTTGGGCAAAATGCCCTGTTTGCCAATTTTTCACGCCGACTTCACGTCGGAACGAGTCGGATCGACGACTCCCCGCCTGCACCAGCGTGTGCGCCTTGCAATTCTATACAGAATCGACACGTGGTACGTCTTCTCAATCGCTCGTGGAGAGGAGCTACGGCCATTCCTAAGTAGTGTTCAACGACGTTGAACATTGTTCAACGTCGTTGAACACGGTCCAGTAACCGCTAACCTAACAGCCCCGTGCTCACTCCCTTTTCTCCCAGTACAGTCTGTTGCGGGCATTAAGAAAGCGTCCCATTAAGAAACCCTACCAAGCAATTTCCGCGAAAATCTAAGAAACCACGGCGCGCCGCAGGCGCGGCCCCAAGAAAGGGCCCACACACGTGTGAACAGGAGCCCCGCTCAAAATTTCTCTTCGCCTGCGGCGCGCGCACTTGTCATTTTGCCCAAGTCTGCGGTGTTCTGGGCGGTGTGGATGGAGGTGTGTGCGTCTTCCTGTCATCCCAAGACTGCTGACTGGCGCATCGGTCCAGCGCTTCCTTATTGTCATTTTACCTAAAAATTCCTAGATCCCGGCTGACCTGGGGTGCCGGCCGAAGCTAAGAAACCACGGCGTGGGGTGGGTGGGGTGGGTGGAAAGGCTTAGAAACGGCGGCGTGCCGCGGGATCGTTTTCTTAATGCCCGCAACAGACTGTGTAAGCTAAAAGTACGTACGTCTCGAGACGTACGTACACTGAGAAATCTGACTGCGGCAAGGCGCCCACGCCGCCGCCGTCGCCGCCCTCCGCGCCCGGCCTCGCCCCCACGCCGCCGCCTCTGCCGCCCGACGAGGGAGGAAGGAAGGAAGGAGGCTCGATCATCAACGCGTACCTTCCGAACAAGCCCCAGGCCGGCGCGCTTTGATTTATTTTTCGACGCGACGCGGCGAAAAGCCGTTTCGTTCAACATAACTCGCGCGGCAGTCAAAGCCGTTTCGTTCAACATAAACCTCAAACAAATCCAGCGCCCGATTCGCAAAAATCGGGCGTCCGATCGATCGACGGCTGTCCTCGCCTTGATTGACAAAAGGCGCTTTGCTACGGATTTCGGCTCGCACCGCGCTCAGCTGTCGCACACAACATATGCTGCCGACCCGCGTCCTTCTTGCCGTGGGCGCTCTCGCTCGTGTCATGGGGCAGTGCGGTGGGGCCTCTAAAGACCCGCACCTCCATTTCGCGCATGGAGGCGTTGCCGATTTCAGGGGTCGCGACAAGACGTACTACTGTTTTTTCTCGGGTCCAAAGCTCCAGGTAAACATCAAGACCGAGGATGCCACATTTGTTATCAGCGACTCGAGGGGTTCGCTGACGGTTGACGGTTCCTACATCACCGAAGTTCACGTCTATGCTGTCGTTGGTGGCCTCAAAAACAAGCCTCTCAAGCTGTCGGTGAGCGCCTGCCTCTCGCAGCTTCGGCCACACTCTCCACTTGCAGCCGCACTCGCCTTTCATACCCACAGCCACGCTCGCGCCCTTTCGCCTGCACACACACCGGTGAGCGCTTGCTCTCCCACCCACACCGGCCACACCAGGTGTGGGCGAGCGAGCTGAACGAATTCAACACGGGCGCTAACGTAGTAAACGGCACTTGTGGCGGCGGCCCCTTCTTCCTCGGCATGGGGGAAGGGCGCTGGTGCGAGGAGTTCTCGATGAAGGTCGGCTACTCTTCGGTCGTGCTCAA